CTGATGAACGCCATTGCGAGGCTGGTTCTCAGACACGACGAACAAATCACGGCCCTCGCCTCGGACGTGACCTTCGTCTCATATGTTCGAACTGAGGAGCTCTCCATTCTGCCTCAACTCTACGAAGAAGGTCAGAGGATCAAAAGCAATCCCACAGGCATCCCTCCCCGGGCAGCTCTGGTCCTTAAGCTCCTACGGGAGCTTAAGGAAAGATTGCTGACCACGAGCAGGGATAAAACGCCTGCAGAACGAAGGTCTGATGACGCCGGACGGCGATTGGCCGTTCCTGGAGTGGTCATCGACAGACCAGAAACTCACTGAGTCGCTAGAGGAACCCCTCACTACGGCACAAGTTGTTTCAGGCTTGGGGGACGCGATCGCTCGAATCTCTTCAGATCCGGAACACATCAAGCTCTTCAAAACTTCGCGGCCACTGGCTGAGAATATGACGGGAGGTCCAGTGCGGATCCAGATCCAGCTATCAACCAGGGCGTCCACTTCTGAGTTGCAGGACACCTTGATAACACAGCCTTCTCACTCATCAATAGCGACTTTCAGCGACTAGGTACCCAGCCTTCGCCGCTTGTTCGTCAGATTCGTGACTTGCTTTCTTGATCGATTCCCTAAGGAATAGGTCGCAGTTCGGATCGGCCCCACGAGAGGGCAGGTCTGGCACCCTGGGCAACGACGCCAAAACAGCTCGTCAGACATAGAAGTGGAGTTACTCCCATTCAGTTCGCACCTGCGAGGAGTCGATGGCATCATCACAGACAGCGAGGAGGCCCTACCGCACTGCAGCCCGCAACAAAGCACAGCTCATGACAGGGAGCAACAGAAGCTGTGCTCTTGCCTCTAGCAATCTTGGCTCAACTGCATTTGCAAACTGTGGCACATATCCCTCTCAGCATGATGTACGACCAATCGCCCACTCAGTTGGCATTGATGCTGCTTCCCACTATTGGAGCAGCTCTCTACATGTGCACCAGAAGGCCCAAGGTTTGGAGGTACTCCCCTGGGCGGTCCTCACCGAGCTGCGTGGAAGAGTCAAGGCTTTGGGACTTATCACCAAGGATGAAGTCCTCAACCTTTCCGTGGAGTTACTCCCGGAAAGTGGCGTCCGCCAGGTGCTCAAGCACCTTTAGGCTATAGTCGGCGTAGAAGAATGGGCTCAGATCCGTTTTCGCCGGCGTCAGGTGCTCGCCGAGATGGGGCTTGAGTTTCTTACAATAGCCTGTATGGGCACTGGTGAGCTTCTAGCTCCGGAAAGCCTGGCGCTTCATCGGTTTGACCTCGAATCCATGGAGCGGGAGACGTACATCATATCCTACGTGAGCATGCACCTCCCCATCGATGTCCGGACCACCTACTTGCAAGAAGTAGATGCCCTTAGGGCAATCTTCTATGAAGAGGACCGTAAGCTAAATCTAGCTACGGCTGTGTGGGATGTGGCCTATAACAGGCTGTTAGCATCAGCGGATTGAGCAGACAAGATTTAGTGGAGATGCTCCCTGAGGTGGAGTTTCTCCCCCTGCCTAGGAGGAGTTACTCCCCAAGCCAGGGGTGTACAGCTGGTGGAGTTTCTCCCCAGGGGTTTTTAATCTAAAGCTTCAGGATGCTCGAGCTGCAGATTGCAAAATAGGTCCCCTCGGTTGAGCCTCAGTGACTTCTAACATAGCTTCATCTTCCTGTCGACAGGCCCTTGTCCTGCCTTGGAGGCCAGAAGCTCAGGTTGCACTTATGCTTCAGACTGCAGCCTTCAGACAGCTTATGTCCAATTTCCGCAGGTTTTCTCTCAAAGTGAAAACCAGCATCATGTCTCGTCCTGAATCCACTCAAGATCAATCCTTCAAGGAGGAATATGCCGAGTTTTGCAGACGGCGGGTCAGGGACCAATTGCCACATGTGACGTATAGAAACTTTTTGCGCCAGTGGAGGCACTCTGCTGGTGCCCACGGTGAAAGTTATCCGGCTCATAAGGGTGCCTCAAAAGGCGCAGGAGAATCTACTGAGTCAGTCACTGGGAAGGGTAGAGTTACTCCCCCTCCGCCTCCTCCGCCTCCTTCTAAGAAGAGAAGCACAGGGCATGGTGAGGGCGGAGAAACTCCCCGCCAAGAGTGGAGATCCTCCCTCAACAGACCCCTCTCAACAGCAAGCTCTTGAAGATCACAATGAGGAGGCGGCCAAGGTTCTTCAGGCTGCAGGGTATACCCCTTTTCCCAGTCTGATATCAGACTGCGCCGGCTCCATCACCGATCTGAACAATCACCGAATAACGGTGACCGTGACTCAGCAGCTACGTGATGGACTCACCCAGGCGGGGAGACCGACTCCTGAGATCGCCTCTGCTCTTCTCACGACCTTCCTCGCCACTCGCCCAGGTCTATCGAATGAATCACTGCTGCCGAAGCCTGGGTTCCCTACAGTGGATGAGCATGGCTGGTACAGATTCGAGTACTCCTCCCCGAACATTCTGCCAGCTGGCGACAGCGAGGTTGCCTTTCACGGCACACATTCAGAATGTTTGCACGGGATACTAGCCACTGGACGACTCCTGCCTTCGACGCCGGCTCTCGGAGGCACAAGAAGTTTCGAGGACCGACCAGGGGTGTATCTCCACAGAGCCTCGAATCGGCATCTCGCGCCAGGCTACAGTTCTCTGGTACGGATAGGTCCCCGGCACATCTTCGTCCGGCCTATGATAGAGGTGGAAGCTGCCTTCTCTGGTTCGCAAAAATGCGGCAAGAAGACAAACCAACTTATCCACTCCTTTGCCTCGGTGAAAATCCGAGCGGTGCTGCTCCAAACAAATTGCGACAAAGGACGCCCTCTCCTTAGGAGAGTACCTCCGCGAGTGGAGCGGTATGCTCGAGATCCCACTCAAGCAGACTCGCGACTCCTTTACAGCTCTGGGTTATGACCTTTCTAATGAAGTCCCGTCATCTGAAAGACGAAAGGAAGGAGGAGTTACTCCCCTTCCGGACAAGGGGCTTGCGAGTGGGTCAAAGGGTGGAGCTTCTCCCCCGACAGCTGGGGGTAGTGATCTTCGGCCTCAAGCTTCACCCTCTGTCACGCCGAGGGGATCCTCCATCTTAGCATGGGAGGGTCAGCCAGGCGAACTCGGTGACTACAGCAAGGACTCCACCAACCCAGATACCAAATTTTCATTTGAGGTATCCAAAGCGTTGGCGGCCTGTCTGAGGCACGGTCACAGGCCTCATATTTCCGTCTCCACAGCAGGATGGGCAAAGCTGGATGATGTGCTGTCGTGGCCTCGCGTATACAACCAGCAAGCGTCTGCGGGGGACAACATGGAAATTGTTCGCCACAACTCGAAAAGCAGATACGAGTTGGGGGACAGCCATGGCACGAAGTATATTCGGGCAGTGCAGGGGCATTCGCGCTCCGACGTTGACTCCACTGAGGTTTTGGAGGCTCTCACGGAGGAGATGCTCCCCGCAATGCTGTACCATGGTACATATTGGTCCATGTATGACCCGATACGGCAGCAAGGATTGCTGCCACAGAGCAAGATCTCCAAAGGCCGTGGCAAAGGAGGTCGCGGCAGGGAGGGACGCCAACATATCCATTTCATCTCGGATAGAGATTATGGCCAACCCGGCACCTCTGGCTTCAGGGAAAGTTCCTCCATGTTAGTGGCGGTCAACCCTCTGAGGGCTTCCCAGGAAGGAGTGAAATTTTTCCGTAGCAAGAACGGCGTGATTCTCACCCCCAACGAAGTGCCTCCTTCAGCCATCGCGTATTACCAGAGCCTGAAATCAGGCACGAAATACGGAGGCGACAATAGGTCGCTTTGATTTCATGGAGAGGAGCTTCTCCCTCACAGGTGGAGATGCTCCCCAGACTGTCATTGCATGTGAGGCATGTCGACAAATAAGCATCGGAACTGATAGCTCTGTCAGCATCAGCAGCCCATCACAGCATCTGCAGTCCGAGGTCCAACTATCAGCTCCTTGCTTGGTCTCGGTCTCAAGTAGCTGCGGTGCCTGCTGTCTGCGATCTGGAACTCTTTCCCGTTTGCAGGCTTTGCATTTCTTGAATGCAGGCTCAATTCTATAGCTGTCTGTTTTCTTGGTAGCGATGCCAGAGACGCCGAAAAATCATGGCACCAGGGCGAACTCTCGTACCCCTCCTCCGGTGAGGCGCCGCACTCACCTTCCCAGATCACCACCATCAAGCGACGCCATTCGGGAGTCGGACTCTGAAGAAGCAGCAGCACCGGAGGCCTCTGCACCGAAGGGACCGCCAACACCAGTACCGGTAAATCTTCCAGGACGTGGCTCAAGTTCTGATCGACTTTCAGGAGGGCCGGGCAAAGGTTCCGCTGCATCTGCCAAAGCGGGAATTCCAGGAGGAGCTTCTCCCCTGGGACCTCCGCCGCCAAAGGCAGTCACCACCACATCTCCCATCCGGGAACAGGAGAGCTGCATGTGACGAGCACAAGCCCGGCAGGAGTTGCTCCGCCAGCGGTGATCACAACTGACGAGTTGGAGATGGCGCCTGGCCTACCTTTGCTGAGGGTCTCCCTGCCTCATCGCCTACTTTTCAACGTTGAACTAGCGGTCCGCACGGAGCCTTCACAGCGAGGCTAGATGATGATGACACACTCGAGACAGCTACGGGGTGCAAAAACTTCAGCGTAAGTGTCAGCTCGTGGAAAATTGCAAATTTGCCAGTCAGCCCATCTAAGCAGGTGGCTAGAAAATAAGGCTTCCCCAGCCTCCGACGGCAAACTCCTTTCATCTTCACAGTTTGCAGCCCTGAGGGGCGGAACGTGTGCAAGTGCAGTGCTGAGGCCCGGCTTGCCGTGAAGCAGTGAACCGCGCTAGTAATCAGCAGAGCTGTAGGTCGAACACTCGCCAAGCGAAGACAATCAGTTTTCACCCGAGACATAACCTCCCGCTGCGTGTGAATGAAATGTTGTTGTTGTTGTTGTTGTTGTTGTTGTTGTTGTTGTTGTTGTTGTTGTTGTTGTTGTTGAGGACTTGGAAGCTCACATCGGCCTCCTTCGTGATGAGGTGAAGGCCCGTCATGACACAAACGATTTCTTTCCCTTCTGTTAAGAGCCTTCAAATCCTTGGACAAATCCGGAAAGGGGGACAGTGGTTTGCCAGCTTTTGGACCTTGCAAGACCTTGCCGAAAATTGAGAAAGCCAACAGATGGTGCGTGGTATGGCGCACATATAAGTGCCCGTTGAGTATGGGCTGGAGCTGATGGGAACCTTGACAGTGCACAGCAGCTTGATGATGCGAAAGCTTCGCCCAGTCCAAGGGCCTTGTAGCTTCTTTTGCAATGACTTGTCGGTTTGATGTCTACTTCTTGGTCTTTGTACTTCGTGTCCTTGCGGTTCTTTGTGCACAGGTTCTAGTTCTCTGATCAGTCCAATTTCGCTGAATTCAAGGCCACAGATTTGAAAACCTCTGAGCTGAACGTTGCCGTTTCCAGGAGCTGCTGAACGTTTGCCGTGTTGCTGTGCATGATGCATGTGCCGCGAGAATCCGGAAAGGACGGCAGAGCAATGTTCAGGTGCAGTAGAGACGATGGAGGCGTGGAGCAGAGCAAGCAGCGCATCGGAGCATCGGAGCATGGTGTTCCTTCCTTTCCGGAGAGCGCAGCCCGCAGGAGCTGAAGGAGCAAAATGCAGCCGCAGAAGCAAGATTGGAGGAGCGCAAGAGAGGAGCAGTGATCTGCTGCTGCGCACGTCTGATCGTGTTTCTAATGTTGCTGATTGTTAGATTTCAGCAGATCAGGAAGCTCGGGAGAAAATCAAAGAGCTCTCTGACCGGTTGGTCAAGCATGAAGAGCATGTCGAGGCAGCAATGCGCCATAGGTACAGAGTAGCACTTTCATTCAGGCTCCGTGGTTTGACAAGTCCAGGCTCACCGAAGTGCTGGCATGGAACCAGACGGTGAGGAGCATTGGCCGCATGGGAGATTGCTCCATATTGACCTCAAGAAACTGGGCTGCAGGCCCCACCACATCTCAAAGAAGCCCTGGAGTCCCTGGAGCGTCAGGCAGTTCCGATGCCGCGCCTTCCTAGCACAGTGGCTTGCAGCAGAGGCCGAGATCTTGGCGCGACATGATTCGGAACTCAACGACATGCGAGGGACGAAGGCAATCAAAGAGGCAGGAGCCAAAGTAGCCTGAACCTGAAAGATTGAAATCAAAGCAGAGCTGCTGCTTGATGGTCGGAAGACGGTATGTCTTGGTGATCCCGGAATCATGAAAATCTATTGACCACATTCAGGACTCCGCCACTGGTCAGTTGAATGATGCCGAGTGTGATGCAGAATCCTTGTACTTTGCACATAACTTTGCATAATAAAGCTGTGCATAGAAAGGTGATCAGGGTCCTGCATAAATGGAGCGTGAGCACAAATTCCAACGAAGTGGCCATCAAACAGCTTGTCTGCCGGCTTAATTGTGCAGGGCCTTCCATAGCGAGAGAATGTCCAGCTTAATTACATGCTGCACAAGCAAAATCCTTCGCTCCTTGACGCTTGTCTGCCACGGCGTCGCTTGGTAACGCTTGCAGCTTGAATACATGGTCATGAATTTCACACATGACGGTGGCAGTTGTATGGCAAGTTGTTAGCATGCCGGAGAGGCAGGTCACCTCACTCAAACGTACAAGTAGTTATTTCAGTCAGCTGAATGTGCACTTATTGAACGCGGCGCGGGCCGGAATCTTTTGAGTTTTCCTGCTCCATGCTCGGCTGGCCTGACCGGTTCAATTCCCCTGCATCCTTTTTTGAACTATCCTCCGCACATCGTGCTGTGCATATCCTCCAGGGCATTCATTTGCGAGGCAACAAGCCGCTTGTCATCCACGTTGCCGACTGAAGCGGAGAACAAGCTTCTCGGCCCAAGCTAGGCAGGTTTGTTGGCATGCACAGATTTTTCAGGAAGCTGCGCATTCCGATTGAGTTAAACATGTTTGCAATGGTGTACGATATATCCGGTGATTCGGGGCGGTAGCCAGGCACAGAAACAAAGCTGGTCAAACATGCCGACGTTCACCTGCTCCCTGTCCCATCCCCTTCACATCGACACGGACTTTGCCAATCCCAGGAATGCCTTGAAGCACGAACAGCAGTAACAGCAATACAGGAATCCTACACCTCAGGCGGAGAATCTGCAGTTGGACATGAGGTTTTGTGTTCGCTGCTCGGTGTTGGTTAGTGATCCTTGAGGCATGCTGGTTTATGAAAATTCGTTCTTTACGTCTACATGATTGTTTGTCCTTGCCTACAGCGTGGCCTGTCATGTAGAATTCAGAATACCGTAGATATGTGCTCGTGTATCCGTTGCGATTGGTGTCACAAGCGGCGTTTGCACGAGGATTCGTGTCACCTGTTGTCGTGGGGCATGCTCCGTACACAGCGTCCCTATGGTGTTTTGCAGCGGCATCTACATTGACATGATCTTGATGGGGATTTGTGCACTGTGTGGTTGTGCGGCATGTTGAGGCATGTTGAAGTGTCTACAGGGCGTGTAAATGGAGCTTTGTCCTCGCCGCGGAGTTGCTATTGCTGTCTGAAGCGGCGTGTTCCTGGGGGGTAGGTCGTGTAACCCACACATCGTCTACATTGTGGTTTGTATTCGCTGTCCCGTCGCCGTTTGCTGTCTTAAGCGGCGTTTATAGCCGTGCATGCGTGGCTGTGGTTGTTGTTGTTGTAGTTGGTACAGACAAAAACAGCAGCCCGTACTTGTTGTTGATTAGAAGCAATTGGGAATGCTTCCGGCGACCGCATAGGGTGCCTGTAGAGTTTTGGAAAGTTCAAGCCATGCCTGCCCCATGATAGAAATGCGGTGTAGGCTGGGTGGTTGTTGTAAAAGGGGGGGGGTCAAAACAACAGACGGGGCTCCAGTTTTTGCCTCTACTACAGAGGGTAGAGACAAAGGCACCAGCGAAATCAGGACTTTGTCTCTACCCCCTGTAGTAGAGGCAAAAACTGGAGCCCCGTCTGTTGTTTTGACCACCCCCCCTTTACAACAACCGCCCACATTACACCACATTTCCACCACAGGGAAAAGAATCTGCGATATCCAGAAGGGGTTCTGATGGGTGTTGGAAGGGCTTGTCTGGAATTTTGAGGGGTTTGCATTGGATACCCGTACACTCAAAACTATAGTTACCAGTTACTATACAGTAGTTTGTACAGGCCTCGCAAATGCATATTCTGCACGGCGGGGAACCACCAAATGCACTGAAATACACACCAAATCCACTGAAATACACACCAAATCCACCGAAATACACATTATATCCACTGAAATACACACCAAATCCATTGAAATGCACACCAAATCCATTGAAATACACACGCAATCCACTGAAATACACACGAAATCCACTGAAATACACACCCATTGAAATCATTGAAATACACACCAAATCCACTGAACTCCGCACCAAATCCATTGAAATACACGCGCAATCCACTGAAATACACACGAAATCCATTGAAATACACACCAAATCCACTGAAATACAGAGAAATCCACTGAAAATACACACCAAACAGTATACATCACAGTCATCCACAGGCACTGTGTTGTTGTTGTTGGGGGGGGGGGTAAAACAACATGACGGGGCTCCTGTTTTTGTCTCTACCTAATGTACAGACAAAAAGCAGATATATGGGTTGACGGGGCTGCAGTTTTTGTTTGTACCTTGTTGTTGCTGTTGTTGTTGTTGTTCTCACTGGTCAGGTTCCGCTCAGTTCAAAGCCAAATGTTGACATGCCGTCACCAGCCGATATGCTTCAACCACTTACCTTCCGGTGCCATCAAGCCAGCAAGGTCAGGGGGAGTCGCGGTAATGCTGCACCCACTCCCATAGCAAAAGCAGTTGCTGGATGCGATTCTGATGGAGCTTATTGTTACGGCTGTCCGGCACGCTTGAAAAGGGTCCCCTACGGCACAGAGCTTGTCACGAGAGCAACTTGTAAGCCAGATGTGAGCCCTGTTGGTGTTTCCGAGGACATGTAGCCTTTGCCTTTTCTCCCGTTGCAGGCAGACTGTCTCACACCCGATCCTGCTATTGTCGATCCTTTGCTAGAGGTTGTACCTCATGAAGCTGCTGACCCCGCGTTTGCTGCAATAGCCAATCAATCGGCACACAGGGAGGCTGCCTGATTTTAATTGGGTTTCCTTTGCCGAGGCGCACGGGGACCAACTCGGTGCGGACAAACAGGTGGTATCAAACAGCGTATGCGTCGCACTCACCCCATGCATTGGCCACACAACGCTGATGCGACGTTACGATTGAAGCAGCACCGTGTCGTCTCAGATACACGGGTGTTTGCAGAAACTGTTCGTTTGTCCCCACTGGCTGTCAGGCCGGAGTTTTGCATACACCGAAATGCCGGCATACTTTCAAGCGTGCCTGCTGCACGTCATTACCGACGCTCAGGTCACCCGTGTCAGAGTCGACCATGGCGGAGCTGGAAGTCGCGAACATGTTCGCCCAGAGCATGCCTGCACTGGCAGCAGAGTCCGCGAGTTCGCAAGCACGGAGGCCCCGGACACGGGGCGCAAGCGGCAGCAGGGCAAAGGCTTCAGAGGGCAAGCCGCCGAACCCGGTCAAGTCGGAGGGACACCGGCCGCTGGCCGATCTGATGACAGAGGAGATGGTGATGGTGCACCTTGCGTTGTTGACGCGACTGTGATTGAAACGCGAACACGTAATCGCAGCCTACCAGGCCGACACATGTTACGCACTGCGGGCGAGCTTTCCAGCACAGCGAACCGTTACCAGGTCACCCAGACATGGCGGAAACACCGGAGGAGCTCACACGAAGCGTGAGAGTCACACTTCTGACGGCGCTGTTCATGGAGCTGCGCGAACGCATACACTTGGTTTTGACTGCTGACCGGCACCGAACGATCTCCAAGCACTCATGGCTCAGCCCGGCCGGCGACGTGGGAACTACCACAAGTGGGACACCGCCAAAAAGGCCATGGTCGTGGACGCGGGCAAAGTCGGACTTCCTCACACAACAGCGGATCCTTCACCTGGATCCCTCTGCCCTGATACAAAAAATATCAAAAAATTTCATGCAGCTCGACCCCAGCTGGCCGCGTGTCAGAGCACTGTGCTACCCTTTTCGCTGCTGGTGGGCTACCAGGAAAACAAGCACAAAAACTCTGCGGCATTCTGCGGCGTGTTCCTGAAACTTTCCGATGGCACCGAGGTATCGGGGCTCGTCACAGACCGCATCGACGGAAGCGACAGCCCCTGGCCCATGCTTTTGCTGAATTCTTTCTAGAAAGAGCCGCAATCCCAGCATGTCATGTCACGTGGGAGGCACGATCTGCTACACATGTATTGAGAGACGCCGGTACCCCGCCCAGCCGGCTTGAGTTGCAGCTGGAGCTGCAAGCCTGCGTGCAGCATTGGCGCAATCAGGGCACGGTTCGCTCCGCAGGACACTACCAAGAAGTACTGTGTGCCACTCTTGGTTGATGCCGGTCAAGCATGTGTTGTGCCCTGCTTCACACCTATGCACAGCCTCAGCTGGGTGCGCTGTCAAATAACTGGCTTGATCTTTCACAGTGGCCCCACCGTCCATTCAGGACATTTCCAAGTCGAAGCGTGCCAGAGTGAGCACGAGCTCTATGTCACTAATGATGGTTGTAAGCCGTGTAAGCCCGCGACCCATGACCTTGAGCACGTGTTCGCTGGGGCTTACCTCTTGGCCTCTTGGGTGCTGTTCAGGCTTGGCGACACCTCCTCATGAGTTTCAACATGAAGCGCGGCGCATCCCGACAAAGAGTCGTTGCTAGCGCTCGCAATCAAAATTGCTACATGCGCCAGCTTTTTGACGGGCTGATACAGCTTGATCCGTAGTGACGTGGCACCGTACTTGCGAGCGTATTCAAAACGCTCCCACACAGACAGCAGATGTGGATTGAGCCAAGTCTCCATGAAAATTGTTTCTTGCGTTTAAGTTGGTTCTGCAAAGGTGCGTGCATGCGCTATGTCTACGACCGTTGTATATTCGCCTTGGGGATTTTCGGGTTTACGGTGGCATCAGGGATGTGTGTACTGACGATGCTGCGCAGCCTTGCGCCGGCTCTCACAAGTCTGCTGGTCATGCCTATTCGCTGGCATCCTGATGACATTACACACTTGCCAAAGTGCTAAATCCATGCCTGCCGGTGTGGACTTTGCGAGTCGACAGGATGCGTAACCAAACATTCTGAGTTCCACTCATCCGGATTGCCTAGCTCCTTCTAGTGCGGATGTGTCTCACAATGTTTTCCTGTAGGGTATGCCGCTATGCTGCTGAAAGCCAGCGGTCTTTGCCTTTGGTTTACGGAGCGGTACACATGGATGCTACGCAGCTGCTTCGGCACTCAGAATGCCTGTCGCTCCACAAAGAGTCAGCCATAGTGCCGAAGTTACCAACTCCTCAGCAAGCCCACGCTTCGGGGCTTCGTGCATACCGCCAGCATGCTGCCATGCCGTGGGCGTGTACATCAGGACGTGGCCCGGTCCACAACTGCCACAGCAGAGGAAAAACGCGCATGGGCCCCGCTCCGCTTCGCTTCGACAGTCACCTGTTGGCGGTCTGTACCTTGGGCTATTCCCTCTTTCTTTTCTCGCTGCCGTGCCTCCTCTTGTTCCTTATCCTCCTCCTTGTCTTCTTCTTCCTCTTCCTCGTCCTCTTCGGAGCAATTGCTGCACAAGCCGTACTTCACGATGCATTCTTTAAAGCGGGTGGCCAAACCGTTCACCCTGCTCCTCCTCATGTCCACCACAAGGCATGTCTTCGTAGTCCCATTTTACCTTCCCGAAGGCAGAAAGAGGCTGTGTGCTGGGGTGCGGGCACCTGGTCCGTCCAGCCTGGGAGGTGTTCGACGGAACCACAGGTTGCCGATGATATGCATTTTCATAATGCATGTGCATGAAAAGACCTGTCTGTAAGAACAATCTTGCTCCGTGCATGCCCAGCCCTACCCGTTCTGTCGGCATGCACCGTGCATCCACATGTTCTCATATTGTTTTCTCACCCATGCTGCTGCGCAAACAGTTTCACCGACCTTCGACGTCTTGCGAGCGTATTCAAAACGCTCCCATACAGACAGCAGATGTGGATTGAGCCAAGTCTCCATGAAAATTGTTTCTTGCGTTTAAGTTGGTTCTGCAACGGTGCGTGCATGCGCTATGTCTACGACCGTTGTATATTCGCCTTGGGGATTTTCGGGTTTACGGTGGCATCAGGGATGTGTGTACTGACGATGCTGCGCAGCCTTGCGCCGGCTCTCACAAGTCTGCTGGTCATGCCTATTCGCTGGCATCCTGATGACATTACACACTTGCCAAAGTGCTAAATCCATGCCTGCCGGTGTGGACTTTGCGAGTCGACAGGATGCGTAACCAAACATTCTGAGTTCCACTCATCCGGATTGCCTAGCTCCTTCTAGTGCGGATGTGTCTCACAATGTTTTCCTGTAGGGTATGCCGCTATGCTGCTGAAAGCCAGCGGTCTTTGCCTTTGGTTTACGGAGCGGTACACATGGATGCTACGCAGCTGCTTCGGCACTCAGAATGCCTGTCGCTCCACAAAGAGTCAGCCATAGTGCCGAAGTTACCAACTCCTCAGCAAGCCCACGCTTCGGGGCTTCGTGCATACCGCCAGCATGCTGCCATGCCGTGGGCGTGTACATCAGGACGTGGCCCGGTCCACAACTGCCACAGCAGAGGAAAAACGCGCATGGGCCCCGCTCCGCTTCGCTTCGACAGTCACCTGTTGGCGGTCTGTACCTTGGGCTATTCCCCTCTTTCTTTTCTCGCGGCCGCAGATGGCGCTGTGCCTGATCGATCGCCTCAGCGAAGGACCGAAACAGGCGAGCGTGGAGGCACGTCAGTGGAGTACTCAAGCAGTTCACCAAGATAACATCCTAGTATAATTCGAACAGGGTAATTTCGAGTATATAGTATATACTCTAACCCAAAAATATTGAGAGACCGTAAGGCATGACACTGGTAACTATTGCGGCCCCTATATTACCAACACCTGTCCAGCAGCACCTGCAAGGCAAAGACAAGGATGTGGAAACTGCTCACCAGTCACGTGCCTCCTCTTGTTCCTTATCCTCCTCCTTGTCTTCTTCTTCCTCTTCCTTGTCCTCTTCGGAGCAATTGCTGCACAAGCCGTACTTCACGATGCATTCTTTAAAGTGGATGGCCAAACCGTTCACCCTGCTCCTCCTCATGTCCACCACAAGGCATGTCTTCGTAGTCCCATTTTACCTTCCCGAAGGCAGAAAGAGGCTGTGTGCTGGGGTGCGGGCACCTGGTCCGTCCAGCCTGCGAGGTGTTCGACGGAACCACAGGTTGCCGATGATATGCATTTTCATAATGCATGTGCATGAAAAGACCTGTCTGTAAGAACAATCTTGCTCCGTGCATGCCCAGCCCTACCCGTTCTGTCGGCATGCACCGTGCATCCACATGTTCTCATATTGTTTTCTCACCCATGCTGCTGCGCAAACAGCTTCACCGACCTTCGACGTCGGCCTGCCGAGAAGCATCTTGCCCTTCAAAACTTTATAATCTATCCCCACGACCTTAATCCCCCGAGCCCAGCCCCTGCGCTTCGCTCATCTGGTTTTTCCAGGAATGAGGGGAGTGGGCCAAGCCTGGGTCGTAGCCTTTGCCCGGGCAGCGGGACATTTTGCTGCTGCGAGCGACCTTGCATAGTTAATTAACTTGGGACTGACGCTTCTAGCTGCCCATCTTATGGGGAGCAGGGAGCCGATAAAGGCCGCTTGGTTTACCGCGTCCTTACGTAGCAAGAGGATGGATGCCCGGACTCTTCCACTTCCTTGCACTCTGTTTCGGGTCACACGTTGAAGCAATTGGAATCAATTCGAGCGCGGGTGAAACGGCCTTATGCTCCACCACTTCCAGCGCCGGCTTGTCCACGAACTCCCCTCGTTGGCCGCCTGGAGTGCTTCGTGCCAAAAGATCCCCCAGCTGGGATCGCAGCAATAGTGGGAGTGGGGCGCCGTGGTCTGCCTTTTGTCCCGGCTTCTCTTTCGCTTCCTCGGCGAGGGCTCCGCCGCGCCTGTCCTTCGAAGCCCCAATCGGCTCAGCTTCTAGCTGGAGGCAGCGTCGCCGGACAGAGTTTTACACATGACACATCATGACTATATGTATCCGGTTTCAACATATTCAAAACACACATATGTGAAGGATTACATCCACCAGAAAATTAAAGTTTTTGAAGTCCAGGCAGTACCACGAAAACACGTAAATAGCAATCGCCCGACGGCGCAAATTATAGCAAGACCAACATCAGACGACGGGAAGGAAGGAACATGCTGGACGCGAGGCCATGCACAAAAGGCAGCAGTAAACCTCGTCCATCGGCATGCCGCAGTGTTTTCCTGAGGTTGATTGGCCGAACCACGCAGGATTTTCACGGCAGCTTCCTTTTCGTTAGCAATTACATTGGCTGGTTGCGGCAAACTCTTGTACTTGGTGCCCGGAGGAGAGTAGTGATCTGCAGGCCGGGAAATGCGACAAGTACCGGCTGCCTTTGATGATGGTGAATGCAGTTGACCCTTCCGCTGGCAGGTCTATTCTGACAGAGCAGAGTGGCTGTTAGCTTAGATTCGATTCATTTCGCTTCGAATTTGTTGACATCGACGCTGGGGACCTGCACCATGGCACGGCCGGTCAAAACTTGCAATGACACCGATATCTTCAGGAAATATCAGGAAAAGATTTGCGAAATGGGTTGATGTCGAGCCATAAGCGTCGAGTTAGCCTCGTTATGTGTGCTGTGTGGCTTGACTGCACCCAGGCTCATCAGAAATGCCATCTCGTTGAAAGCTGCCCTTCCGAAGGGAGACTCGGCCAGCTTCATCGCGAATGCTTCCGTAGCTGGCATTGTTGTGTGCCATTTTGAGGAGAATCGATGGAGTCGCCGCGATTCAACTTGGAAGTACCAGGCAAGTCCCACATCCACTAGGGGCATTGTCTCCTACGGAGCACGGCTGCGAAACACCTGCTTTTTGGCCAGCGGGGTGAAATCGATGTAACCAATCTGGCGGGCATGCATCAGCAGAAGTGGTTACGAGTCCTGCGGTTTTCCAGCAGCTGCATGTGATACGGCTGCGGTGCAGACGATTTTACAGGAAGGCAGCCTTACATCCGACCATGCACAGATGTTTCTTTCGTGCACGTAAGAGCAAGGAGACCGCCATGCAAGCAGGCAGCCAGAATTGACAGACATATACAAGAGTACACTCAGCTCTGCTTCGGAACGCTGGTAAGCATCACCAACGGAGGGATCTGTTTCTGCTTCATCCGGGACTGCAGCCTGCGGTGGTCACCCATTACAGGAGTTGTGCTGCTTCTGCCACCCATTATGCATTTTCTACTGGTTTTCCTCCGTGATCCCACCCTCATGACACCAACACCACCCGCACTATGCTCCGCTGTGGCGATGTAGCCGTAGCCCCGCTTGATGGGCAGCGATCGACACAAATGCGCATTGCCAGAACCCGCCGGAGTTTCCAAAAGCAACAGCTACCGAAGCCCCCATTTCAACTACGGCTTGGAGGGTCGTGCTCGAGGCTACGGCTACGACCGACGACCACGACTACGGCCACGGCACGACCGACTGGACTGCGACGACGATCACGACTTGGCTTTGCGACGGCAAGGTCGTGGTCGTGATCGTGGTGGTCGTGGTAGTGGCCGTGGTTGTAGTGGTAGTAGTCGTCGTCGTAGTAGCAGTCGGAATCGTTGTCGTAGTCGCACTCGAAGAAGCAGTAGAAGTAGTAGAAGTAGTAGAAGTGGCAGAAGTAGTAGAAGTAGTAGAACTAGTAGAACTAGTAGAACTAGTAGAACTAGTAGACGCAGACGTCGTAGACGTAGTAGTCGTAGAAGCAGAAGTAGTAGTAGTAGTAGCAGTAGCAGTAGTAGCAGTAGTAGTAGTAGTAGTAGTAGTAGTAGTAGTAGTAGTAGTAGTAGTAGTGGTAGTAGTGGTAGTAGTGGTAGTAGTGGTAGTAGTAGCAGCAGGAGTAGTAGTAGTAGTAGTAGTAGTAGTAGTAGTAGTAGTAGTAGTAGTAGTAGTAGTACATCGTGCCAGGAATTGAGGGCCGCTGTTTGTGAGCAAGACTTTGCTAATCTTGCCCATCTGTCCCTGAGCGGTGCAAGTGGTGCAAGTGCTGCAAGTGATCAAGTGGTGCAAGTTGTGCAAGGCAAGGTGGGCAAGATTACCAAGATTGCCCCCCCTCCCCCTCCGCCAACTGGTGCAAGTGGTTTTTGGCAAACTTGTGCGTCCATCTTGTCACCCCTCCAAAAAGCCAAGATGGGCAAGTTTGCCCATGTTTGCCCTACAAACTTGGTCAAATATCGGCCCTCGTTTCCCGGCACGCTGCTGCTGCTGCTGCAGTAGTAGTAGTAGTAGTAGCAGTAGTAGTAGTAGTAGTAGTAGTAGCAGTAGCAGTAGCAGTAGTAGTAGTAGTAGTAGTAGTAGTAGTAGTAGTAGTAGTAGTAGTAGTAGTGGTGGTAGTAGCAGCAGCAGCAGTAGTAGTGGTGGTGGTGGCGGTGGCGCGGCAGCGGCAGCGGCAGCAGCAGCAGCAGCAGCAGCAGTGCTGTTGGCGTAATAGTTTTGTGGTTGTGGTTGGGCCGTGGCGCGGCAAAGTCCCTGTGCTTTCCTTCGTATGTTGCAACACTAGTAATGTCCTCCTGTAACAGGGCCACCTGTTCGCCACCAACCTAGTTGCAATTTTGTAGTGGTAGTTGTACTTGTTGCGGAAGCTGCTGCTGCAGCTGTGTTCTTGTAATTCTTGGTCTGCTGCCTTCGTTTGATACTGCCTGCATTCTCCGCCCGTTATCACGAGAGCTAGCTCCTTTGGAGCTTGAGAGACTTGCGGCATGCAGGTAGCGCGGCATTATTCACATTCTCTTACAGGCATCTGCACGCTTTTGAAATACACAGCTGCCACTGCCGTAGCCGTAGCCCCTAGCTTTCTTCCGCTTTGCTCTCAAGTGCTGGCAAGATCTGCCGAGCATGACCAGGACAAGCATGTTTTATGTTCTCTCGCCCAGTTGTTGCAACTTGACCTCGGATGAGGATGGCGCCTGGCTCCAGACGTCATACTACGCCCACCACTTGCGATAATGCTTAGACCGTAAACTTAAACCCTATGAGCCCATTCGAGGACCCCTAAGATAGCTGAAGTATTCGGCTTATGTACTCTACTTACAGGATCAGAGGACTCAGTGCGTAGGGACTAGACCAAAACTAGGCCAACACCCTTAGTATTGGTTGATGGATTGTACTTGTAAAGTGAACGGCCGTTGCTGCAAGTCGCTGCATGCGCTTCCTGACAACGTAATGTATACGAACCCACAAAGAGTTCCTAACCAGCCAGAAAACGGGATCTGCTTTGTTTGTACGTGATGCAAACCCTCCAATCCTGAAATGTGGCTTGACATAAGGTTGCATGATGCGCAGGTGTTGGCCACCTGCACGACCTCTGCCTGCGCTTCTTCCCAAACGGTTGCTCGACACATATCGCTGTTTTGATTTGAGCCAGTGTGTCAACCACACAGCTCGTGGTGGTCTTTGTAGGTTCGTTACATGCGCAACAAGAGGACTGTTTCTTGGTCTGTGGTGCGCCGGGGGCTCTAGAGGGGGTGAACGATCTTGTGCGAGTGTGCCTGCGACTTGCTCATGACCATGTCTTCATAACCTCTGGTGTGCAGGACAGCTGCTCCCTCTATTTGGTGCATCCACTCGACATGCCTTGGGTTTGGGCCCCGACTGTCCTCATGACATTGTCTCTCCTGGTCTTACTCCCTCGTCCCCGTTTGCCTGGTAGAGCCGGGTTGCGAGCCTGGCACTCAAAGGACTCTGAGCAAGATTTAGCAAGTGAAGAGTCATCATCTCGATTTCGGGCCTCACCCGGGTTTAGCTCCTTGCGACTCGATGAGGTCGAGAGAGAAGTGTCACGCCGACATGAACACTTTGGGTGCTCATGCCTTCAGTTTTTTCACATGACATGGTGTAATCGAAGCCAACAAGCCCGGGTTTCCTCGAGCTTCTGGCCTTCTGTGGGGGTCATGGTGTTCCACGAACCTGACAGCTCAGATGTTTGTCGCCCCAGTACCAGTAGGCGGAGTGGGAATTTGGGGTTTGGGGAGTTTAGGGTTGAAGAAGTTTCCAGTTTAGGATTCTGAGAATTTTGGGTCTGAGTGTATGAGAGTCTGGACAGCTGAATGTCAAATCTTGCAGTCTCTTTGACAACCTTCAATCGAAGAGCTCGAGTTCTCAACATGTTTGCCTTGATTCCACAGGTCGTCGCTCTTCTTCTCACCTTGCACGGATTCCGCTATAGTAGCTTTTGTGGGTTACACCGGCGGCAGTTTTTACGGATTGATCCAACAACTTTATTCACACCGTTTGCGAAGAATGTCGCTCCCCCTTAGAGAACAGATGCGTGGACGCGCTTTCGCCGTGAAGTAGGACGATGTAGGACCGGAATGGTTCATGCGTCTTTTGACGGCACTGTAGCCCTGGCGGGGGCAAAGGGGGGTGCAAAACGAGCCAGTGGCCCCATGCAACACCACGTATTAGGCCCTGGGGATGTGAAAACGTAAAAAAGAAGTGTGGTGTTGTAGTCGCAACGTGGCACTCCTGCCGGGAGAAATTGTGTTCAGTGCCTTCAGCCGTGTCTGAGACCAACCTGTCATGCGGGAGCAGAGAAACTTGTGACACTGAGAGTTGACCGTTGACCATGCGCCTTTGGGCATCTTGCAACCTCAGTCCAAGTACGAGTTGGCCGTGGGCCGCACGATCCAGGGGCCCTTCGATCCGATATTCGGAGGCCATGCACCGCTGCAGTGAGCCAGTGTAGTGCAAGATGCTTACGTTGCAGACGGTGTGCACTTCAGATTCTTCAGCTTTGCAGCCCGCCCTTTTCACCCTTCGCTCACGTGGAACACCAGTCCTCAGGCACAGATGACTTTTGCAGTTTGTCTGCGAATGTCAGTGAGGACTTGAATAGGAAGAGTTGCTCAGGTGGCATTTAGGTGGCATGCGAGCCTCGAGAAGATGCTGAATCACGCGGTCTTGCGAGTGCTGCCTGTCTAGTCGGTGCGAGGACGAGATGGGACAGTCTGCCATCTGCATCGGGGTCCGATTTTTGGTGCAGTGCTGAGCAGTCAAACTGCCCAAAGATCTGCGAAAGCATGGCAAGTCAAAGTGAGGCCAAAGTTGCCGACTGAATTTGGAGCCTGGGCCTTGTTTCAGCATCGCGATCAAGTGAACATGCCATCCTGTGTTCACTGCCCTTGCGAGGAGCCTTCAGTTGGCCCTGTCGTACTCCACTAAGTGAGAGCACGGCAAAGCGCCAGCTGCGCCATGCTGCAGAAAAAAGGTGCATCGTGAAAAGGCGAATCGTCGAGAACTCCGAGACGTGAAAGATCGGCGTTCTGCCTGCAGAGGCGATCTTCACTCGCTCCGGGGCACCTCTGGGACCTGGCCTTGCGCTCGAGGCGTGCACACCGTGCTACCGCATCCGCCCTCCAGGCCCTGGCACCTTGCGTTCCGCAGCTTCCGCAGAGGTCGACGCCAGTACCTCCGCAGCAGAGAAGGAGGACTTCTGCAACAGGCCATTTCCGTGCACGTCCGGCCTGCCTCATGCACATCATTGCAGGCTTCGATTTCTCGAAGTCTTCATTCTGGTTGCTATTCGAGCCTCTCTGGCGGACTTGACTACTGCACGCTTTGAGTGCGCGGCTGCGCGGCTGCGACAGGTGAATCAAAGTCCTGTATTGACTTCCAGAGTACAAGATGCCAAGAGGGACTTGTCCCGGGGGCTGGCCTTCTCGAAAAGAGGCGTCGGACTCAGAGCGCACAATCTGCATCCTTTCGTAACAGCTTGAAAGGCAGTGGAAGTGGCATTGGTCTGACGGGAAGCTCGGGCGAGTTGGAGTGGATAGCTCAAATCCCTCGGAACTTAGGTGAATCATTTATGTCAAATATGTGTATCTTGCAAGCTTCAGGGGAGGGCCCAAGGTGCTGCACTCGGCATGATGGTAGGATGGATTGAATCTAGCTTTTGAGCCTTTTCCGAGCTCGCGCTTTTGAGGTCTCCATCCTTGCTGGAGTCCCACGCATGAACATGTGACGTGCTTACGCTTCTGTGCAGCCGGAATGGCCGGAATGGCTTGTCGCTGCTCCTGCTCTTGCCGCAGCTGCTACTGCTGCTGCTGACGCTGTCGTCGCTGATGTCTCATCATCGTCGATTCTCCAGGCTTCCAGGGATTCCAGGCTTGTCCAGCTTTGCGACTTGTCCTTGTGCGCAAACTCTGGTCTACTTCTCTTCGTTGGGCTAGCCGGGTTTCGGCATTTCGCTGCAGAGGATGGACCGGTAGGAAGTCAGCAATCTCGTTCTTCTCCTGAAACTACCTGGTGGTTTCTCATCGCTTTTTCAATTTTCGTTTCTCATCATGAGCAACCGAGTCCGTACGGCACACTATGGCAAGGTGCTTGCCACAAATTAGTTGTGGCACCAAGTTGAACAGTTTCGCTTAAAGCTTCCCAGTGCTGCTGGACACTCGTCGCGAACATGTCACCTTGGGTTACCCCGCAAAGGCTTTCAGTCCTGCTTCGAAGTATGGCATGTTGCTGCTTGAAAGTTACTGACTGTGTATCATCCTGGTGTACACGATTAAGTCAGACTTTGCACCCAAGGTTGGAGGTTGCGAGATCATTTATTCATGTTTATTTCGCAGCAGTCGGTCGAAGGCTTGTTTCAGCCCTTGGACATAGCATATCAGGCGCTTTTTTGATTTGAAGGCTCAGAATGTCACAGAGGTGAGTTGCTTTCTGGCAGTGGGTGTTGCGGGAATACAACAGTAAATGAATAGATGGAGCGGGACAGCGATGTTCGAGTTTGGATAACAGAGCATCGGACGAGAGAAATTCGTCAGTCAACAGAAACGAGTTGTTGCTTTGGCATCTTCAAAAGCCATCCCTTTCTAGGGATGTCATCCCATTTCGGGGATGAGTTCCGGCAGCTTATGGTTCTGCCGAAGAATAGTTTGAAGCAAATGCTGCATCCTACTGCAAGTATCTGCAAGTACTGTGTATGATGTATATCTGTATATATATATATATGTGTATATGGGTAGTTAGTCATTCCCCCACCCCTGCATCTTTGTAACTTCGCTCTCCTGTTCTCGATTCAGTTATCTGGTTTCGAAACTCGTGTCTGTTTCGAAGCATATCCGTAGGAGGCCCGAACCCAACCAATTAGCGCATTCACCCAATGATTTGCCCCAACCCATTAACCCATTAACCCAATGATTGCCCAAGTCGGGGTCGTCCGCACAAAACCCATTAACCCAATGATTTGCACAACCCATTAACCCAATCATTCTGGCCAAACGAATTTGGCAGACCTATCAACCCATTAACCCAATCATTTGCCCAACCCGTAAACCCATTAACCCAATCATTCTGGCCAAATGGATTTGGCAGACCCATTAACCCATTAACCCAATCGTTTGCCCAACCCATTAACCCATTAACCCAATCATTCTGGCCAAATGGATTTGGCAGACCCATTAACCCATTAACCCAATCATTTGCCCAACCCATCAACCCAGAAACCCAATGATTTGCCCAAGTCGGACTGGACTCTACTCCCAAGTTCGTTTGGCCAGATTGATTGGATTAATGGGTTAATGGGTTAATGCGTTCATGGGTTAATGGGTAAAGGCAAGTTCATTTGGCCAGAATGATTGGGTTAATGGGTTAACGGGTTGAGGCAAGTTCATTTGGCCAGAATGATTGGGTTGATGCGTTAATGGGTTAATGCCTCCCAAGTTCATTTGGCCAGAATGATTGGGTTAATGGGTTAATGGGTCAGGTCCATTAGGCCAGCATGATTGGTTTTATGGGTGAACGGGTGAATGGGTGAATGGGTTAATGGGTCAATGGGTTAATGGGTTACTGGGTTGGGCCCGTGGCAGGCGCGTGTTTCGAAGCATACATTGTGTTTCGAAACGCATGCCTGCCTAGACTACAGGTTAAATAGTACGTAAAAAGCACTTGTTTCACAGAGCGGTCTATATCCGTATATATATATATATATATATATATATATATATATATATACATACATATATATATATATACATACATAGATAAAAGTATGGTCAGGCCTCTGGCGTAAGGAGTGTGAGAACTGACAGCACGACACATTGATGCCCACTTCGGTTCACCAAGTCGTGAAGAGTCAAAGCGCCGAAAGCAAGTAGGATCCTTAACTCATGATGTCTTCCATTACATCATATTGAACTATGTTGTCTTTTCTTACATAGTGTTCAAGATATGCTATTGTCCCCTATCCCACAGTGGCTGAAGGTTTGGCAAATGCATACAGGTGTGTGATACTATGTACCATCTTCATACTTTCGATTATACACGACACCGGACTGGAATCTACTGTAGACTATGCCGTCGGCTCTAGCCTAGACTATACTATCGAACATAAGACTATAGTACAGACTATACTACAGACTATAGTACAGACCTTAGACGTTACCGTACCATGTTCTATATGCTGTACCAAAGACTATACTATGAGCTCGAGGAAACAGTATACTACATACTATGTCATGTACTATGCTCTGTAGTATACTATGTACTATGCTATATTCTAGACTGTATACTACATTGTATACTACACTGAACGTTTACAGTTTACTATACTCGCTGTACTATACAGGTGTCATATTTGAAGCTGTATCATTTCACCCTGTACCGTGTCATTTCATCTCACAATAGGTTGTACCATGTTGAGTACCTTGGTATGGTAAATTAAGAATTTTGACATTCTCATACTGGCCAATAATAGGTTAAGACATGCCATGCTAGATCTGATGATACTAGGCTTTTGTCATCTAAAACATGCATCTGGTTGTCAGTTGCCATATCTTTGCATATTACATCACACCAAAATGTTTACCGTACCAAACCAGCGTAATTCATGCTGTATTGGAGCATAACGTGTTCTATCATGGGTTCTGTTATATGGTACATTTACGACACTATACCAGTGTAAAGCATGATCCATTACATCATGTGTTTTTGAACAAAATAAACTGAAAAAATAATGCGATTTACTGTATTATGTCATTCTGCAAAATGCTGTACTCTATCGTGCTAGTTCACATTCTGTTTCATTTCATTGTGTTGCAGGAAATGCTGCACATTTTCAAGATATTGTATGTTACATATTCTGGACCGTGGATGTACCGTATTTCTGTCATGTGTATGGAAATATACGGGTTTATACTGCGGTGTGGGGCATGACTAGGGTCAGTACATCCCTCGCACTGTATTGTATTGGGTGAATACAGAAGATGCTGAAAGGTAGGGGTGGGGGAATGACCACGCGCCCATATATATATATAAATATAAATATAAATATAAGTATAAATATAAGTATAAATATAAATATAAATGTAAATATAAATATAAATATAAATATAAACATAAGTATAAATATAAGTATACATATAAATATAAATATAGATATAGATATAGATATAGATATAGATATAAATATAAATATAATTATGAATATAAATATAAATATAAATACAAATATAAATATAAATATACATACATACATATAGACACATGTTTACAGGAGCATGAGCAGCATGATAGGACATGTTTCGGACTTCCAGTAAAGGGTGAACTTTCCTTACCATGGACACTTCTCCTAGTTTCCCCCCTGGCTTAAAGTCACGAGAGAAGCAAAGGGACAAATGAATGAAGCGAATGTGTGCCCTTTGTTCTCTTCTTTTAATCGGAACACGGGTCTATTTAGTGCAAAAACAGAAGAGAAGCACCAGGATTACGAAACTAACTTACCATTGCAGACTTCTCATTTGAATTTAGGTCTTGTTCAATGCGGTGTCTCTTTTCGCTCACTTCCTTTTTCAGTTGAATCAACGAAGTGAAGGATATGCGAGCAGAAGTCAAAAGACAGATGTCCGAGCAAAACACGAAACCGCCCCAACGAGCAAACTTGGTTTCAAAGCAAAATGAACAAGCCTTGTTTTGTCGCTCTGTGGGCTCGTGGATGTTTACACCGTCACCGCATGCGGATTTTCAACAGGTGCGGTGCACCAACGGCTTACAGCAGCATGACTGGAGGAACAGGACCGCTGCTGGTGGTGTCCCCTGCCCACACTTTTGGTCTCTTGGCTGCGGCGCAAATGCATGCACGTTTACATGACTCTGAGATGCAATGCAGCATCTGCCAATGTGGCCACGGTGCAAAAAGCCCAAAGTCAATTGACTGAATTAAACCGTGCATCCACTACGCCGCTCCTTTGCATTTAATTCTATTTATTTTTTTCTTCTTGGATTCCGCTTGCGCTCCATTCTTGATTCTGCATGCAAACACTCAGGTGGTTGGTACATCAGAGTGTGGCGCGGTACCTGAAGAGGCGTTTAAAGGACTTGAGGATACGAAGGATTCGCATGCGCGGAGTGGCTTGTGTTTGTTTGATAATAGGGTGCACGCGCTGAAACGAAAGCCATGCTGACAGTCCTGGGTTGTTTGGCAAAGTCATGGTAGATTGTAGCAATCCGGAAGACATGCAGCAACTCGTCTGAAAAGGAATACTGAGCCCTAATTAGCAGTGAAACAAGAAAGGAGTACCCAGAAGAGCACAGCCAGGCCAAGGCACCGAAGGGCTGCGACACTTCAACAGGCAGTAGGCGCAGGAAAGTGTACGCAGTAGGTCCTAGGTGCGAGCACTGCGCGCCAGTTTTGGTGGAGTTTGTTGCAGTCAGCGCCCGAACCGATCAGACCTACATCGAGAGAGGAGAGCCAGGAAGATCAGGCGAATACGGTAACAAAGCTCGAGTGACAAGTGCGCAGCATCTGTTTAGTTACCCGGCACGCGGCATGCGGCCGAGGATCTCAAGACATCTCAAGCATCTACATGGCTCCAGAGCCAGAAGACTTTTGACTGTGCCTTCGCTTGTGGTGCCAAGGACGGACGCGCGTGACAAGTGGGAGTTCTGTGCTTAGCAGCGAAGTGTCGTGGCCGGGTTCCAGCGTATCGTGGTCTGGAGGTCAACAGTACGACGGCTTAGTGCAGTGTTGATTGGAGCTGGGCGGGTGCCTCGGTTCACCGAGTGTTGCTCGCAGTCGCCGTGGGGCCGTGCGCGATGCAGCTCCGAGGCCGGGCGGGTCCTCTGCAGAGGATCGGAGGAAGGAGCCGGAACCTCCGCTGCCCGGTCGCAGTTCTGGGGAGGAACCTCGTTGTCGCGATCAGCGTCACAAGCAGGTCTCCCCTTGCGAACCTCGAGAAGCTCTTTGCACAACATCTTCCTTAGCTTTTTTTGTGCGAGGCTTCCCTACGATGGAAGCCCAGTCCGATCGGATGTAATAGCTATGTAAATGTAAACAGTTCGTCATGTAAATACTTCGTCTTGGTGGATCCTGGTTGCAACATGCCATGGAACATGGAGTGTGCAATCAGTGTGAAGTCGTGAGGCAGCTTGGACTTTTGGGGGTCAGTTGCAAGCACCGCCTGGATCATCGCGAAAGCGACGTTGATTGCGGTTTTGGCAGTGGCGAAAAATGCGCTTTGCTTCTGTGGCAATTCCCAGGAGTCCAACGGGCCACAGGTAAGCATGGAGCCACGATGAGCAATGCTTCGCGCTTCCAAACTGTCCAGAGGAATGTGGTGCATGTCATTGGCCTCACCACCAATGTGGTCGTATCCTCTATTTCTTGAGCTGACGGTCCTGACAACCACCTTTCTCTCTCATGAGGCGAAGGCAGAAGTTCTGAAGTGTCCCGAGTACTTTGGCCAGTGCCCCTCACGGCGTCACGGTCGTACCTTGCATCCTTGCTGCATGGAAGGTACGGGAAACTGCTGCGGGTGACGGTCAGCAAGCTGCCCGTCCAGGTCTACAACTCGAGTTATCGGAAGTCCAATATTGCCCTGACAATGTTCCATTGCCAGTCAAAGTCTCACAATGGCGAGAAGAGCATCCCGGTCTATAGCGCGTGCCCATGCTCCTACGTTTTAAAATGGACGAGCTATTTGTTGCATCTTTTCTTCTTTCTGGAGTGGGCAAGCACGAAAGCCGCAGGAAAGGAGGGGAGAACCGGAGAGAGCGAGAGAAAAGCAAGCACGAACTTTGATTAAACTTTTTATTCTTCTTACTGTCATTACTGGTATGCTAATGCTAGTAGTAGTAGTAGTAGTAGTAGTAGTAGTAGAAGTAGTAGTAGTAGTAGTAGTAGTAGTAGTAGTAGTAGTAGTGGTAGTGGTAGTGGTAGTGGCAGTGGTAGTAGTAGTAGTAGTACTACTGCTACTACTACTACTACTACTACTACTACTACTACTACTACTACTACTACTACTACTACTAAATTTCTACTACTACTACTACTACTACTACTGCTACTACTACTGCTACTACTGCTACTACTGCTACCACTACTACTACTACTACTACTACTACTACTACTACTACTACTACTACTACTACTACTACGACTACTTCTACTACTACGAAAATTCTACTACTAGTACTAGTACTAGTACTAGTACTAGTACTAGAAGTACTACTGCTGCTGCTAGAAGCACGAATTGCAAAAAACATCGTTGAAACCATACACCTCCGAACCCTTGAAAACACTGGTAAGCGTGTCACTTTAACTACTTCAGCGTGCTCGTGGTTTCAAAGCAAGAGAAAAGACATATTCGTAAAGCACATCTACCACAAGTAATGCTGGTACTCATGGGATAAATGCACGAATTCGCGTGCAAAATCCACGGGGCCACCAGTGACTGTGTGACCTTGCTATTATCATTATCGTATCAGTACTCTTCTTTCTATTGTTATTACTGCTATTATTGCTATTGCGACTGTCGTCATTGGTATTACGACTTTTCTTAACGTTCGTGTTATTATTTCTGTCGTGGCTATTGCAACTGATACTTCTATTCGTACGATTTTTCGATTATCACTCGCATTACTGTTATTGTTGTTGTTACCGTTGTTTACGTCATGTAGGTTCTTCCTGTTGTCAGTACTATGAAGTATTCCTGTTAATCGTATGACGATTACGCATTGATTACCATTAAGCTGGGAATGTTATTATTGCTACCATCTTCAGTATGACTATCTAATCTAACTGTCATGACTATGATTGTCATGCTGTTGTTGTCATGAAAGCTACTGCTGCTAGTGTTGGTGTGACTTTTACTATGATAGTTTTCATCACTATCATTACCATTAGTATTGCTGACCACAACAACTATTATTAGACTTGTGGGTTGGGGGTTCTTTTTGGGTATTTTTTTATTGTTTTTTTTGTATTTTTTATGGTTTTCGGTTCGGTGGGTACGCGAGTCAGTCAGTCAGTCAGACAGCCAGCCAGGCAGCCGTGTGGTCAGTCAGTCAGGCAGCCAGTCACTCCGTCTGCCAACCGCTCGGTCAGTCAGGCAGTCAGTCAGTCAGTCAGTCAGTCGGTCGTCCAGCGGTGAGTCGGTCAGCCAGTCAGTCCGTCTGCCAACCGAGACGTCGATGAGTCTGGCTGTCTGTCAACCAGTCTGTCAGTCCGTCAATCCTCTAGTCACTCTAGTCAGTCGGGCAGTTGTTGCACCTGCAACCAGTGAGCATGGGGTACCGGAGACTCGGAATCGCCAAAAGAGGGGGCGCGTTCAAGATATATGATGAACCGGAACCGCCGAATCAGGGGGCGTGTTTAAGATAGATGATGAGCCGTTATCACCAAAAGAGAGGGCGTGTTAAAGACATATGTTGAAACGGAACCGCCAAAAGAGGGGGCGTGTTTAAGATATTGTGTGAACGGTTATCGCCGAATGCGGGCGCGTGTAAAGATATCTGGTGAACCCGAATCGCCGAATGAGGGGGCGTGTTGAAGATATGATGAGCCGTTATCACCAAAAGAGGGGCCGTGTTTAAGATATATGGTGAACGGTCATCGCCGACTGAGGGGCCGTATTAAAGATACATGGTGAACCGGAAAGGGGTGTGTCTAAGAGTTTTTTGTATAATCTATGGTGAACCGGAATCGACAAATGAGGGCGCTTGCTTAAGATGTGATGAACCGCCGGTCCTCTTGCAAGTGCGTTTGCAAATGAGGGGGGGGGCGCCGCCCCCCAACCCCCCCCCCCCCCCCCCGCTTTCTCAAGCCCTGTTTTTCTTTAGCGAACTTCGTACCATCAAGAACGCTATGGCCATTTGCGATGGTCGCAGCAAGTCAAGCACATAACTATTCTGGGACTTTTAAAATCCCGTCCCAGGGGCCCAACTCCCCTCGCTTTACGTTTGGGCCAGGCAAGCTAAGATATATGGTGAACGGTTTTCGCCGAATGAGGGAGAGATAAAGACGTGTATGGTGAAGCGGAATTGCCAAATATAAGGGGTGTGCTTCAGATATATATACATATAGATATATATGGTGAACCGGAATCGCCAAATGAGCGGGGTTGTTTAACACGTATCATGAGCCGTTATCGCCAAATGAGGGGGCGCGTTTATCATGTATGTTGAACCGTTATCGCCAATCGAGGGTGGTGTGTTTAAGCTCTTGGCTGACCCGGAATTACCAAATAAGGGGGGTGCTTACCGCTTGCAAGTGCGTTTGCAAACGGGGGGGGCTGCGCCCCCCCAACCCCCCCGCTTTCTTCAGCCCGGTGTTAAACTTGCTTTAGCGAACGTCGTGCCATCAAGAACGCTTTCTGGCCATCATTGGCGATTGGTCGTAGCAAGCCAAGCGCATAACCTGTATGAGACGTTTCACAGCCCGTCCTACGGGCCCAACCCCCTCCCCCCTGCTTTATGTTTGGGCCGCGGTGAATGGTTTTCGCCGAATGAGGGGGTCTTGAATAGATATATGGTGAACCGAAATTACCAAATAACGGGGGGGGGCGGGGGGGGGGGCGTGCTTCATGTATATATATATATATATATGTATTTATATGTATATGATATATGGTGATCCGGAACCGCCAGATGAGGGGCTTGTTTAAGACGTATCATGAACCGCGATCGCCGAATGAGGGGACATGTTTAACATGTATGTTGAACCGTTATCGCCAATTGGGGGGGGCTGTTTCAAGATATAGGATGACCCGGAATTCCCAAATAAGGGGGCGTGCTTTAGATATGGTGAATCGGAACTACCAAATCAGGGGCGTTCTTCAGATATATGGTTCAAGGTATATAATGAACGGACATAACCAGAATCGCCGAATCAGGGGGCGCGTTTAAGATATATGGAGAACCGGAAACGCCAAGCGAGGGGGCGTGTTTAAGATATATGAATGAACCGGAATCGCCGAATCAGGGGGAGTGTTTAAGGTATATGATGAGCTGATATGAGCTGTAATGACCTAAAGAGGGGGCGCGTTGAAGGTTATGTGTATATATATATATATAAATATACATATACAGATATACATATGATGAGCCGTTATCGCCGAATCATGGGCGCGTTCAGGATATATGATGAACCAATATCACCAAAAGAGGGGGCATGTTTGAGGCATATGGTGGACGGTTGTCGCCGAACGAGGGGGCGTATTAAAATATATATGGCATATGGTGAACCGGAATTGCCAAACACGGGGGCGTGTCCCAGATATGTGATATAATCATATCTATGGTGTACCCCAATCGCCAAATGAGGGCGTGTGCGTAAGATGTGATGAATCGCCGGTCCTCTTTTGCATTGCGTTTGCAAACCGGATGGGGGGGCGTTTTATAATTTTTCTTGCAATTTGCAAGTGTTCCGGATCCATCATAGGCAAAGAGGGGGGGTCCCCGCTTCGTCAAACCGCGCAAGCTCGCTTCAAACATCATTTTGCCAGCAAAAACAGAGTCCATATGAACGTGATGCATACGTACATTGGGTTTGCAACTGGGGGGCTGCGCCCAACCCCCCCGCAACCGCCCACTTTCTTTTCATGCCGTGCATGGCTTGCCGTCAAGAAGAATTCCGTCAATCACATAATGCTTCGTCAAGAAGGAATTGCGTCAATCACATGTTTCTTCTTTAAAGTTTCGAGTGTTCCAGATCCATCATACACGGTGCAAGTTCTCGACAACCCAGGCCCAGAAAACCATAAAAAATACAAGAAAAAGTCCAAAATCAGGCCCCTCCGCGTGACCCTTACAGGGTTTTCGGCACAGAAAACCATAAAAGATACACAAATAAAACCATAAAAAAAGCACAAAAAAACCCTGGACCCAGTTGTGGTACAGGGTTATTACTTCTTCTAGTCACATAAACCTTATAGATCTTTTCTGGATTGATTATACTGGCATTCGGTTGGCAACTGGGCACCCCCCAGCCGCATTTTCAAGCCGCAGCAGCCGCTTTCTCCAGCCGTGCAAGCTTACTTTCAACATCGCGCCATCAGCAAAGCATTGCATCAAGCACATAGCTCTTATAGAACTGATTCAATATCCATCATACAGGCATTCTGTTGGCAAACCGGGGGGGGGCTGCGACCCCGCCCAATCCCCCACTGCTTCAAGCTGTGCAAGCGCGCATAAAAACACTTCTTGCCAACAAAGCAGAGCCCAAACGGACCCTTTCAGATTCGTACCCCGTGATACAGACATTGTGTTTGCGAAGGGGGAGGGCCCTCTTAGCAGCCCGCTTTGTCTTTGAGCCATTGCTCCCTAGAACATCGCGCCATCAAAACGATTTGCGTCAAGCACAAAACTCTTCTAGAACTTTTCAACATCCATCATCCAGGCATCATATCTTGGAAACCCCCCGTTGTTTCTGCCGTGCAAGCTTGCTTCCAGCAACATCGTACCATCAAAACCAGCATCATGTCGTATAAAAACGGAGACCACATCCTTTTTTCGGGAAAGGCATAAAGTAAAATCCAAGTTGTTCAAGCTTTCTAAACAAAACAAAGGCAAGGAGGTTCTGGTGAAAAAACAGGTTTCCCATTAACTTTTGTGAGAGCCAAACCCGAGAAGCGAATTCAGCAAAAGCTACCCCTTGCTGTCCCAAAGTAATTTCGCATCCTTCGAGATGGGCATTCTCCAAGCCTTAATCTGCAGGTACCTGACGTTCGAGAAACCAGAGGAGGCATCTGTCGCAATACAGGCCCCCGGTGGGGTGCTGCACCCGTCTCTGGAGGTGTGTGCTGCATGTGCCAAGTTCTTCCAGGCCGTAGATGGATTTGCCGTCGATGGGCACACGCTTCGGGCAAATTTCGGCACCACCAAGTGCTCGACAAGTGAAGAGCTTGGCTTCTCAAGCTTTGGGGCCTCCGATCAGGTACTGCCGCAAATTTCTCGAGGGCGAGAGATGCGAGCGCAAGGTGTCTCCGGCAAACCCACTTGTCACCAATGTTTCAATGTTGCCAGTGCTGCGACCTTCGTGAGGACTGCAACTTCTTGCATAAGCTCGCGGATGAATCGAACGAGAAGGGCAACTGGAAAGCCGGCAGATTGCAATTGGAATGCTGTTGAGTTCTTGATGGCATTCTGGTGTTCTGGGCGCCGAGGGTGGCAAAGATGGCCGAGATGGGAAAGGTGGTAAGGACGGAAAGTGTCACGGCCTCGGCGACAGGTTGTGGATTCGAATGCCTCGATGCCCAGCTGGACGGCAGGGTACTCGTCGTGGAATGGCAAGGAAAGCTACCAGAAAGCGGAATGGGCGGAGGACTGTCATCAGACAGCAGCCAGCTTCACAGGTCGCATCGACCTTCTTTTTTCAGGATGGGAAGGGGAAGGACAGCAGGGGAAAGGACTACAAAGGCAGGTTGGAGCCACGGTGATGTCAGCATGAAATATTCTGGAAAACGTTGTTGTTGCAGATCTAGTGCATGTGATGGGGATGCAATGCCCAGATCGGAAAACCCGATGTCCCACCTTTGTCACGAGTGCCCCAAGTGGATCGACGGTACTTGCACGGCATCTACAAAACCTTTTGGGTGGGGATGCGATGCAAGCTCGCCAGGGAACTACTACAGAGACTGGAGGGAAGACAAGGCCGGGACTGGCTGGGCCGCCGGCCAGCGTCGCAGCAAACATGTCGTGGACTTGCCAGGGCCACCGAAAAGATGGGGGAAAGGGTCGGTGGAAGGACTGGGGAAAAGAAGGCAAGCACGGCAAAGACTTCAAGGCAGGGAACTGTTGGAGTCTTGGGGATACATTGGCATTGGACTGTGTGTATGAGCAGGGCAGAGGCAAATCTTCGAAGGAATGGTGGAACGGCTGGTACCAGCACGACTGGGGAGGCGTCAACCCGTGAAGCAGTGTAGTTGGCTGGAAGTCGTTGGAGCCGTACAGGAGCGGATGCGGGCTACGGCAATTACGGGGACGAGCCTGAGGCCACGTATACGCGTATGCACAGACACTTCGCAGCTAGTGCCATGCAAGGACCCAGCAGCTCCAGAAGCTGAAGGTGCCTGAGTCCTGAGTGGATGGAAATGAAGTACAACGTTTACAGTCTGAGGAGTGCCTAGGTCCTTTGGAGATCTTGCAGTATCATGCAAGATCAGTATCATTACCTGTTTCCTTTTGTGGTCGTACAGTCCAGGAAACGCTTCTCAGGGCTCCTTAGCCGTTCGGCTTGCTTTTCTATTTTGCTTCTCTGCTTTTGAGTGTTGGCTTCCCGTATTCTTGACCCCCCTGCAGGGACAACTTTGTCTTTGCTCATACTGCAATCAATGAATGGTTACATTCGACGACGCGCGAGTTTATGTGTGAACAAGATGTGTATTGAGCATCCATAGCCACATGAATTCACTTATGTTCCTATACACATATATGGGTATACATGTAGTATATACACACATGTTTGGTATCCAACATGTATGCCATACATGTATGTGCTTATGGTCATGTCCCCTCTTGACTGGTGTGTAGGGTGGGGCGTCGCCGTCTCAGTGGCTCACTCCGGCCCCCGCGCCCCCTCCCCCCTCTCACCTTCCCCTTTCAAGGCATACCCGCCCCGCGCCCACGGACCCCTAGGCTCTGACGGGAGGCGACATCTCGAGTCTCAAGAATGCTGAAATGGGGTTCAATTTCCCGTAGCTGGTGCTGTTTCTGGATGAATGATCTTGATGTTAATTATTGCGACGTCCTCCGCTGCTCTCGCCCCCGATGGTATGGTATATGCACACCCCCTGTGGTTGGGTGGATGGGCTGGCGTTCGGGAAATGTCCTTGCCTGTGTGTGGGCGTGGGGTAGGTTAGTGGGTGCGCGTGAGGTGGGTTCGGGTTTGGGTTAGAGGATTAAGTTTGCTCTTCGTTCGGATTGCGCCTCTCGACATGTTCAACTCAGTTACGAGAGTCGAAACACCAGCGTACGTTAGCACTGCTGCACCACGTATGCATGCCTTTCTCCATGCACTTCTGTTTGTCGGCTTGTCGGTCGGCCTGTATCTCTGTGCATTCGTTTGTCCGTCCGTCCGTCCGTCGCTCGGTTGCTCAGTCCGTCGGTCCGTCCGTGCGTCCGTCTGCCTGTCTGAGTATGAGTCATAGCAAGTGTGTTTGCAGAAATTGCAGCACATTGAGCTTCAGCGGGGCTGCAGATTGTACATGAAAGGACAGATGCGCAGGAAGAGATGAACGTGTAAGCAGTTGTCTTGATCGTGCGAGGCGCCGTCCACGAAGATGAGCAGGCCTCCACAAGCATTGCAGGCTTCAACCGCGTAAGCCGCACGGTAGCCGAGGAGTCATTGTCGACGAGGCCCGGACGGACCGTCTGCAGCCGACGTTCTTTTGGCAAAGTCCTTTTGCAGGCCCGCGAAAGAAGAAGCGACTTCCTCGGCACAGGCTCCGTGATGCATCAGTTACTGCAGCTTTCAATACCTAGTGGTTCAGGACGGGGGTGGACCAGAGGATGATGACAAGGCCGGTGCACCGGTGTTTCGGATGCTGCGCGCGGCTGCGTCGACTTTAAAAGGATGTGAAAGGGCTATTCCGTTGGTAGTTGAGTCGGCCACTTGGCAAACTCGATTTTTTGGGCGTTCTTGAGCTTCATGCTTCCTCGTCTAGCCGTCTGCTTTGAGCCTGTCTGTTGCGTGCACTTTTGCACTTGGTATCTCGGCTGGACCAGCCATCCACGCAAAACTCGAAACACTCATCTGCAAGATCGGTGCAGGCGTCGGTCCTAAAACCCAGAGGAGTGCTGTCAAGATCGGATGGTGGCACATGTGAGCCACTGGGCTTGAATCGTCCTGTGAGACGTTTGGGACGATTGCACCAATGCTGGAGCAGGTCGTTGTCAGTGCAAAAAAGTACCTGCTTGCTCGCAAGTACGTGCTGTCAACCGGGGCCGAAATCCCGGGACAGCAGGGAATGGGGGGGCAGTTGGGGTATCTCCGGTACGAACATCAGGCCTCGGTAAGGTTACTCCGCAGGAGCCCGGGCTTCTTGCAGTTGGAGCATTCGTGATGTGCAGAACATGAAGTGGGCTTTCAACTGTTCATCTGCCAACAGGACAAGTCCTGAGTCCCCACTGCTCAGTTCCATGAATCATAGCCCGAATCATAGCGGTTGTGGCATCGAAGAAGTGCTCGTTGTGCAGCCCTGCTGGTGCTTAGTGCCACTGCTCCCTACTCGTCAGACGCGTTCCAAGTGATGTGGGACATGGATTCCCAGAGCTCACCGTACAGGTATCTGACTTCCGGACGGTCGTAATTGCGGGAGCTGGAGGGGTCCAAGAGGGGAAAAGCTCAAGATAGGCTTGAACCGAAAAGGATCTCGCACGAGGCCCTGCGGGAAGTGAACAGGAGAATATGCAAAGAGATAGTTGGTGGGTTGAGCTGCTAGGAATTGGCAGGTCGTGAGCATCCAATCTCTCGAACGGTTATCGATGCAGCTCTCTCACCGACACGAGGCATACAGATCGAGCGCCGATTTGCCATCACCACCGCTGACAGCCAAGACTAAGACTGACATTCGTTTAACACGGGCGCTTCTTCTCTCACATGCATACTGCCCGTTCCGACTTTTCGGGAGAGTGCCGATTGACTTTGCTTTCGTGAGGTCCATGCCACCATCGCAACCTCCGTCGCAGCCGCCGGCACAGCCACCGGCGCAGCCACCCGCACAGCCGCCTGTACAGCCCCTAGCACAGCCGCCGGCGCAGGCACCAGCACAGCCACCAACGCAGCCACCAGCAAAGGCACCTGCACAGGAAACGAACGAACCGCAAGCGAACCTGCCTCCGCCGGCCAGCCCTCCTGTACAGCCCCCTGCAATGCCACCATCCATGCCACCAGCCATGGGGCCAACCCCACCAACAGCAATGGCTCCGACCATGCCAGCAACCCCACCGCCTGTACCGGTGATGACTCCAGCAACGCTACCGCCACTGCAGCCACCGTCCCAGCCCCCTGCACATCCACCCAGCAAGGCATCTCCACATGCAGCTTCCCAAACTTCTCAGATACCCATGCAGCCGCCCTCCCAGCCACCTCCACAGCAAGCACCGGCAGTCCCTCACGCTGCGCCACCACCATCACAGCCGCCAGCTAACCCACCGGCGCAGCCACCGGCACAGCCCCCTGCACATGTTCCAGAACAGCATCCACCGACCCAACCACCAGCGCAGCCAGCAGCAGCAGCAGCAGCAACAGCAGCAACAGCAGCAACAGCAGCAACAGCAGCAACAGCAGCAACAGCAGCAGCAGCAGCAGCCACAGCTGCAGCAACAGCAGCTAAGACCGCCGGAGTGGCAGCAGCAGCAGCAGCAGCAGTTGAGGCAGGGCTAGCGCAGCCGCGCCCCAGTCGCATTTCCAAGTTGGTCTTAATGCGCATGCGAGTTCCATGGTCAAGTTTGACCACGTCACAAAAGCAGCTTGTGTTCCGGGCAATTTAGGCCCACCCAGCCGCCCCTGCAGCCGCCACTTGTTGCTTCACACATGGCCTGGGTCCAAGACTTCCTGTGCGATGCTTGCTACCTCTCGATGATGCCAAGATACCAAGTGCAGCACCAGAGCAGCCGTTCCAGAAGGCCTTGGCAACGCATTTACCGCGTCGCACTTGTTCCTTATCCAGCTTTGACGTTGCAACAGCCCATCGCCTTGACTCGGATTCAGACCCAGAACTGGCTTTCAGGCTGCTGCGAACGAAGTTGGACATCGTGATGGACAACGTGATGGCCCAAGTAGTTTCATGGCGCTCTTTGCCGTGCCTGCTGGAATAAAGGAGTATCAAGTGCTGCAAAGGTTTAAATGGATCATCAAGGTGCATTTGCGATTGCAACGAAAATCTGGACCACAGCGTTCAGCATGATGTGTGCTGCGGGCAATGCAGGTCCCACGCGGATGGCGGCAGTTTCAGTAGCTTGCACGGCTTCCAGGCTCCCTGCTGAGCACTGCTTGCGAATTGACATATATGGTCACGCGCTCCGCAGCCCCCCCACCGCTCCCCCCCAAAAGGTCAATGGTCCGGATATGGGGTGCCCCCCCCTCCCCTGTGGTGTGGGGTGTGGGGTTCCTCTTCCCCCTGTGGGGTGGTTGTGGGGTTTTGGGTTTAGCTTAAGCTTTTGAGTTTTGGGTTTACGGCTACAAGGTACAAGGCTTCGAGTCGAAAAGGGCTCAGGGAGGATTTGCGGTGTATGCTCTGCTTTAGGCTTAGAGCCTGCAGTTAGGTGGGGTTTAGGGTTGGGTGTAGCATTCTAAGTACAAGTTAAAGTTGCTCAAAACAGGGGCACGCGCTGCGTCATCGAGTTTACGGCTTGCTTGCGAAGGGCTTGCGCGTGAGCCCTGGCCGCCAGCACCACCCCACCATCCAGTGCCAGCTCCAACGGCCCCCAGCCCCTTTCCGCGCACGCCAGCCGCCCCCCCCCACCCCTGTCAGACCATACCATTGGGGGGGGGGGCTGGGAACGCCAGACGCCTGACCATGCATTGGCATACAGTCCAGCCAGGCTCTGGCAGAGAACTCTGCGACGAGACCTTCCACCGTAGCGCCGTTGGCTCCTCCGAGCCACTTCCTCGAAGTGATAACAAACTGAATAACGTGCGGGGTAGTCCATGGGGTTGCGAAGGCTTCCCACCTGATGTACCTGCACAGTCGCGTTCTCGGGCTTTTGGAGGCAATCATTGAAATGGGCTGTGCCGTGCTCTATCTGCCGAGGTTGGATCGGCCGCATGCAGTTGTGCAGGAGCGGCAGGAACACAGATCAAAGCACCCCAACATGTCTGAACTCAAGGACCTGTGCCGAAGTTTGGTGTTGCTTCAGGAGGAAAGCTTGGAATCAGGCCAGGTCGGACGATCAGACGGGCTGTGCTGTCGCGGCTTTAGGCCCGGGGGCAGCTGGTAGCCGTGGTAGCCGCTGGCTCGAGGATGTCCCAGGTCTGAGCAATGACCGCCCGCGATGAAGCTTTCTACCGCCGGGCGGTGAAGTGCCTTCGATTGACGACATGCATAGACTGTTCCTCCCCCCTGATATGTTGCTTGAAGGGCTGCCTGCATCCAAGGCTGCTGAGCTTTGGATTCTTCGGAGTATTTGGAGGGTTTCAGGCGGCGCAGGGCTTGCAGTCCTCGCTGAATGCTGAGCTGGGCGAGTTGAACTTGGCTTGCCTGCTTCTTGGATGCGGTGCGAAGTTTGTTGCGTATACTGCGATAGTGCTTGAGTTGTGCCAGCTGGTTCCGCTATGTGGTCTCAGGTACGGAACTTTCACAGGCTTATGTCTGGTGGTGCCACCAGTTCTCTCTCATTTGGAGAGATGGCTTGGCATGCAGTGGCTGCTGGCACTTTGCTCTGCAGCCTATGCGGCCATGGTGCCTGCCCAAGGTCTGTGCTGCACTCCCACTATCCGTGGCGTTTTCGCAGATGCCAAGGCGCTCTCCAACGTCATCAAAGTGCCTGCAACACCCTCACCAATGTGGGCAGTGACTGCCCCGGATATGTGGGTGCATGCAAGATAGAAGGAGAGCATTGCGCGGCATTCTATCTCCGCGCCCAAGACCCACAATGCTACGACCACTGTGAAAGAGAAAATAATGGACATGATGTTCAATCAGGGCCAGGGCCCTGCTCGTTTTGAAACCTCCAATTCCCATCACTTCTTTTGGGTTTTCGATTCCTTTGGAAGTGGGTGTTTATCACCATCTGAAGATTCAGAACTCTGCACGCTTCTTGCTAAGTTTAGTGTTCGCTTCGACTGAACTGAAAAATTAGCTTCAGGGTTCGCTGCCCGCCAGGCACGTCGTTTCAGGGTTGACGGGTTCGCTCTGCATCAGTTCGCTCTGCATCATTCCCTCCCTGCCGACCGTTGCCGCTGATCACGCTTTCTGGGTTTGAGTTTTGTTGTGAATGATCCCCATGTTGCCGCACCTTCAGTGCAGCATATCGCAAATCCAGCTACGAAGCGATGATATCATGCTTCAGGCCCTCGCTGCACACATGTCGTTTTCTTGTGCAAGTCAGTGCCAGGGTGGACTTCGGAATGTCTTTGTATAGTTTAGAGTTTAGAGCAGCAGCTAGCCCGTGCCACGCCGGTGCCATTAACTATTGCTTATGTTATCCGACAGTAGCCCTGGATCGCATCGCAGCAGCTGTTGGAACATGATTCGTCACGCCTTTAGGCCATCCGTTGCATACAAATTGGATTCTTGGTTCCGCAGCATGACGATTGCAACATGCAAATGTTTGAGAGATGCTGGATGTGATGGGTTAGGTCGAATTATACAGCAGCTCAGATTCATGGTTTTACCGTGAGAACCTGGGCTTGCTCCACGACTATACAGAAAGTTTAAGCGAGCATCGACAAGGTTGAAGCTGCTAAATGTTGTAAATAGAGGCGAGCGAGTAGAGACGCACAGGTGAGATTTATCGGAATAGTGTTGGCAAAAGCACATGGAGATTTACGGGCCTTGAGAACTCAAGGCTGGAGACCTTGAGGGTTGCATGCAGCCCAGGTCACCGTTTCCTTCAACGTGTTGGTTGGAGTTGCTGCTCCTCTGCTTTGGACAAGCCAAAACACCTATCTTAGCCGCTGCGCCCTTCACGCAGCAGCACTTTCGCAAGAAGCTTCTGGCATAGTGACAACGCGCACTTGGGCTGCCAGTGCGATCTGCTGTCTGTTGTCTGTCTAGTTTCTGGGTGGATCTTAGTCGCTTCGACGCTTCGACATACGAGTAACCCTTCCTGTGCATTGGCTGTGACCCCATTCTGAGGCTACAATAGTTTGTTCTTCTCGATTTACCAATTTGCTGGCATGTTCGGTAATATCCTGGCTTCTGCCATCTTGGTGGCATTTGGCACCATCCCCTGGGCAAAGGACATTCTGTTCTTTGCTTTGACCCTCTGCTGCCTGATGGGTGCCTCAGTTTTCCTGGCAATGCCGACTGTGGTACACGATTTGGGTGATGAGGAGAAGCTACCCAGAATTGCCGATACGGGTCGACTTGCATTCACGGATGCCAAGATTGGGTTAATGATCCCGTTCATGTTAACGAACGGGATGTGTTTGGCCTTCTTCCTGGGCGACTTTCAGACTGACGTTACTTGCCCAGTTGCCGGGCCTGCTTACACCGGATTCGTGATTGCTGCATTCTATGGTGTGAATGCTGTTTCCTCTGCAGCCTGGGGTTTCCTTATAACTCGAAAGTGGCTCTCGCGCCGCACGGTCTTCATAGTCGCCACACTGTTCGTGGCCGGCTTTTTGCTCATCAAGCAACTCTGGACGGTGCCACAGAACTTCCACTTGATTCCGGGGAGTACGACCTGGCAAAAAGCGGACACACCAGATTGGAAAGCAATTCTGGCAGTGTTTGCGATGGCCGGTGCATTTGCGTGTGGTGACTCGTTTTGCGAAGCCGGGCCTGCAATGACCTTGCAGACCTTCTATTCCAGCTCAGACCAAGTCATGGCGGCCACATTCTCAGTTTTCTCAACAAAACACGGCCTTTGGGTTTTGGGGCTTCTTCTTTCTCTATCTCTGTCTGCCTGCAGTCTACAAGCGGTTCACCAGTAATGGTTGAAGCCTATGGAACATAGGCAGCAGAGGCGAGCCTTCAAGCAGGCGCTTGTAGTTGAACCAATTGAATACGTGCTCCGTGCGTTTATTTTATCTGACTAGCTGCTTTTTTGGTTCCCAAGTGGAGTGCTCTGCTGCTGACGTGAAGCTATGTGGAAAAGCTCCCTCGCAGACGTGAACACCGATTTCAGAAGATGGGTTGTTTGGTAGACAGAATCTGCGAATGCAAACGGAGAGTCGGAGTTCTGATGCGAGGTCACCAGTTAGTTGAGTTTCCAGTTTTGTCGTGCAGGCTTCCGTACTTGATATGTTCGCGAGAGGGGACGTGTTGATCCTAAGTGAGTGGTGCGAACTTATGAGGTGCAGTGTCAACTGTGAAATGGTACCGCAGGGTACTAGCGTGTCGAAAGGCCGGCACTACCAGTAGCAGCAAAAGCAAGCACTTGTCATGTTGACGCCTCCCCGGAGCTAGTTGTGTCGGTGGTGCGAAGTCGTCCCACAGTGGAATCCATTGGACGGGTTTGATTCTGCAGCTGCTTCTGGCTGCTTTCGCGTTTATCGCGCAGTTGAATCCGGCAGTGCCGTCCGGCTTGCTCGTCGAAGGCTATGGCCAATTACAAGCTGTGGCAGAGCCTGGGCTTTGCAGCAGGGTTCTTCATCGCCATACCTCTGAAAGAGTTTCCGGCAGTTCGAGGACCAAGCTTTGAGCCTAGTGAGAGAAGCCGTAGACCGGAAGCCGACAGAGTGCTGCTATGTGCTGCTATGTGCTGCTCTCTATTGTGCCATGTCAAGGAGCAATTCTTCTTTCTCTGTCGGTGCTGTCGCTGTTTTCGATCCTACTGTTGGACCGCCGAGCACTCGGTAGAAATCTTTCAAGTCTTGCTGGAAGACTTAGCCTGCCTGTTGCGAAACTTAGGATACGTATATCCCGTGGATGGTTTACGAGACACAGAGCCGTGCCAAGTTTTAAACGGATGACGCTCCTCGGACGTCGCGGTGGCGGCTTGACAAGCCTGCCTTCCATGCGACACGTCGTTTGACACATATCCCAAAGAGGATGCATTCGTTCTGCCGTCGTTTGGATGTCAGAGCAGGTGCAATGAGGAACAGATGCTTTCAAAAAGGCTTTATCTCTCTAAACATCTCTAAACTTCTCTAAGAACTCCTCTCAATCCCTTCAGCTTGGGCAGTTTTGGCGGATCTGCCGGAGCCTCCAGCTGCGGCAATTTCGACGTCCCGTGGTCCTGGTCTCGCTCCTGCCTCAGAAATCTGTCGAAGAAGGCAGTTCCGTCCCCGCTTGCGCCGTCAGGGGGTGTTCACCGAAACTGGCTTAGCCGAAAGTACGCAGCAGGCCTTCTGTGTTCCATGTCGTGTTTCGCGACTTGCTTCGCGACATCTTGGGATTCTTGTCTGTTGCGCAGGTGGGCAAAGGTTCCTCGCCACACGTCTCGTGACCCCAACCATCGGGGATTGCCTTGGGGCTGTGCCGATGTCATGCCTCTGGAAGCCTTCGAACTCCCGTGCCCGCCTCCTCCTGCCTTCTTGCATTGATCAAGCGCGAACTTGGGCAGCTGACAACCGAATGAACCACAGTGTGATTTGGTATAGCAATTTAGTGATTCTTGCCGTCACATTCATGCCCAGTGTTTCCAAGCTACACCCTAGCTTGACCACTATGATGACATCGTTGTGTCGTGCCCGAGGGGAACAGGACGTGTGGCTTCTCTTCGGAGTTCTGCCTGCTGCGTTCGGGCCATGGGTGGTTTTCAGCGCACGTCATGGGCACGCTGGACCGCTGTGCAGGACGCAAGAAGAAGGTCGCAGTATCAGTAGACGGTTGAGGGGCCTCCAGCGCCTCCACGCAGCCACGGTCAGCCGCGAGTGTTTTGGCGAGGATGTCGAAACCCGATCTTGGAGCGTTCTTGCGATTGGGGCCAGATCCGAGCAAGGAGGCGAGGCGCAAGGGGGCCTTTGGCACAGCAGAAGCTCCCGGGCTCTGCGAGGTCTTGAATTTGCTCGCATCTTGGACAGTCTCCCGGCTTGTTTGATGTGGCAGCCTTAACTTGTGGGCCAGCCGCGTGCTGCAAGGATGGTTGGAGATGTACCCCAAGACCGGCGACGGTGTTGCTAAGTGCATTGGCCAGGAAGGGCTACTGGAACGTGGCGGGACAGGTTCTTTGGCACATGATGGAAGTGCCCAGGCTTCCTTGAGACACGGCCGCTTCTTGAGACACAGCTTAGCTGCGACGCTGTCAGCACTGTCAGCCTCGAGGAGTCTTTGGAGGTCAATGTCTTCCACTGCAGCGCTGTGATCAGCGCGTGTGAGAAAAGCGGAAACTGGCGGCTGTCTTTGGCTCTTTTGGATCTCGACCAAGTCGATATTTCGCCATGCAACTTTAAAAGTGCACGATCTCGTGTCGGGTTCCTGCTACCTTGCGTCGGGGATGTAAGGCGCAGATGTCCGAATTAAAGATCGTTCCGAATCAAATCAGCTACAGCGCCGCCGCGACGACCTGTGCGAAGGGCAATTGGCCTGCTGCACTGCTCCTTATCTACAGCATGGCGGGAAGGCGATCCTAGGCAAGCAATTGAAACACGCGATCGAGAGGGGCACTTAATCGGCGGAAAAGGCTTCATGCCACAAGCCGTGAGCTTTGAGAGACGCGAGGATTGCCACCCGACCAGGTGAGCTTCTCGCCTCAGTGATTTGTGCAAGGCGATCGGCAGGAAAACAGAATTACCCCAGCTCCAAGGCTGGAATGCTGCGATCGATGCTTGCCGTGCTGCTGATTGGCAGCTTGCAGTGCACATGCTCTTCGACATGCCCAGGCCTCCGTACTCGGTCCAACGGGGTAGGGTGAAGGGTAGTGACCGGGTAGTGTGAGGAGATGAAACTTGAGGACCCGCGTGGCACAAGATTCGGTCAGCTTCGGTTCTGCGATCAGCGCTTGTGAAAGAGGCTTGGTCTTGACTCGTGCAGTCACGCAAAGGCGCAATAATCGAACCAAGTGCAGGCAGTGCTTGGGAGATGGTGCTGCAGCTGCTCGCCATGATGAAGCAAGTTAAGGCGGGACGAGACGGCGTGTCACAACTTCCCACTCCTTGCCGGGGTCGACACTGCATTCCTCGTGTCCTTGAAAGCCTGGCAAAAGTTTCGTAACGCGGGACCCAAGCCGACAGGTGAGGTTGAATGACATCAGCTGCTCTGCTGCCATCAGTGCCTGTGGACACAAAGGCCACCAGTGGAGGGTGGCGCTAGTTTTGTTTGAGAAGATGCTGGCATCGCATGAGGCCCCGAGACTCCGAGAGCATTTTCACAGCAGAAGAGTTTTTCCTTCTATCGCAGCGAAATGTGACAACGCAGGCTGTTACGCCCGACAGATTCGTGTGGAATTCCGTGGTCGCAGCCTGCGAGACGAGCTCAGAGTGGATCATGGCTTTGGCGATTCTCGAAACAATGTCCCAACCTTAGTCTCTTGTGGTCGGCAGTACGATGACAGCACAGCAAGATGCATTTTGATGCAGTAGCGTTTTCTTGACCAGCCATTTGCAGCTGAACGTCGGTATTCGCATGAGGTTGATTGCTTCTTGCTTTGGAATTGCATGCTCCGGGCTGCGGGTCCTAATTCTAACGCTACGCGGCCCGCCTCGGCTGGCGGCTCCAGTAGTGCCAGCAGCGGCGCCCGGGGCAGGAAGGGGAAAGGAGAACCGAAGGGGAAGAGCAATGGAAAAAACACGCGAGCGAAAGCAGCGGGAAGATGGAAAAGGCGGGAAATTGGACAAGTGGCGGGGGAAGATGGAAAAGTGGTAAAAGACGGACAAAGAAAAGAAGGAAGTGGGGCAGAAGGAAGGGGAGCAAGGGGAAGGAGGGAGCTTGGGGCAGGAAAGCGGCCGGAAGATGGAAAAAAAAGAAAAGGGCAAGGACGGTCAGAAACAGCTGGAGCAACAAAACAGGAAAACGAATGAACTTCAACGACGAAGCAAGGAAACCAGAGGAGAAAAACACTGAAGAAACAAGCACGCGAACGAAGCACAGGAAGGAAGGACGGAAAGTGTAGAAGGACGCGGGGCGCAAAAGTGAGAACAGGGCAGGAACAAAACAGGAAAACGAAGGAACGTCAACGACGAAGCAAGGAAACCAAAGGGGAAAACACTGAAGAAACAAGCACGCGAACGAAGCACAGGAAGGAAGGACGGAAAGTGTAGAAGGACGCGGGGGGCAAAAGTGAGAACAGGGCAGGAAGGGGCAAGGAGAACCGAAGGAGAAGAGCAATGGAAAAAACACGCGAGCGAAAGCAGCGGGAAGATGGAAAAGGCGGGAAGATGGAAAAGTAGCGGGGGAAGATGGAAAAGGAAAAGAAGGAAGTGGGGCAGAAGGAAAAGGACGAAAGAGAAGGAGGGAGCTTGGGGCCGGAAAGCAGCTGACAGGTGGACAAAGAAGAACAAGGCAAGAACGTGGAAGAGGAAGAAGGAACGCTTGGAAGAAGAAAGGACAGGGTAGAACAAAAAGCAAGTCAAGAGAAGTGGGCCGGGAAATAAGCAGTGTAAAAACACGCGAGCGAAGGACAGGAAGGCAGGGTGGGAGATGGAAAGCAGCGGGAAGATGGAAAGTGGCAAAAGATAGATAAAAGAAGAAGGAAGTGGGGCAGAAGGAGGGGGAGACAGGGGAAGGAGGGCGGAAAGCAGCGCGGTGGAAAAAGGACGAAAGGGAAGGAAGAACGCTTGGAAGGCAGGGTGGGGCCGGCCCCCGGGGGGGGCACGGGGGGGCAGGGAAAGTGTGAAAATCACGGGTGGCAGGACGGAAGCCGGGCAAGGGGGTCGAAAACAGGCGCTAAAAGCGGGATGCCAGAAAACCGGTGCACGCAGAAACCTCCATGGCACGGCGGCAGTTTGGAGAACGGCCGTTCCCAGGCTGCGATGTGATGACATTTGCTGAATACCAGCAACTGCAGCTGCAGTGGAAACGTCTGAGCGCAGCAAAATTGCAGCATATGCAGTGTGTCCTTGGTTTTGCTGACATGCTTGTCGGAGATGCTCATTTACGCTGCTGTCAGCAGTCACGCCGCGAAGACAAGGACGAAGGCACAGAATACCAGACAGCAAGTCAGAGCAAGCTGGAGCAACAAAACAGGAAAACGAAGGAACTTCAACGACGAAGCAAGGAAACCAAAGGGGAAAAACACTGAAGAAACAAGCACGCGAACGAAGCACGGGAAGGAAGGACGGAAAGTGTAGAAGGACGCGGGGGGCAAAAGTGAGAACAGGGCAGGAAGGGGCAAGGAGAACCGAAGGAGAAGAGCAATGGAAAAAACACGCGAGCGAAAGCAGCGGGAAGATGGAAAAGGCGGGAAGATGGAAAAGTAGTGGGAGAAGATGGAGAAGTGATACAAGATGGACAAACAAAAGAAGGAAGTGGGGCAGAAGGAAAAGGAGGAAAGAGAAGGAGGGAGCTTGGGGCCGGAAAGCAGTGGACAGGTGGACAAAGAAGAAAAAGGCAAGAACGTGGAAGAGGAAGAAGGAACGCTTGGAAGAAGAAAGGACAGGGTAGAAAAAAAGGAAGTCAAGAGAAGTGGGCCGGGAAGTAAGCAATGATAAGCAATGGAAAAAACACGCGAGCGAAGGACAGGAAGGAAAGGTCGGAGATGGAAAGCAGCGGGAAGATGGAAAAGTGGCAAAAGATGGAGAAAGAGAAGAAGGAAGTGGGGCAGAAGGAGGGGGGAAAGCAGCTGGGTGGAAAAAGGAGGAAGGGAAGGAAGAACGTTTGGAAGGGGGATAGGGCCAGCTTGGGGGTGGAGGGGGAGGGCAGGGGGGGAAGCCAGACCTGGCAGGACGGAAGCCGGGCAAGGGGGTCGAAAACAGGCGCTAAAAACGGTTGGAAGTTTGCATTCGCGGTGCAGGGAGGAGGATTAGGTGGAGGGTTACTCAGCATTAACCATCAAAACGCCAGAGACCTTTGGCCTCGGCGGACTTTTTCACCATTGAGCAATACATGTCTGTGAATCTGCATTCAAGTCAGCTTCGTTCGACGCCTTTGTCGGCACCAAGGGTGGCTCGTGCAGTTCTTCCGGACGTCGCTACATGCACCTCCTGCATCAATGCTTGCAACAGCCGTAAGCACAGAAGTTGGCCGCAAGTGGTGGCACTCTTCGATGAGCTTATCGGTGAAAATTATATCAACGTATGTGAGTGTTTTTTGATCGCCTGGCGTCGAAGAGCGTTCATGGCTGCGAGGAGTGAAGGGAATTTCAAGCAGTGATACAGGAAGGGGTTGTGAGCTCACACAATTTGCAACAGTTGGTCACCACCCTTTCGACCATATCGTTATACATCGCCGCACATGTTCTTGATGTTAGTGAAGTGGCTGATACACCATCGGCAGAGTGCAGCCGATGTTCACATCAAGCCCAGGATGTCTGCCAGACTTGCCATTTTGTCGCGTGCTCAGCGCCGACCAAGTGGAAGATTCGAGATTAAGGTGAAAGTTTTGTAGGTTCTCCATACTCTCGCCGATCCAGGCCGAACATTGTCACATATTCCGCGGCCATCACGGCTGCTTCAAACGGGCTTCAGCACATATCCACCTTGCAGCTTCTTCTTGCTGTAGAGCCCGAGACCTAGCAGCTGCTGTAGTGATCTTGAAAAGTCTGCCCTCTTCACATGTGTGTCTCGTCGACAGTGAAGCATACGAGCAGCTAAGTCACATGGCTTGGACTCTGATACGGACGTGAGTCTGTCCCCACCGTGCTCGCCCATGCTATTACTCCCGGTCTGCTACGAGCCAAGTGCGGTGGTTGGAGACCTCATGTGCTACCCTGCAATGCTAGCATGGTCGGCACTGGTGACGGAGACACATCTACGAGGGCCGCTACGTGGCGCGAACTTTGCCATCTCCGCGAGTGATCTGGGACTTGAACAGCTAGTGAGAATGAGTTTGCTCTGAAGCCGTTTGCGCTTCTCTCTGCCAGGGGCCTAAAGGCCGCCAGGAAGCCATGGTGATACGGATATGGTGATATCGATCCCCACAAGAACCAGGTAGGTGTTCTCCGCAGCTTCTTGCTCTTTTTCTAGCAGAAGCAAGATGGCTGTTGCCGGCAGACGATTCACAGAAAAGTCTGCGACCCGATCGAGCGAGCAGCGAGACCAGGCCTAATCACCTGATCTTGGCACAGGTACTCTCAGCAGAGCCAGCCTGCCCAGCCTGCCCAGCCTGCCCAGCCTCTGCCAGCTGGGACTTCACTGTCCGTCTGGTACTGAAGCGAAAGCGCATGCCGCCATTCTGACGCAGCGTGTGGGGAAGTTCAGGTGGCAGAGCTGCTGGGCCTTGGAAGCGCCCCGCCGGCCCGGAGCCCATGGGAGCCCCCAGGGAGCCCCCTGAGCCGGAGAAGAGAAGGGCCCAAAAGGGCCCAAAAGGCTTTCAAGCAAGGCCGGACCACCACCCGTGCGCGGCCAAGCACAGGCCGCTCAGGCCGCTTTAGGGCACACCTTTTGCATCCCTTAGACCATCATAGCTCCTGGAGGTGCCAGAGCGTTCCGAGCCTCCGGCGGCTCCGGAAGAGGAGCGCGTCGCAAAGGTTGGAAGGCAACAGCTTGCAATCATTAAGCTCGCTCCGAGGCATTTCAGCGACCAGAGCTGCTTGCTGGGCATCTGGGCGGGCTCAGTGCCCTGCAGGTTGGGCCAGCCGGTTCAGAATCAGAATTCAGCGGTGTTGGATTCCGTGTTTCTGCAGGGCCATGCGGCGGTCGCAGCAATGCATGTAAGTCGTTGGCAGGAGGCCGGCATGAGCCAGCATGCAAATTTTCCATGGCGTTGCTCCATATCAGTAGCATTTGCCAAGGCGATGAATATAGCTGCCGCCAGGGGCGACCGGGCAACGTGCACCGTTTGTTCAGAGACTTATTCCAGAGTGCGAAACTCTGCTCTTCCGAAGGTACGAAGCCGCTGCTCGAGCAAGATACGAAGCTGCTATGTGCCCGTGTTTGAGCAATGCAAAGTACTCGAGCGAGGGTTGGGCCACCATTCCAGCATCAGGCACCATCAGGCACCTTTAGAGGCCTGGGAATCTGGAATCTTGCATGATTGCAGGCTTTCAGAGCCTTCCGATCATCCGTTGAAGGGCTTTCAAAGGCATCTGGGATTGGCATGGCCATGCCATGTCATCCAGAGGTACCACCAAGCCCTTCAGCATGCCAGTTTTGAGGCAGGCTATCGCATGACGTCTCCTTGCGGCAAGTCACGGATTGCACGAAGGGTTGCTGCAGGCACTGTACGCAGAAGCTGGAAGACTGGAAGGCGTATGGGAATGAACTGCAGTCTGATATTGCTGAACTGCGTCTCGCTGTGCTGCAGCGACGAGCTGAGTAGATAAGGCAAGACTGTGCCCTGTTGCTTCAGGCTTTTCGTCTCCAGGCATAGAAGCGCCTGCCCAAGCTCCGTATGCCGCACTGATTCGTATCACTAGAGTGTCGAGGGCAAAAGCTCAGAGGATCCAAGACAGTGGTTTGAAGCGGTCTGCGAGGCCGCTGCTGCAGCTTCAGGGTTCAGATCTCAGTCGTTCTAAGAAGCGGACTCGGACTAGTTGCCGAGTTTGAGTCTGACGCTACCCAAAGAGGCGGACACATTGGACAGGCATGGGAGAGGACGTCGCCAACTCAGCCGAATGCCGCTGAAGCCGGCACGCGATCCCCCAGAGACGCGCAGGGCCAGGGCCAGGGCCAGCTCGAGTCCGCTCTGGCCCAGGCCGCCATGGCACAGGTTCCGCCGCAAGAGTTCCAACCGTACAGCCAGTAAAGCCATTTGTGGAAATCTCCAGCCTCTAGCTCTAGAAGCTCTGTTATAGGCTCTACATGGAAGAAACAGATGCGATTCGAATTGTCGCCGTCCTTTCCGCAGCTATGCCGGCTTTAGTGCACAGTGAAGCTGTGTATGGGAGACGCTGAGGCAGAGCGGCAGAGCAGGGCCGCTCGTTCGCATAGCTCGGCAGCTCGCGTTTCGAAGCGCCTCGCGCAGGTGCTCGGCGGCCTGGGCGGCAGCCTCGGCTCCGTCATGGCCATGGTCCAGGCCCCGAGAGCTCCGCCGCTCCGTGTCCGCTCCGTGTGGGCTCCCTGTGGGCTCCTGATTAGGCCGGCGTTTTGAAGAAGCCAGTACCTCCGTCCTCGATTGACGCCGCTCTCCGAGCACGAACTTTCCTTCTGCGTTGCGTTGTGTTCATGTCAGCTTGAGTCAGCTTGCCCGACCTGTGAGATCTTGGCCCAACGCCGAGGCATAGGCCAGGACTGTAGTGTAGCCTCGCCATTCTGGAGGATCGGCTGCGACGCGCTGCCGAGGGCAGCGAAATGGTGCGAGAAGCTGGCGAGGCGACCCAGGAGGAGAAGTCAAGGCAGCTCCGACGCCTGGGCATCTTCAGTGGAGGCCTCCAGGCAGAGATGCTGTCTGGAGCTGTAGACTCCCAGGAGAATGATTCTGGAGAGGTAGCCTCAGGAGTTCAGCAGTTGGAGAAGGAAGATCTGGCAGCAGCAGCTTTGTCGTCAGAGCATCCGCAGGAGGATCATGATGTTCTGACAACGCAGATGATTGAGGATCATGGAGGGCGACGTCACATGATCCTCAATCATCTGCGTTGTCAGAACATCATGATCCTCCTGCGGATGCTCTGACGACAAAGCTGCTGCTGCCGCCTGTGACTTCATGGCAAGCCTTGTGCGCATGTCGCCGGAGCACATGGTGCGCCTGCAGCTTTCGCGTCGTCACCGCCCTGATCACTGACAACGCCCCAGCTGACCGCGGTCCTCCTCGAGCTCGAAGCAAAGACGAGCTGCAGGCGCATGCTACGCACACCACCTTCACGAGTCTGGAAGAGCTCCAGGCAGCCGAAGCCAGCCTAGAGGGGTTGGTCGGAGAGCAATTGTTCGTCTGGAGTCCGGGCCTGGGCAAGCCCAGAGTGCTGCCGTCTCTCGTGTGTACTGCTGGAACGAGGAAGTCCGTGCCTGTCGGCAGAAGGCACTGGCCCATGTACGTGGTACCCTGGACAAGCCTCGACCAGACCATGCAAAACTACATGGGTCGACGCCTGAGCAACCAGTATCCCGCCCCAGGCTGGACTGCGATCTTCGACGCCAGAGGTCCTGATCCTGATCGAGATTTGGAAGGGACGCCTGCCCAACGATCTGGGCGCGCGCGAGCAGCGAACGCCTCCGCGAAGAGATCTACAAGGAGTGCTGAGGTTGCTGCTCCTGCTCCCGCGAGGAAGGTCCGCCGCAAGCCTTCGACTCAATACTGAGTCCCTCGTTTTCTGATGTGCTTGTATGCATTCATGTCTCGTATATCTAGAATTTGCTACTTTCTGTATAGGTTCTAAAACAAGTCTGTGTGTATGCATTGCTCCTGCATATTTTCGCCAGAGATTCTGCATGCAAGCACGTCCCGCATTCGCTCGACAGCTTTTTCTGCGATCTCTGCTTCGTAATCGCCTGCCAGCTGCTGCACAGAAAAAAAAGGACACGGAGTCGGTGCTCTTCGAATTCTCCACGATGCCTGAAGTAACTTCTGGGCTAAGGAAGCTTCAGTGCTCCATCCTGCTTAGGCCCAGGCTGCCCAGGCTGCCCAGCCTTGCCGTGCCGGGGATGATGCAAAAGGACGAGTTGCACGGCATAGCATTCGAAGCGAATCTGGAATTCTGTCGGCTGGACCGGAGGAGCTGCAACGTGCGATGCCCGGAGAAGCATTGAAAACAGCTTCATGCCTCTGCACGTTGGAACTTTAAGCGGCTCTTAGGCTTGAGCGGAAGGAGCAGAAGGTCGGCGATGGTGGCCGCCGTGTCCGTGTAAGATGTTAGGCTGTGAACTCTCAGGTGGCCCTGTTTCGTCCAACACTCATGGAGAACTCGTACAATGCGCTTCGTGCGGTCTGGGGCTTATCCGAAGTATGCAAGCTTGGTTGAAGTATGCTCGAGGTTTTGGGACTTGGGTGCAGCAGCATGTCAGTCTGTCATGTTGTTGCCCACAATTCCCACGAGTGCGCTCCTAGCGGGCCAACCTTAATGTCGCGACCCTAGCAGCATCTAGCAGCCCTTCCTGCAGCCTCTGCTTGCCTACGTCCGTCGTGCCATCTCCCGCACAGGCCCCTCTGGTGCCTGGAGCACAGCCTCCGACGCAACTCGAAGACCGGGCAGGCGATTTCTTAGTCTCTGCGGTGAAGTTGGTTATTCGGAAGGAAGAGATTTGAAGGGAGTGGTGGAGTGCCTTTCAGGTGACCAGTCAGGCCCCGAGTCTCCAAGCAGGGAAAAGACCGCGCAGAATTCTGTTCAAATCATGTGTGCGATGCATCTTTACTTAGCAGAAGCAGTCTGAGTTGTCTTTCACCACTTGGGTGTTGGAATGCTGCAGGGGACAATCTGCTCAAGCCTGTGAGGATACTGAGAGGTCAATTGACAATTGTTTCCCCATGTACCTTGGGATGATCTGGTTGAGAGCCTCAGTCGTCTGTTGGGCCACAAGCAAGTCTCTTGCCCAACCGGTCATCAAAAACAGCGATACAACGCAGGACTACTTGAGTCGATATGGTATCCCCGTGGAGGAGCATTTCGTGCACACAGAGGATGGCTACATTTTGAAAGCCTTCCGGCTTCCACAGAAGACTTCAAGTCCAGTAGTGATGCTGCAACACGGCATCCTCGCCTCGTCCTGGTGTTGGCTCGTGAACACAGAAGACAAGTCCCTCGCAATCTCTCTCTGGCAACTGGGATACGACGTGTGGTTGCCAAACAGCCGTGGGAACACTTTCAGCCGTAATCACACCGAGCTGAAGCCGTTCTTGAATAAGCAGTTCTGGAATTTCACTTTCGATGACATGGCGACGTTCGATGTCATAGCCAATATCAGGTATGCGCTGAACGTATCCGCAAAGGCAACACTCTCTTTCGTGGGTTGGTCCCAAGGCAGTACGCAGATGTTCATAGCCGCTCAGGGCAAACACAAGGACTTTTTGGACCTGCACGTGAATCTGTTTATAGCCCTGTCTCCCGTGACTTATCTCAAGCATCAATCGTCGCTTTTGCTGGAAGTGGCGAAAGACTTCCGTCTAGGGGTGCTATTGGATGCTATGTTTCCTTACGATGTCTTCAGCTGGGCCGAGCTGCCGACCATCGGATCGTGGTTGTGCAAGATTACGTTTGAAAAGATTTGCACGATCACGGTGGATGTGGTCTGTGGCAGCTCGCCGCACGACAATGGAAAGGCAATTACCAACTTGGCCGCTCACTTTCCAGCCGGGACAAGTGTCAAAGACTTTGATCACTTTGAGCAGTTCTTGATTTCTGACAGGTTCGGACGTTTCGACTATGGCCGAGCAGGGAACATCAAGCACTACGGCATGCCGACTCCTCCGTCATATAATGTCTCTGCTTTGAAGATGCCAACGGCGCTCTTCAGAGGCTCAGAAGATACCCTCGCGGATCCTGCAGATGTCCAGCACTTGCTGCATGATCTCAGGGACAACAAGAATGTGGTGTTCTCAAAGGAGTACATGGGATACTCGCATGTGACATGGATGGTGGGTTTGGACGACGAGTGGATTGTTGACTTGAAGAAGCTGCTGAAAGACTTTAACCCAATCGCAATCGAGCCTGCAAAAGGACCTCTCCGGGGGCCTCTCGGGCCTGCCGCTGGCGAAGTTCCAAGCATCGTTGTGTGAGCCGGAGCCCGGTGGAGCTTGCTGCTTGAGCATCTCCATCTTTTCCCCAAGATGCTCCGTCGAGTCATTCGAGCGGCATATGAGAAACACGTGATTTTGCATGCACCTCTTGTATCACCTTCGTGTGGCAGTTTTTTGGCGCCGGCTCTTTGCAGTCTCGGTACAGCCCAGGAAAAGCTGCGTGCCACGGCAACCGCGCTGGCCAAGACATTCCTTCAAGGCGGAAGGAAGGCTGAGAGGTCTCAAGCTGTGAACTTTCATCCCCCATCCTGTGAGGTCACATCAGCACCTGCTGCAGCGCTCCGACTGCTGGAGAACCCTCTGCCAGGCCAGGCAGGGTGAGGTCAGGATGATTCAGGATGGGTCAGGAAGGAGGAATTGACGCTGACCACATCTGGCCTGTGAGGCGCACCAGTTGGTATTTGCAGAGCGCCTCTGATCTATCGCGCCCGGTAGCCTAGACAACTGGCTGTCGTGCAAAGTTGGCACTTGTGTAGTACGTTCAGCCTTGGCTGCTTGTGTTTAAGGTTCAGCCGAACGAAGGGGTGGCGTTTCTCGGCTTCGAAAGTCTTCGAAAGGATTTGGAAATCTTCCAATGTACCAAGTTTGCTGCTATGAGGCTGGGCTCGGAAAGCTGCTACCTTGCCACAGGCTGCGTAGAGGTGCGGACGCGTTCGTCTGTTCATGGATGCAGAGGAGGTGCTGCCAAGCTCAGGCGGAAAGCGTACCTCCGGCCGACTTCTGGCAGGCGAGCTCTGGATCAGAGGTGCACGGGCCTATCTGCATCTTCGCATCTTGCTTGCTGCAGGGAACATCTTGGCACCCGCAAGGTCAGCCACAGGCTGTGATGGCAAGCTGGCACATGCGCATCGTTCCCTCGAAAGCAGTAGATATCAATATCAACACTGCCAGGCGCAGATGCCATGTTTGCGCTTGTCCGAGGTGCACGGGGCCGTGCAAAATGATGCAAAATCTGAAATGCACATCGCATGCTTCGGCCCGATTCCGCTTCCAGGTCTTGCCTGGTCGCTCGGCAGGCCGTGGGATGCTGAGCACAGGCTGCTGGGAGCCATTCAGATGTGCTTGAGCGGTGCCACTTGAGGTGACAGCGCTGCCACACGCCTGCCATCACATGCTGACATGAAGCCGAAGATCCCAGGCAGAGGTAAACCCCCGCTGCCTCGATGAGGGACGCAGTTTGCAGGTCTTCGACAGCGCTCAGGCAGTGAAAACTCGACAGCGTTGACCTCAGTCGTGATGTGCACGATCAATTCCAACTCAGCTGGGGCTGAAGGAATCTGGAGCCTCCGGTTCCGCTGAGGCAGGTTGCAAACTAGCAGTACTGTAGTACTTACATAGAAACTCAGGGAAGAATGATACAGCCATCTCGTTCGGGCTGCATAACAGGATACTTTTCTGAATGCCTCCACGATCTGGAAAACAGGCGTCAGTCTCGGCAAGCATCTCCCGGCTCCAAAGTTGTAGTGTTGGGCCAAAACCTCTCGGAACTAGGGCTCCATGAAACAATACGTACGATCGTACGATCGTACGGCCACAGGATCTAGCAGAGGCAGCGGCCAAAAGAGTAAGAGGACCAACAGGAGGCGTGCGCAGCACCACTCGGAATACACCAGAGTCCACGACCAGAACTTGCCCGCACAGGCCAACAAGTCCGAAGCACGCATAGCACGTCAGCCCAGGACTTCTTCAAGACGCTTCTCATTGTCTCAACGTTGTGCCGTTTTCTTCCCCCCTTCAATTACGCCAGGGCAGCTGTGTTTACCTGTCCAAAACCTGGCAGGGCAGTGCAAAATCCGCAGTGCTTGGATCACCCGAGCTTCCAAGCAGGCAGGCACCTGCAGTGGCAAAGCCTGACGTCAACTGACTGCTTGCTCGGAAAGGGGATCGGCTCTTCATGCATGGAGGGCATGTAAGCCATGCGCCTTCGTTTTCCAGGACCATGTGTTGCTCACCAGCTTCAAAAAATCATTCTCAATCAGACTCGCATGCAGGAGGGTTGTCAGAACAAGGAGCAGTGCGACTTCTGCCACCTGTGCGAGCCCGGCGAGCATGCGGCTCAGGTTTGTTATCTTGTTGGCCATGCCAACAGAGCCACAGCACGCGGCTCAAACAATAGACATTTGACACTCTGAAAGTGGCGGCAAAAGCCGGCTAAAATGATCGTTGAAGGATGAGAAGACGTCTAGAGATAACAGGCAAACATATAAAGCACGGTCATGGTACTCTTGCAGCGTTTCGTGGATGTGAGCGCTGTGAGCAGGCGCAAGAGGCGCAAGAAGGAGCGGCGCCTGGCAAAGCGCGAGGCCAGGGGTTCAACGTTGATCAACGTTGTGTGTCGTGAGTCGTGACCGTCAGCATGTCGCCCCGACATCTGCAAGAGACTCTGCGAGACTGTTTTTGAATGTTTCTGAAACTTCAGACTGAGCCTCTGCAACGAGCAAGTCAGGAAAACTCGACTCTTCAGGAGCTTCGGGGAGCGAAGCTCGAGTGTTCAGAGCTTCATGTTTTTCCAATGCGGACGGACCTGCTCTTATCCCCAAGTCTGCACCGGTGCACCTGCCCGTCGTTCGAGCTGTCCTCTCCTCGTTGGCTAGCGTTGGTTGAACCCGGTGAGATCCTGTGGTTACCCGGTGTCGAAAAGGATTTGGAGTTACGAGTTGCGGATGCACGAGCCATGGTGGGCTTGCGCAATGTCTGCTCAGGGGACTTCTTCGAAACGGGATTGCAACCTGCGCAATTGCAGGCACGAGAAGATGAGACAGTGCCGTAAAAGAAGTGTCCAGTTCCCCAGCTTCAAGTTTATGGTGCATGCGGCCATGGCTATGTTTCAGGCTCGGAGTTTATGACCTCTGAGGTCGTGACATTGACTGACCCGTGCCAGCTGGCACAGAAGCGGCGATTGCCGATCCTCTTCAATCACGCATTTGCGTTAATGTTGTTAAATTCGGACACAGGTTGCTTCGATCCAGGCAAAAAGTCTGGCAAAGATGAAGCGCCGCCGGTTACGATGCAGGTCTGGTTTCTATGGCTTCGGCTGCGCAATGCTGCTACCGAGACTTGATCCTCGTTGGTCATGCAGCTTTCAGATGAGTGTGTGTGCGTGCGTCAATTCTGTTTCGAGATGTTTCATGCTGCATCGATGCTTCTCAGAAGCCAGCATGTCTCCTCCCAGTGTTTCACCGTCTGCACCGTACTGCAAGAGACGGCACAAGCGTGCGTGTTGCATGCATGCCTGCATGGCAACTGCATTCATGTACTTTGTCTTGTCGAATCTGAGCCACTCTCTGTCTCTGCAGCGTCGTGGTGGCGATGCTGGAGATCGAGCTGGGCCCATGGACAAGGCAAGCATCGCATGTCACAGTTAAGCCCGCTAAGCAACATGAGTTCCATCGGAAGGCCATGCTTGGCGGCAGGGAGGATGGACTGGAGTGCGCAGCACGGCCTTGCTTGCATAAGCCCCCGTGACAAGCTTACACAGTACGAAATCATCTAAGGCTTCTTCAGTCCATGCTTCCGCACACTCGGATAAACATTGCGCGTCGGGCTCAATGCCGATCTTGTCCTCTTTGCAACACTCCGTGCATGTTGGCCCGGGAAGGGAAGAGCCACACTGCAGGGGAAGAAAAGGAAGGGATCTTTTCATGTGCAGTTCTTTCCTGATGCATCCTGTACCAGGCCTGGACAAGGTGTGAGTCAAAGCGGGGGTGTGCGGGCCTGAGTAGCCATTGCCGCTCATTTGCTGACATGTTGATGGCGATTTGCCTGAGATGCCTGAGGATGCTTGATTCATTTTTTTTGCGGGTTTTGTCACATACCTGTCCTGCCCGCGCATGCAGTTTGACGCCGATTGTTTTGCAATCTGCCTGCTTCCCTGCTGTGCCCAGGCTGTTTTGTGTGAACTTGTCATGATGTTTTGTTGCAGAATTGACCCTACAGCTTACTTGCGCTTTCAATGCAAGGCCGTTCCTTCGACACCAGGCACTGGGAGTTGTTCTTAGCCTGTTAGTTGCCTGCCACAACAACTAGCCTGCAGCTGAGAGGCATCAGACCTGGTCTTGCGAGGGCGCCGTACGGTGTCCGATAGCTCGGAAAGCGTGTGGATGAGACGTTGGAGCACGGTGAATGTGACTGTGCCGAGGTGCCAGCGAACGGCAATCCATACGGAATGGGCAGAGCGCTCAGAGAGGTCGAAGGCCGCTCGGATCGGGCCGCTCTCAGATCTCTCAGTCTCAGGCCCTCCGCCGGAGCTAACTGAGCTAACAGCTGATCTGCGGCTCAATGCGGCCCTAGGCCAGGCTTCACTGCTGTCAGCTCTGAACTTTCAGCTCTCAGCTGCTTTGAATCGAAATGCCAGGAGCATTAAACCCTCTGCACAGAGGTCTGCACCCAGAGCTCGCAGGCAGAGATGGAAAAGGATAGCATGCAGCGTAAGAGTCTTCAGACGATCCGCAAAGACCAACGAGACAAGCGTTTGAATGAGCCTGTCGGTCTTGGCAGCCCTGGCCGCGTCGGCGACGAAACCATCAGCTTCACACACAGCTGGAGGCCGGGGATGATTCTAAACCCCGGCTGGTTCGAGCCGATACGCAAGAAGCTATTCGGCGATTCGGCATCGGACTTTCCCAGACTCTTGCGGCAAGGCTGCCTTCTCGGCAATGTAAATAAGAGTTTTTATGATGTTGTCGCCAAGGTTGATTACGATGGTGTTGCCATCGGCAGGGTGAGATCGGGGGTGTCTGGTCCGATTGTTTCGCTGTCGCTTCCCTGGGCCAGGGCTTTCGTGTGTCAGGCACTCCTCATAGACTCGACGTAGCGAAGTATGGTTTCACGCGCCGTAGAAATTCAGACTCCGACTAGGAAGGAAGCACAGTGTGCCGCCGTGACACGTGATGCCGTGGTGCCGGCAACGTTTTGCACGTTGCTGCTCCCATTCTTGGCCTTACGCGGACTTCTTTGAGCGACTATGTCACTATGTCCGATTAGAGGGAGGCTAGAAAACATCGAAGGTGTTTGGCTAAACAAAGGACTACATCCGTGGCCTTTCGGCTTGATTTCCTCCGTGGCACCGAAATCTGCCATCACTGCCATGACGGGAGAGAATATGCCGGTTCTTTGTGCTCGAGGGCGGTTTGGAACGCATTGCTAATGCTGCTAGTGTACTGCTGTTGTATTTACTCATTCAATGTCGTCGCGGTGGTGATTGTGGTGCTGGCGGCTGTGGTGGCTGTGTTTGCTGTTGCTGTTGCTGTTGCTGCTGTTGTTGTTGTTGTTGGTGCTGGTGGTCGTCGTCGTGCTTCTTGTCGTTGTCGGGGTCGTGGTGGTTGTTGTTCCCGGTGCTGGCGGTGGTGGTGGTGGTGGTGGTGGTGGTGGTGGTGGTTTTTCTCCGTCCTATTTTGGGAGCAAGAGCTGGTGAAGACTCTGTTGTTGCCTGTGCCGATAGTCCTGCCTACTGCCAAAAAATGACGCGGTCTCACCACCCGGGAACCAATTTCTTTAGGAACTGTCATGTGGCGTTACAATTTGATTTGAGTTTCCTTTATGGGGCGGAACTTTGATGCCCAGAGGCTTTGAGTGGGGAACCATTTTCGTTTCCGCCACAGGGTCGGAGCACTGCCTGATTGACTGCTTTCCGCTTTTGGGCATTTCCTGTTGCTAGCGGCTGATTTATCGAGTTGTGCTGAATAAATGTATATATATATATATATATATATATATATATATATATGTGTACATGTAAATGGGCTGCATAGTGTCCACTCCTGCATTGTTGCACTGCTGTACTATTGTGGAGCCAGCAACTGGATTGAAACCCAACGAAAGTTTATGAACCCATGCAAAATTTTGAACACTTGGTATAGGTAAATCTGAACCAAAACAAATGAACAGCCGTGAATTCACATTTCGTTGTGTCCAAGTCGAAGCCAATATAAAATACGCAGTATCTAAGTCTCAATGGATGATTATGGATGTTTCTCACACTGCTCCTTCCAGTACGTATCATCCCCCTACAGAAGCCACGGTTTCGTTGCGTGCCTTACCATCTCTGCAAACCTAGTTGGGAGATTAACGCACGAAGTTGCACATGCTGATTACTTGCACCCATCATTCCAACAATCCATGCTTTGAGAATGCTGATCAGCTTAAGCCCGTACAACGTTATGGTTTCTACAACAACCTCGCAGAAACCCTGTTTCGATGTGCCAATATTCGTATTTCATGCCTCTGTGACTGCTCTCTCGACTCTACATCCTTGCAGACCCAATTTACTAGCAGATTCGCCTTTAGTCGTCAGTCTGGTTCAGTCATGCCCTACCGCGAACTAGATTTTTGAACTAAGAGTTTTCAATATTTGTACAGCAGTGCCGCAATTCCGTTCGAGTCTGTTTTTCTAAGCATTGCTGTGGAGCTTTGGCTACATACAGCTCTCAATATTGTATCCTTGTGCCCGAATGGAATTGCTTTTAAACGCTGGTATATCCGGTATATGTGGGCATTTGGGTGTTGCATACCTTAATTCTGCATAATGACAGCCCCATACTAAATTCAACGACTTGCATACTACACGCTTAGCAAGCCATGAACAGTGATTCTCCTGTTGGACAATATTACAGTGTCGCTTCTTAGGCTTGACACTGTTTCTATTTACCGAGTGACGAAACCCCTTGCTTCTTGTATGAGCATACCAGAACCATCACGTAAAGCCGACTGCGACCATAAAGCCTCAGGTAATCTCGCGTAGATTGGCCGTATTGCGAGAGCATAAGCAGTCTGTAGGATGCAAAATACGGCCTGTCCTTTCAATGAGTTTGTATTAGCCTAATCTATTGCATGTTCTGTCGACTTTGCTAATTCGGCGCTCTGCCACTTTCATGTTTGTGTTCTTGTGAACGTCTGCTGGAGCCCGATTAAAAGCCGTTGTCCCAGTCAAGAACGTGATTCTTTAGAAAGTGGTAAAACAAACACACCGCGTCATTTCTGCCGAAGGAGAGTTTATCCCTATGTGTTGGAAGCAGCGTTGCTAGGAGTTTTTTACGTACCATGCGAGGAAACCTCGCAGTGTGTAAACTGCAAATTTGCTTCCTCACCACGCATATTCTTCTCAGTCTTGTCTCATCGAAATCCTGCTTCCATGGAATGATGCTTGGTTATGAAGTTGCAACCATTTCGTATGTGTACCAAGTGACGAAACCTGACCAAACCGTAGACAAAAACTACTGTCTCACCTTACAATGAGGTCTTGTCAGTCGTATCTCAATTTTCTGTGTAGCTTGATGTTCCAGTGTTGATAACCCCGAGCGAGCTATTGTAACTCTGATAGAAGCCACGTCATGTTCCACATTATGACTCCTGGATGAGTGAAATGCAAGTGCCTATTCGATTAAAATGTATATAGATTGCCTTCGCTCTTGTAAACTCCATGTACTGGAACGGTCAGATCATTAGAAGGACCCTGCAGCATGGCCTTTGCGGGAATATGCATATGGTTTGCGAGTTCTGACACAGACGCTGCATCATTGCTGAAAACCCAATAGATGCCGGATACCTACGGTTGATGCCCTAAATCCTGCATGACTTTGAACATCTTCACGGCTTCCCTGCTACCCTTAATTTTAATATTGCTCTGACGCACGGGCTAGAAAAGTGGCTTGCGCGAATGCCCTAAATCCTGCATGACCTCATGGAGATGCAACATTGAAATTAAGGGGCTGCGGGGAAGTGGGTAGCGCGATGTGGAGTATGTAGGATGTTGTAGGTCATGCAGGATTTTGGGCATCAACAGTAGGATCATCTATTCTCCTAGTCCTTGATTAGCTTCATTGCAGTTTCAGTCTTCCTAAAACACCTAAGCAATTTCGAAGTTTTGGATTTAGGTGTTGATGAAAGACTGATGAGATAGATGTATTTCGTATGGTTTGTTGTGCAACGGGGCCCTCCCAAAGTTTATAAACAGCAACACTGGTAAATACACCACCGTTTTTCCTTCAAACATACAGTTTACCAATATGACGGGTAGGGCCAGAAACAATAAATCAAACAGACAATTTTCACCATTACACCAGTCGGTTTGATCCGCCGAGTGATTTGGTATCCAAGCCATGCTTCATTTCCCTCATGCACCATTTCATTAGTTACCTTTTGTCTTTGAGGTGAGGAGGACTAACCATATGGGGTGATTATGCACCCGAAACCATTTAACCAATTCACTATTTCACCAATTAGTTTGGCCCTAACCCATAACCATTTCACCAATTGGTTTTGCCCGAACCCATAGACCATTTCCCTTTCGCCAATTAGTTTGGCCCTAACCCATTAACCAGTTCACCAAGTAGCTGGGCCCTAACCATAAACCACTTCACCATTCACTTAATAGTTTGGCCCTAACCCATAAATCAGTTTACTGTTTCACCATTTCACATCGTTTGGCCGTATGAGAGTGAGGAGGTTTGACCACATGGGGGGAAATGAATGGTGAAACTGTGAAATGGTGAACTGGCCTGACCATATGGGGGAATCGAAGTGGTGAACTTGTTTATGGGTTAGGGCCAAACTAATTGGTGAAATGGTGAAGTGGTTTGTGGGTGAGGGCCAAATTAATCGGTGAAATGGTGAATTGGTTTCTGGGTTATGGCCAAACTAATTGGTGAAATGGTTTATGGCTTGGGGCCGTGAAACGGTGAACGGTGAGGGTTCCTAACCATATGGGGGCAATAAACGGTGCAATGGTGAACTGGTTGAGGGGTTTTGTAGGACAGCGAGGGAATCCAGCGGGGGATGCAACATTGCCGTGGTTTGTATCTGTTTATGTATCTTATCCCTAAACCTCATATTCTCGGGGTTTTCAGGCTTAGGGTTTCGGGTTCTAGGACCCAGGTTTCGGGTTCTCGGGCGTAGGGTTCCGGGTTCTACTACGGTTCTCGGGCATGGGGTTTGGAGTTGAAAGGCTTGGGGTTTCGGGCTCTAGGCTTTGTGTTTAGCGTTCTCGGGCGTAGGGTTCTGGGACGACTCGGACGTAGGGTTTCGGGTTTTGGGGCGAAGGGTTCAGGATTCTCAGGCGCAGGGTTTCGGTATTTGGGGCTTACTAAGGGTTGAGGGTTCTCGGGCGCTGGGGCTTAGGGTTCCGTGTAGGGGGGAGGAAGAGGTTTCGGGGGTTAGGGTTGATGGGGTTGTGGGCTTTTGGTTTTAGTGGTTTAGGGTTTCTGGGTTGCGGGCTTCTGCGTTTAGTGGCTTAGGGTTTCTTGGTTCAGGAGGGGTACTGGGTTTGCAGAGTTTCTGGTTTCTGGGTTTTTGGATGTTTCTGGGTTTGAGGGTTTGGGGTTCTGGGTTTTCTGGGTTTAGGGGTCGCTGCGGTCAGAGTTTCTGGGCTTCTGGGTTTAGGGTTTGTGGTTCATGCGTTCCGGGTTCGAGGTTTGTGGCTTTAGAGTTTCTGGTTTCAAGATGTCTGGATGTTAGCAGTTTCGGCGCTCACACTCGGACAATCCTCACTGAGCCGACTCAAGGCGACACGTTGGGGGTTTGGGGTTTGTGGGTTTAAGGTTTATGTTTCCCTAAGTGATTGTGGTCAAGTATTCGTCCTGGCGGAGTCGCAGCAGGCCAGTTGCAAAAGGTTTCTGTTTCAGGGTTTCTGGGTTTTTGGTGCCTGAGGCCACGTAAGTCATAGGCTGGAGACAGAACCATGCGCAGCCATTTTAGTTTTTCTCAGCCTGCGCCGCCAGGATGGGCATGCAAACGATCAGCAGCGCTAACGAAATCGGGTGCACGTGCTTCAGACTGGCAACATCCCAGAATCCAGAGACTGTGTTGCCCAGCCATTTTAGTTCCCAGCCTGGGGAGTCCCATGGTGTCCGTTTGCGTCGGCTGCAATCTCATTTTAGAGCCTAAGTCGGGGTGTAACCTGCACAGGCATGCCGGCTGAGCTTAACCAGAGCCAGTTGCCTTCTCGGCCTGCTCTTCGGGAAGCGGGACCAGACCTCCTTGTTCGCCTTTCCCTTCCAGCGCCACTGCCGGTTCTGCTGTGCTGATGCTGTTGCCAATTGAATACCAATCCTAGTGCTGCGACCGTTGTCGATGCCACTGCTGCTCATGCTGTTGTTGTTTCCAGTCGTCGTTGGCAGCGCCGCCCACCAACATGCACTAACCCTCGCCGACGAGCTTTCGCCCCCAAGTTTCTCTAGTTGCGACAAGTTCCACATTTCAGGAAGCACGGGGCCCAGGGTTCAGTTCAAGCCGTGGCACAGAAATCGAGGATCTCACCAAAGGCATCGGGCAGTTTCAATAGGCATGTAGCCGTCGTAGGTGTTTCAGCCGCACGGCTTCTGCGCAGTTGAAAACTCTTGTGTTGCGGGGTGTCGCCAGCAGACTCGAAGCATCGTGGCCTTTCCGTGGTTGAGGTCCTGCACGTTTCATTTGTTGCGGAGGCTGGGCACCTTCTCTTCGTCATGCTGGTCATGCTGCGTGTTTGCTGGAGACTTAATGGGTTGAGTCGGAAGATGTCAGCGGCATGGCCAAGTGATTCTTCTGGTGTGCAAGGTCAGCAGATGAATTGCAGGTGCCGGAATGGCGGGCTGATTCTGTTTAGAAGCGCATCTGAGTTCCTTGTTGCAGGGCTTGCAGCCCCGACCTGGGCCTATCGACCCTAGGCGGCCCTCTCTGCCCTTAGCACGCACGGGTGTGTGGGCTTCGAGATACGACGCCTGGGAATCTTGGTGCAGGCTTTCGAGCCAGTTGCAACCTGGAGCGACCAATGCAGGCTCATGATGTGATATGATGTGCATGAGATGCCGTCTGAGCTTGTAAAGAATGCGTTTGAAGCTGCATCTGCATGACCTGTGTTAAGAGACGGCAGACATCACAGCTCTCGCTGCTGCTAGGCTTCGGAGCCGCGGGTGAAGGACTTTGTAGCACATGCTGCTCGCATTTTACACTCACCTCAACGCTTTTCACAGCTCTGGCTGTGAGGATGCAGTGGTTATCGAAACCAGAAAGGTGGTCAGGACTGCACAGAGCTTGCTTTCCTACCCTTGTCTTCTTCTTCAGGTGGGAATACTCTCCAGAAGCTCTCGTCTTTCTTCGGTTCCAGCATCGATCAAAGAGCACTCACACGATCAGTTGCTAGTTAAAGTCCAAACTTTAGCAAATGTTCAGATTCACATTGTTGATGCTGATTCGGATATCGCACCTGGGCCGTCCATTCCATGCAAGCCTGGTTCTGAGCATCTTGAAAAAGAGAAAGGCTTGTCGGCGCCTTTTGGGATGGATAGCAGATCCGCCAGGTCCATGGTGCCTCTCCAGAAAGATCTCCAGCAGCGTCGCTGATCAGTTCAGATGATGGACAGGAGACACTTTCGTGTTGTTGCCGAGAGCTTGACGTGTTGTTCTATCGCTGAGAGTCCCGACAGATCAACTCTACTATGGCATTGCCGAATTCCAACAAAGCTTGTTCGATCGAAAGTTTTTGGAAGTGTTCTTTTAACTGATGCTGCAGGTGCGGAGAGCATCAATACTGTGGCTCACTGTTGCGTACCGTATCAGTTTTTGCCTGTCCCGCCGACATTATGAAGTCTCACTAGGATGACGCCGTGGACAGGCAATCATGTTTGGAATCCAATCTCGCAACATTCGTGTGCGGTGTGGATCTAGCATTGAAGGCATCCACTATGAGGGCGGGCCACCGAAGCTTTCACAGTGTGCGGATTGCAGCAGACACGTTCTTCCGCTGGACACGGAATAGGAACGGCGCATGTTGGATGAGAATGCTGTCCGATTCGGCTTCGGAAGAGCTGGCCGCCGCCCCCCCGACACGATGTGTCGCGCGCAAACAACTTTATCGGGTTTGAGCTTCAGTTCGGGCTTTCACCAAGCCGCCCACTATGGCAATCATGGGGTCAATGGGGTCGGTCATGAGTCGGAAACTTTCCACGCACGGCATAGAGGATCTGTCACATCTGCCATTCACGTCGCCAGTCATGTCGTAATCCTCTTGCGGTCGGAAAGAGCTGACAGCGCTGTCCATCATCTCCCGCCTCATTGATTCTGCATCGGCTTACTATGGATTTTGAGCAACGTCGACGAGGCCACAGATCGCCCCTCGAGCCAAACTGTGCAAACGGCAAGAATGTCGAAAAAGTCACAGTGTAGTGTGTGTGTGTCATCCCTGTATCAAAGGGCTAAGTAACATTGCAGGGGGCAGAGGGTCTCTTTTTACGGCCTCTGCCAACGAAGCTCCGTGAAATCTATAGACAAGTAAACATACCTGCAGTGGTCGGCATGGGCACATTAGTGCACAAATTGTCATGCTGTTGACTCAGACAGAGTGCATGTACATGTCTGTCTTGCGTTGTGCCTGCAAGTGTGAGGATCTTGCTACCAAGCACAGTCCTAACAATGATTGCAGAACCTACATGAGCCTTGAGACTCGCGATCAAGAGATGACGATACAACAAAGCAGTAGATCTAGGCATAACTAGAAGATTGAGTTGAAAGATCATGAATGGAGATGGTGGAAGTAGAAAAGAGAAATAGCCACATTCCCGACACCCATTAGACCAAGAGGTCTACAGAAAAGTGTGTGTGTGTGTGCGCGTGTGTGTGTGTGTGGCTCGGTGGCATTGCGGCTTTCAGGCAGATTTGTTCATTCGTACGGCATTCTCATGATGCAGACATACAGCTTCTCATTTGCTTTCGACTTCCATTTTGCCTGCAACTTCGCAGGGCGCGCAAGTCGATTCCAAGGACCAGCAAACCTGCTGCAAGAGCAGTGGCCGTATGTTGCTATGAGTTTGAGACATGGCCTGCTGTGGCTAGCGACTGACAGGAGACGGCCTGCCCGAGATGTGACGCACAATTTACGACTTACTTCAGGCTGAGCGCAGTGTGTGTCGGGCTTTGAGTGTCATATCAATGTCGCGTAGCGAACTTGGAACGTAGGCGGCATCATTGTCGACATTGTGGCGGCCTCGTCTGTGACGACTGCAGCAGGCAGGGGCATCAAATGCCTTGTGAATGTTGCTGACACTTACAAGATCTTGGCTGTCGCTTGTTTTTCTTCGTATGGCAACCATTTACAGAAGCAACATGCCAACGCGTTCAACATGGATCTGTCCATATTCATAGTCTTAAATCAGCGATGTGCTTTAATTGCCGGAGGCACAGAACTCGAATCCCTCAAGATCCTTCTCTTGGCAATGCCGAGGGCTCAGTCTGAGGACATCAGACAATTGAGATTTCACCTCGAAAGGGTGACGACCAAGGTGCGGGTCTGCGATGACTGTTTCAAGGTCATCGGCGACCACCATGCAATCAGCCAAGCACAAGCGTCGCCATGCAGCGAATCCATGCCCTGAGAGCCCATGTCAAGGCAGCTGTGCTAGAAGAAGATTTGGCGCTCGGCCGCCATCTTATCGAGCAGTTGAAAGGCCGGGCGACTTCGGCGATTCCTTTCCTTGCCTTATGGCGAACGCGCCAGATGCTTTGAAACAGAAGCACGACCAAAGCGAGGCCTGGCGGCCTGCAGGAGAGGAAGAAAAGAGCCGCTTAGCGGAATTGCCTCAGGCTTACAAGAAGGTGATGCTGGAGCTTGAAGCTGAAGCTGTCGGCAACAGAGCGCGACTCGACCAGTCGGGCGGCCCAGACTGCATGTCCATGTGTATGTGTATAGTCATCATTTCTAGGGGCCAAAATCGCTTTCAAAGCCATGTCAAGGCATGAGAAAGATCCGGAAAGTGAAGACTTCTCTTTCAAGACGTTGCAGGACACAGCCGCTCAGCCGATTCAGAGCAAGCAGAATGGGAAGAGTCTTCAGTCAGCCTGTCTGAGGTGCAGCAGTGTTGGAGCGATGTCATGAACTCCTTGGAAGCACAAGGCAAACTGATGCGCGATCTCGAGGACGGGCAGATTTCTGGCATGTGAAGCTGAAAGTGGCCCTTTGGCCCCCAGAGCCGAGGAGCGTCAGCGCGACGTTCTGAAGCGCCGAGAAGACTTGATCTCGACAGAAGAGGCAAACTCCGAAGTTATTCAACGGTGTCTCTCGAAGTCTGGACACCAGGAGATGAGCGACAGGTATCAGCGACTAGATGCTGAGCTTGCTGAGGCCTGGGTTGCAATTGGCATGCAGACAGGTTTCGATAAGGAAGGCCGAGTGCTACCATTCAGGTGACGCGTATGGAAGCCAAGCGGGATGAGCTGTTCCGCCTTGAGGCGGGTTGAATCCCGTGCATTTCGAAGGATCTGTCAATTTCCACTGCCAGCCCTGTGTGCAGGGCGAGCTTGAACGCGCAGTCGGTGCTGAGCCTTTCGCTTGGCTCATCGTGAGAAGCTTCTTTTTGTTTCAGTTGCGCTAAAGGCGTCGGCGAGTTCGCGAGTTGGAACTTGGGCGGCAGGCCGGTGTGAGCATAGCGATATCGCCGCGTTGAGCCCGGTAGCCTGAGGGCAGAATGGCAGAACATGAGAGGCCCAGCAGGAGCTCGAGGCAGAACGAATCAGCATCGTGGCTCAGTTAGTAAGTGCTTCCATCATTTCGATCAAGCTCACAGTCGTGAGGCCAAAGACTGGGCTGGGGTTCCCGCCCGCAGTTGGCTCAGCATTGCGACCCGCATCGTCTCTGGCACGCGAAACTGACGAGGCTGAGATCGACAGAGCCAGTGGCATTCACTATCTCAACTGGTCGGCAGGAGTTACCCAGATCTGTCTGGGTGCATCTCGCCAATCCTGCTTTTATCTCTTAGCCTTAGCCCTTTGCAGGAGCACAGCCAGAGCCGCTTGGACGGCTGCCGGAGGTCCGTGTTGCGCTAGCTGATGGCACCTGTGTATCACACGAAGCAGGTCCTGCACTGTGAGTTGAAGCTGGGCGCGACGCCGAAGGCGGACGTGAGCTGGAGATGTTGGCAGCTAGAGACAATGCTGACGTGCCGCATCCTTCGAGCGGTCAAGCATGCTCCCGAGAAAAAAGGATACGTGGCATGCATTGACCTGAGTCCCAGTGTCCCACTCCTCCGCGGTTACTGTGCGAACTTGTTGTAACGACGTCGATCTGAACTTGTCGCCGCCCTCAGGACAGACACAAGGGCAAAGGTCGCTACAAGGCCGGTGTCCCGGATGGCTGCTTCACAGTGCAAGCACGGTGCTTCCTTCACAGTTTGACCGTTGCACCGAGGGCTAAATCTTGTTCAAGTGATGGCGCCGAGTCTCTTGTGCTTTTAGCTCTACTTAGTTTCTTTTGATGACATCAGGGCATGTGGCTTGGACGATGACTTCATGTCTTACTTCTGTGCATTCGTCCGGCCCAATTCCAGTTCAATTCATAGTCAACAAATGAGAGCAAAGCGGTGCACTTGTAAGCTGCAGCCTTGAGACGTTGGTAGCAGGTTTTTTCCGCCGAGCTGCTTGAAATACGGAAGTTCTGCAGTAAAAGAGGCATTACCTTCAGTCAGACTTGGGTAGCTACAGACGAGTTGGAGAATGCCCTCCCTCCTTCATGCCAGCAAGTAAGCTTGTACAGCTTTCATGCTGCACAAGAAACGGCCATCCAGCCTGCTATCTAGAGTTCTCCGGTGATTTTTTGTGCGAATAGACTCTTATGAGTGCGTGCCAAACTTGCGCATGCTTTGCATGCCTTTGTACAATTTCTACGCCCCGTGAGCTGGGCGCTCCAAAGTGTCCGGTCGCGACACATTTGAGGAGTTGCGACTGGAGCGAGCAGTATATTTTCAAATCAGCTTACATGCGACAAGCCAGCTTGCCTCCGCATATTGGAGGCGACCAGAATGCAACTCCTGCCACATGCGTTACTGGCACGCGCTGTGCCAGTCAGAGCCAGGAGCTAGGTTGTCACTTATGGAGTTTCACAGGCTAGTTATTCGAAGACTCACCAGGCTGCTTTGGCGGCTAGAAAGAAAAGGCATTTCGAAATGCCGACTAGGGCTAGGGGCTTGGTGCCACTTCGGAAGACTGTCAGTTGAAGGGACCCGGTACTTTCTTCAGCGTTGTCTGGTCGAGATGTTCGAGCGAGGCGATGCTTGCATGAGAATTTGCAAAGGCAGAACGTTAAGCGTCAACTTGAAGGCGACTTCGGGCTTTGTCGGCTCAAGGTGTCCAACAGGGGCTGAAGCTGCCCCTGATAGCTGGCAAGCACCTTGCGGGCAGCTGGCACGCGACCCCCTTGTCTTGTGCGACATCCCAGGTTTCTCCAGAATTGCACATTCTGTCAGGTGTGGGCTTTGCTGCACACCGGCGAACTGCCTGTGCAAGAAGCGCCCTCAGTTCACCAATGATTTGATTAGTTCGGGTGCATGCTGTCCTCCTGACCTTGCCAATGGCAGGTGCACAGCAAATCTGCAAAGCAAATTATCTTCACATGACTTTCCATCGTAAACGGAGCAATGGTGCACGAACGTTTCTGCTCGCAAGCCTGCGCGTTCGGTAGTGCACTGCATCTGTTTTGGCAAAGCCTCATGGGGTGTTTACGCGCACGAATCATGCTGCTGATGCAGCGAGCGATTGCGTCTTGCTGCATCGCAGGGCCTCCTTTCCTCGAAAAGCAGGCTGTAACTCTACCCACCTTGATAAAAAAATGCCAGATGCCGAGCTGCCTCGATTTGCGGTTTCTTGTTACCCCGAGGCCATGCAGCGGACGAGACCTTTTACACAGCAGCGAATCTATGGTGCGGATTTGTCTTAGAGATGTTGGCATCTTCATTTGATGCGGCATTATTCTTGGAGGCATGGGCTTCATTGTCATAGTTCTGATGATCATCTTTGGCTTCCTGGCTTTCAAGCAATGGTGCATTGCACGATCCGTGATGGGTCAGCGCTGCAGAATAGAATCCTGCTTGATCTGAAGGTATACACTCGGCCTTCGTTTTTGTTGCCGGAGCCCGATAGAGTCGATAGAGCGTCCAGTGGGGGGCAGTCTGTCACGATCCCCGGCCAACGGCTTTCCGAGGTCTGGGGCCCCAAGTTGTGGGTGCGAGCCGCACTTCTGATGTTTTGCATCGGTGTGTGTCGAGTCGGATGCATTGGAAAGGCTTGTGTTCAATGTTCAGTTTAGGCTCAAGGCCCCGAAAAGCCCTGCAAAAACTGCTGGGCTTGTGTCTCACACTTGTGGCAAAAACTGCTGCTCGTGGAACTAACAGTTTCTTCAGAGTAAGAAAGAGATTGTTCTTCCGCCTGTCTGTCGCGGTGTCTACAACACAGAAACATGTCGACTGCTTAGGAAGGAACAGCTTCACATCAGCTGATTTTAAAGATATATTGTCCCCAGTCCCCAGATCTGAGAGGGCCAAAGGAGGCCGCTGCAAGGACACAGTAGTTATTTGTGTGTCAATGACCATGCCCTGCAGGTGAATGCAATGGCGCCTGCCCCGTTCCGCCGCGATCTTATGCAATTCAAAATTATGCCAGTCAATCTGGCAGAGCCTTTCGTTGGGCTTGGCCACCAGGTTTCTCGCCAATGCAAGCTTGGGAGGCCGCTGCGTGAGCTTTCCGACCTGGTCTCTTCAACTCCTTATCTCCATTGTCCACATCCATGTATTCCACAGATCTCCGTAGGCTCCGTCACCCTCGGTCCAGCTCGAGGCGACTAGACAAGCTCGTCCTTTTGGTCGCCTTTGCGGCTGCCTGTGAGGAGTATCCGGAGGATGTCCGCGGCATCATTCGGGAGATCCAGGCGCCGAGTGTCGACATCGTCGGTGCATGCTCCGTGAAGGGCTCGTCGTCGTCGAGGTCTCATTGTCGTTTCGTCCGCATGTGGCTCTGGCTCTCTGGCAGGGCTACGTCTTCACCCGACGCATTCGGGCGAAGGCGACTCGCCGTGCAGGTTGAGCTCGAGCCCCGAAGTTCCGAAGTGAAATCGAAGGACTTCTTCTTGGATTTCGATCCACTGCGATGTGGTCGATGCAGCGCTCATCAGTTTGTCCGCGGATTGAATGCTATCGTGCTTGCCTTACCCGACCAAAAAGACCCACCGCAGACACTGCAACACGTGTCAAGGTTCCGCATCTACGGGCAGAAAAGATGCGAGCACTCACGGTTCGAAGCTAAGACATGAAGTCCTGCAGCCGGGGTTTGAGACGGAGCTGCCAGTCACGGTCCAAAGCTTCTGCCAGGATTTCTTCACAGATCCATCGCAAGATGCCATGAAGCCCCAGGCACTGACATGACGCAAACGCCATTTCTGTTCGTGCCAAGACATACTCGCTCTGACATGCGAGGTTGTTCACCACCTCGAGTTCCTCCGTGCAGTGGACACCGTTTTCGGAGTACTCTCGGCCGGTACAAGTAAGTTGGACTCGCACACGCAGCGGCCGTGTCCAAGGCCTCTGAGCTCGAAAAGCAGCCAGCCGCGAAGGCGCCGAGGCACCATCCCAGAGTATCCCAGAGTGAAGTGTCACTGCATGTCACTGTGAAACTCTTACTGTTGCCACTGTCGATTGGTCGGCATGCTGGGACGCAGGCCTGGCCACTGCTTGAAGAAGCATGGTCAGGACATCAGCCCATGTGATGACGAGGCGAGACAAAGCCGTGATCCGTGCCACGAGGCGTAGTCAGTTTTCCAGTTTTTTTCTCAGGTAACTGTTGAACAGACTCTGCGACGGCTTGCTCTGCTCGTGAAGACCCGCGGAGCAACTCGGCTTCGGCTTGGCGCAGAAGTTCTCTCGTTCTGAGCAAGAGTTCCGCCTGAGAAGAGCTCTCTGAGGTGATTTTTTCGAAGTGCTTTCAGGACCCAGCGGGCCGAAGAAGTGTTTTTGAGCATTGAAGAGCCGTGGATGCTGTCTGTAGGACTCGGAAAGATCTCTGGACACGTCGCTTCTCTGTCCTCGATTTGCTGGAAAGGTGGAGCATGCTCAAGCGAGTCAAGCAAGCGTCTGGCATCTCTGGCACTCTCGCAGGTCACGGAGGCGCAGTTCTGCAGTCATTTCCCTTTCATGCAGGCCGGCCACTCATGGCTCTAATGTCTGCAGCGCTGCAAACGGACAAGATCCTATTCTGCAAACCATGTTCAACAGATGTCGTCATGACTAAGGTACAGCCTAAAGGATACCAGGGCAAAGAAGAAGCATAGACCGTCCAAAGTGTTAGCATGCGTTGTACACAAGGCTTGCGTTGGGCTATACCAGCATTCACTGAGAATGCTATCTTCGGGTCATGCAACCATGTCCGTAAGAATTTCCCTGGTGGTAGTACGGACTACACAGACAGGACAATCATTGGCATCCTCTTTTCGGGACCGTCAAACGAGATTCAGGGCTTATAGGGTCCAAGGGCCCTCCTCGCAGTGGCGGCCTGGCGGCCACAGGGCGGCGGCCCTTTGCCGGCCAATCCCGAAGAGAGGGGACGGGACGTGGGACGTGACGGGACTCCAAGTCATTTTTAGCCGCGCCAGGCTTCCCTTCAACGTTCATATGCATGAAGCAGAGAACCGCGCTCGTATGCCTTGCGGGAAGATTATGGCGTTGATATTCGTTCCGACTATAACTATGTCCGTGGCAGAGTTGCGAAGCCTTCAAGCTGCAGTCGAGTTGTCCAGAAAGCGGCACCCTCCGACTTTCCAAGAGTATAGACGCAGAAAACTCGCACTTGCCGTCAAGTGGCGTGTGTGCAGAGTTCGACTCGGAGGCGGAGGTTGGATATTCACAGCACACAATGACAGGAAAGTTTCTTGATGCTCGCAGTAGCATGGGCTATGAATAGCTGAGTCAAAGATGTTTGCTTGTTGGCTTGCCGGCTTGCATGTTCGCGTGCTTTTACCCAAGCGTTGTCGTGGGCGGAAACCGAGTCGCACTCAAAACGCGCTCACGCACCCCAAGAAGCCTGGCCTTGCGAGCCACGGCCGTGCCTGCGCTTACTGCGGGCGCCTCGCACCTTCACTAACCAAATCCAGCTGCACCTCCGCGGAAAGCGTGCTGCCGTCACAGTCCCGTGTCATTCAGCCTCGCGAAGTCGTGCTCCGGCTCTGAAAGTTGGATTCATGTGCAGCTCTTTAGAGCTGAAATCAAGTTGCTGGAATGGATCTATATGGATCTTTTGTATAATGGCGACTCGGACTGCTACGCCCTATGCAGCGATATGCTTTTTCGCTTCCGCCTTCAGTCTCGGCGTGCCATGGCGTGCCCCCCGAACCCAGAGCAGAGTGTTTTTGATCACTTTGTGTGTATGCTAGGTGCTGCTAGCTTGTGAAAACGTGAACCGTATGAGCAAGCACAAACACATCCTTGACAGTCTCATTGCGTGGCTGCTTTGGAGATCCAAAAGCCTTTCCCGTGCCAGCATGGTTCTAGTGTTGTACTTACCAGCGCAAGACGACAGACTTAGGCTGGGACACTGCAGCAAATCGAAGCTCAATTCTGAGCCTCTTCACGTAGCTTTGACTTCCCCAATCCCCCGGTAAGGAAGCGCAGTTGAGAACCTTGCACATGGCTGGGACACAGTCACGACAGCGCGCGCACCTTGAAGGACATCTCGGAACATGAGCTGAGCCTATTGCTTCAGCGGTATTACAATGCTGATACTGGTGGGATTAGCTACATGGTCTTCGCCCCAGTTGCTCGAGCTGGAGCCATGCACTGCACAGAGTGCACCCTTGAATCGAAGCTCTGTAACACATGCCTCGTTGCAAGGCACTGGACAAAGAAATCCAGTCCCTCATAGACGAGCCATGTGCAGGGAGGTGTGTGACGGGGAGTGTTTGAACACTGCACTGTGAATCATGCAGCGTGCTGTGCCAGTGTGCAGCTGTCCCAAAGCGCTCGCAGCCCCATGTCCGCGTCGTTGCCTAAGCCTTCTTTGCATTCATGAATTATTTACAGCACCGGTTTCACAGCCCAGGCGTCAGTGGGCAGGGCCTGCGGCCTGGAGCGGCCGAGAGCCCATGCGACTGCCCGGCAGCCAGGACTCTTTACAAACGCCGTGTCATGGCGAGTTTTACTCTTCCATCATTCGACGACCTCAGCGCAGAGCACCACGATGTTTCAGGATCAAGAGCAGCTTGATTCAGAGCTCATGGCACGACTCAAGGCATGTCAGTGAGTGTGTGCATTCTCTTTCTTGTGGCCTGCAGCCTACGGTCGCTGCTGTTCCGGAGGCTGAGATCGCTTCCAGACGCCTCCGCCTGCATGGAAGCTTCCAGGCGTGTCTTCGCTTAGGCGCTCACAGAGGGGTCCTTGGAAACCCTTAAGTCGCCAGGAGGTGGACCGCCTGCGTCGCGGTGCTGTCAGTATGGGACAGGCCGTCAACAGCAACAGACCGAGGCATCACTTGCTTGTCGCACCTGGCACATGAAGGCCAGGACTGTCTTCACAATTCTTCGAATCGAGCTGGACTCGAAGGAGGGGACTCAGAGACTGAAGACGCCGAGGGCACGCGCGCTGTGCCATTCTCTCCGAGCAGGAGCTCGAGACGTTGCATCGGCTCTTCGATCTGAACGGAATAGCTCTCAGAGCCTGAATCGAGGGAGAAACGAAGCGCGAAAACCCGAGGATACCCCAGGGAGTGTCGATGTGTCGCTTGCAGAGGCCTCTTCAACTATAGGCAGTTCTGCAACGAAGTCTTGGAGGCCGTGGAAGCAAGAGCACGGCACATGCGGTGTGGTTTCAGTTCCGGAGCTCAGCTCGCAGGTCCCCATGGACTCGGAGGATTTTTCACCAGCGACCTCATTCCAGCCATCCCTGGTGCCTTCGTCGGCATGCAGTGGGTGCAGGGAAAGGATACGGCTCTCTGCTTGTCACTTTCTGCTTTATCTTTGGCGCGTTGCCTAAGCTTCCTGATTTTTCCTTGTTTGCTTATCGCTTGACCTGCCGGCTTCTTCGGACGATGGTGCGCCCCTGCGGAAGCTAGGGAAAACCTAAGCCATTTTTGAAGGCCCGCTGCGAACACTACACTTTGGCGATCCATCAATCCACCCCGAAGGCCAGACAGAACCCACACGATTTCTTATGTTGCCCCCGAAAGAACGACTTGCCAGCATTTTCAATGCATTCATGGCATTGTCTTGTTCTGCAGTGTTGCATAACCGTCCACGGTGATTTCATTGCCATTCCAAGCCCAAGGCTTCAAGTCAGCCTTGCGGAAACTTCCTGGAGAATGCAAGATGCACGTTCAAGAACCCTCACCGATAAGACTACCCGTAGAATTGTGCCACTGTCAAGTTTAAACTGTGCAGGCGATGCATTGCACTACGAGAAAACTGGGCGAGGAAAGCTTAGATAATCAAAGAGCTGACTTCGCGTGTGTGAGAGACGAAGCAGGCGTCACATTGCAAGACACAGGAAGGGCATGCAGGCCGAGCTAATGATCTGCCATCAAGATTTCGACAAGCATGGGTAATGGTTTTTAAGTGCATTGTTCGTGTGATGCAAGAGCTGCAGAGTTGCTAGGGATCGGCATTCTTCAAGAAGTCCGAGCCTGGCTCCTCAGAATTCACACCGTCTTTTTGTCTTTGGCTTCTGGAACTCCTCGGCCCATTGAGGCGCGTCAGGGTGCGGCACCGCTTGCTACCTGATGCGGAGGACTCGACTTCAGCATGGAAGCAAGCTTCTTGTCCCTGCCACTGGACCATGGGGAAGTTTTTAGGGAAGGTGGGAAAACGTGGGGAATCTCGGCGCGCCGAAGTGTCAGGAGCAGCTAGCAGAAGCAGAGCCTGGATCTCAAGCTGGCCGCGTTTGTTCTGGATCTAGCGTCTGGGGGCATGCTTCGGACATGGTACAAGGCTTTGGGTTGCCCGCCGAGCGGAGCATCGCACTATCAATGCTCCGATCTTACCATCAGCCTGAGACACATTCGATTGCGCATGGAAGGACATCAGCCTCGAATTCAGGTGAAGTCTCATTTCCTAGACTTCGACAGACTGCGGTGTGGCCGTGTGACCCGCAGCCAGCGATGCCTGCCTGCTTCAGCTTCCGCGCGCAGTTGGTTTGTAAGTGTGAGGGTACATTGCTGCCCCTGTTGACTCGGTGAGCAGTGCTTGAGCCCATGGCATGGCATGAAGAGCTGTGCCAACACGGGGCAATTTTTTGCCCATTCACGGATGCGTCAAGCCTGGCATGATGCATTTAACGCAAATTCAAGGCTGAACAAACCGAGGGACGACAGCAACAACGCAGTTGATAGATCATGCTATGCAAGCCATTGCAGCCATGCCGCTTTCCTGTTCATCGCGGCTGTGCCTGTTTCGACCATGCTCGCGCTACACCAGCCTGTGGCACTGAGAGGTCCACATGCCTGCAAATTAACCGTGTGTTGTGCGTCTGTAGCATAGGTTAGCGTCGTTTTGCAACGTGAGGTCATGGTATTGATTGAGGGCCGTCGGCGGGATCCGCATCTCGGCCTGACAGCGGCTTGGTCTCGTGGCAGCAGCATTGCGGCTGAGGCAAGCACCAGCTCCACAGAAGAGGCGACCCTGCCGCACCTGTCGGACCTGTGACCTACTGGAAGAGCTGCAGTCTAGAGTCCAGGGAGATCTGGAGAGTGTGAGAGAGAGTCTCTTTAAGTCTAGAGCCCAGGCCAGCAGAAGAAGCGCTGCAGGCCGACGGGGGCCGACATGGGCCGACGGGCCGCCTGTAGCCGTAGACAGCGCCTTGAGTTCAGGCCGTGGCCGCCAAGCAGCCTCGGAGTGGTCCAGAAGCCTCGGCGGAGACACCCACCCAGGCGTCGCGGCGTCGCGAAGCTTTGGAACCGCTCCGCCGCACGTCTCAGGGCACGGAGACGTCAGGCTGCAGATGCCAAACCAGCGAAAAGCCTTAGTAGATCTCGAGCCAGCCAGTGATTTCATGGAATGTAATGGGGTTAAGGTGTTGCACTAGAAAGTCTCTGAGCGGTGTTGTCAGGCATGAGGCATCATAAGACATACAAGGGATTCTAAGGCCGTGTCGACATGCAGTCTGACGATCTTGGATGTTTTCTTGCGCGAGCTTTCAGAACGCAGTTTTGCGACGTCGAAGCTTTTCTGTCCCATTGCCTGCGGAGGTGACTCCAAAAGCATCTGCACCTGGGTTGCCTCTGCCGGCAGGGCCAGCTTCCTGGCAGAGCGTCCCTGCACTCCTGGGTCCCACGCCTCCACAGCCACCAGCACCGAACCCACAGGCAGCTGCCATTTTAGCAACTCTGCAGAATGCCGCAACAACCGCTCCACAAAATCCGCAAACAGCTGCACTTGCAGCAGCCTTGGCAGCACAAAACCCAGCCAATGCCACGCAACCCCCGCCACCAAACCCACAAGCACTTGCCCTTCTCGGTGCTTTAGGTGTATCCAGTGCTGCGACAGGCACTGCTGCCGGAGCTGGTGCCGCACCGGCACCGGCCTCCTTGTCACCACAAGCCCAAGCCATAATTGCTGCTCTTGTGGCGGCCAAGTCGTCGGCTGCTACCGCGGTTCCGGCTTCTTCACCTTTAGTTGGACTGCCCCAAGCAACTGCTGGCACAGCCCCTCCAGGAACACACATCGACAGCACTGCACAACCCCCACCACCGAACCCACAGGCACTAGCAATTCTCAGCGCTTTGGGCCCCGCTGCAGCTGGTGCTGGAGGTGGTGCCGCACCGGCACCGGCCTCCTTGTCACCACAAGCCCAAGCCGTCATTGCTGCCCTTGTGGCGGCCAAGTCGTCGGCTGCTACTGCCGTTCCTGCTTCTGCACCCTTAGTTGCACTGCCCCAAGCAACCGCTGGCACAGCTGTCACCCCACCAAATGCATCAGGTCAAATCGACATCATTGCCCACCTAGCAGCTTCGGCCCGGATAAATGCAGCGATGAATGCAGCGTACTCGCCGCCAGAAGAGCAGCAGCCGGCTCCAGCAGTGCCGGAGCCAGCTGCGTTTGACAAGGATGCCCTGCGCCGCCTCGCGCAGCGAGCAGCAGAAGGCCCAATCGAAGAGGAGCCGCCTCCACCGCCGCCACCTGAACCGGCAACAAAGGCAGCAACCGTCGCTGTCAACTCCTCAGTCGTTGATGCTGAAGACGGCGCGTGCTTCGCGTGGACTTTGCTCTTGTCGAGGAGGTGATCCAGCAGGAAGAGCCTCCTTCTGCAGCGGAGGTGGGGCCCAGATGGCAGAGATGGAAAGCTTGTAGAGCCGGGCACTCCCGCAAGGCTGAGCCTCTGGCGGATGCAGATGCTGCGGCCCAGGTGCTCGAAGCCGCCATTTCAAGTTGCCGAGAAGCAGATGCGATGCAAGGTGATTGGTCAGCCTGCTCAGCCTGCCCTGGCGCAGGTGCTCACACATCTGACTGCATGCGCATCGTAGCGTTCCTGTGTAGTCCCAGCCGTCGAGCAAATAGCGAAACGGTGGATGCTTGCATAAAGCCTCCAAGATTCCAGGTTCTTGCCAGTGTCGTGTGGAATTCCTCGAGACATGGGGTTAGGTATGGGGCCCGTCTCATCCAAGATCTGACACAATTGGCCGGGTTGGAATCTGCGACCCACCCTCACTCGGCACGATGTGGTGGCGGGTGTAGGGGAGGGATTTGGGTTAATCAAACCTCTCACCGCAAGAAAGTGCTAAGTTCCTTGCTTCGGGCTATCAGTAGGGTCTTCATGCCATTGTGACGGGGCGGGCTTGCTAACACTGAAACTGGAAGCGCGGCGTGCTTGGGATCGCCATGGATCGCCCTTGTTCGGCACACCGAGTCCACGTTGACAGACGTTGGCGGGCCTGTCCTGCAGGCAGACGAAATGAACGGTGTTGGACTCAGACGCATGGTCTTTTTTTTCACGTCACAGTGGTTGTAGGAATTCCCGACTACCAGTGTCGCTGGCAGGCGCAGCGCAAGCAGCCCCAGCTGAGGCAAAATCGGCATGCTGGTTGTTCTTGAAGCAAGTTGTCTGTTCCTTCAGGCAAAGAAGAAGGATTCCTCATCGATTGCGACAATGCTCAGCTACGCCGCTTTTTTCAACATTGAGGGTTGCCAGAGTCGCGCGGGCAGACTGGCAGCCTCCGCCAGCCTCCGCCAGCCTCTCTAGGTTTCTTAGCTGGCGCTCAGGCGCAGAGCAACGTTGCCAAAGGCAAGGTGACACCGGACAAAGCGGTGGACACTGCGTCTTTACAGCAGGCAGGGGGCCTGTGGGCAGGTTTTTTTAACCACTTAAGCCTGTGCAACGCGCGTCTAAGTGCGCAGGCGTTTACGATTGGAGGCGGAGCAAGTGGCCACTCCTCTGGCGTGAAGGGGCTTTCGACTTATGCAGAGTCGCACCTACTGTATCATGCGCCGTCCGTCGCCCACACCATGCCAAGGTTGTCGCCCGTTGAGAGCCTTTGTCAGAGGCTTGACACCGCAGGCTCCGGGGATTTCGATGAAACTGGCAAGTGAGAAGAAGCAAAAGTCCAAGCAAATGCGAAGACAAAGAGATGTCGCTATATCCGACGGCACTAGTGCTAAGCCAAGCCATTGTCTACATTGTCACCACTGATGGCAGAGCCTTCCACAGCCGAGCGTTTCGCAAGTCGAAGTCCTTGTGAACGACACAGGGCACAAGCGCTAGCCGCTACAGGTCCTGACCTCTCTTCGGAGGAGCGCAAGGCGGGTCTGCCAAGTAGAAGCTGCATGTCCAGATATACTGCTCCTTCACTTCGCAGGACCTCCAGCAGCAAGTCAGCGCAATCTTGCCGAAGCTTGAGCCACCCAAAGCAGCTGAGCTCATCGGCAAAATGCAAGGTGCAGAAGGCACCCCCGAGACCCTCCGAGATGTGCGGAGCATCCGAGCTCGGTTGAACCACGAGGTATTCGCAGCTCTTCCTTCTTGGATGAGATCGCGAAATCCCTTCATCCATCCCGCTTTGCTAGTCGTTGTCTCAGCCTTGCCTCGTTTTTTGCCAGTCGGGAGTGAAGCAAAGCTAAGGCTCGCATTTGACTCGCATAATGGCATCCCTAGCTCCCTGGGCTGCTGCAGTCAGCGGCCACTTGGCGAGAGAAGCTCCGTCCTTTGCCGCTAGCTCCAGCTGGAGAGCCCGAGATTGCCCGAGGCAGCGATGCGGATGGAAAGATCAAGCTGTCTGAGGATGCCAGAGACATACCTGGCACTGCTTCGTGAGACTTCGCAGTCATGCTGGCTAGGCGGCTAGGCTTGTGCGGTTGCTGTGGGTTAGCGGATTAGCAGACCAAGGCCAGGTCATTCTTCACCACCTCGGCAGCAGAACTTTCCTTGAGGTGTTGGGTTTGCACCAAGCGCTGCGGCGGTCGGGAGAGTCGCTACAGGCTGATGGATGTGGCCCCGAAAGATTTGAGCCAGATAGCTACGGCGATGGCTACCATCAGCATGACGGAGGCGAGAGCCAGCGTTTCTGCTAGCAGGGACGCTGTGCCTGAAGATGTGCGTTGAAGCAGTGTGCAGAGGAGCGCTTCTTCGCCTCGTTGGCTCGGGCATCGGTTGCTCGATGCGAACGTTTCAGCGTCGAGGAGTCGGGAGTCGGGAAATGTCGGGACTGGAGCTGGGACCAGAGAAACCAGAAGGCGGGCGGGCGGGTTCGTCGAGATTCTTGATGGAAGGACATCCTCCTCGTTTGTGCCGCCTTCGACAAGGCTTCGTGCTGAGAGAGCTGACTCTGATCCTGTCCTTATCCTGGCTTTTGTGGGGTTCTCGCGAGGCAGGTATGGTCCACCTGCCCCTCCTGGAGGCGGCCGGGAAGCTGCTGCGGATACAGGTCGCACAGGCGAGGGCCCGAGGGCCCGAATGAGGGGCGGGCTCACTTCAGAGCGAGCTCACCTCGCTCTGAATGCCTTCGCAGGTGCCCGGCACGGAGCTGGCAAAGGGCTTGCGAAGCCTGGCCACGTGCTGCGTGCCTTTCTCATGTTGTCTCAGCCACAGTCCTGTTGCCAAGCTTGAGTAGTTGTGACTGGCCCAAGACGGCAAGTTGGTCCAAGTGGGGTGGGCAGGGGTGAGTGTGGTAGTACTTGTATATTGTATGGTACAGCGACAGCGCCGGTTAAGAAACAGTTAATTTTTCGTGAGGGGGGGGGGCTCGATTTCTTAATTTTGAAGCGCACCTTTTTTTGTAACAACCACGTTTCGGGATTTCTTAACCCAAATTTCTTAATTTGAATCGGCAGCGCAGAAAAAGCAAATTCAAGGAATGAGGGCACAGAAAGATTTGAGACCATGACCCTTTCCATTCCAGCTCATGCGCTTATCCACTCGGGCATGGCCTTTAGATTTCTTGAGAGCCATCAAATCTTTATGGCATAGCTTAATTTCAGCCCTTATTAAGCCCTTACAAAGCCTCTAGAGCCCTCCAAAGCTGTTATTAAGCCCTTATGAAGCCCTTATCAGGCAAGCCCAGAACCCTCCAAAATAAGGGCTTGCTGAGGCCTTAATAACGGCTTTGGAGGGCTCTCGAGGCTTTGTAAGGGCTTAATACGAGCTGAAATTAAGCTTTGCCATCCAGGAAAAAGCCACCAAAATAATGCATTGAGGGGCTCGATGTCTTAAATATAAGAAATTGAGGAGCTCGATTTCTTACTTTGGGTGGTTCTGCGCTTGCGGAATAAGGGCTTAATAACAGCTTTGGAGGGCTCTAGAGGCTTTGCAAGGGCTTAATAAGGGTTGAAATCAAGCTTTGCCATGTAGGAAAAACCACCAAAACGAGAAATTGAGGGGCTCGATTTCTTAAGTTTAAGAAATTGAGGGGCTCGATTTCTTGTTTTGGGTGGTTCTGCGCTTGCCTACTAAGGGCTTAATACGGCCTTAATAACAGCTTTGGAGGGCTCTAGAGGCTTTGTAAGGGCTTTGCGCCGATCTTTTGGAATACGAACTCTACTCCCTGAGTTTCTCGGTTTCCTTTTGTGCGAACAAAACCAGCGAAAACAAAATGAGAAAGAGCAAAATGAGCAATTGGCACGCCGAGTCCAGGGTACTGGTACCCTGGATTTCTTATTTTCAATTCGCGCCCTTTTTTGTGCATATGTTGTTGTCGCATGGCTGTCCGACGGGCTCAGTTTCTTAAACCAATGATTTCTTAAGCCGTGCTGTTGCTGTAGTTTAGTTTCTTAAACCAATGATTTCTTAAACCGTGCTGTTGCTGTAGTTTTCCGGCAATGTCGGCGACCAGGTGCGCGACCTTGCTCTTGGCAGAGCTGTTGGTGAACATTTGGCTGAAGGTCCCAAGGCAGCATCGTACCGCAGAAGTTTTATGTCACACTCGATACCTTCAGACTCCCGCTTGCAGGGCGGCCTCACTCCAGAAGAGTTTTGCTCGCTTGCCTGGACGCGAAGCGCCCAGTCAAGCTTGGGCTTGGCTCGTGTGGCGGACTTCGGTGATCTTGAGGTTTGTGACACTCGGCTTCTATCACGACCAGATGTTCCGAGCCGTCTTCAAAGCATTGGAGGCCCGAATGGCTTGCGTATCATTCAGAAGATGCCTTCAGCCGACATCAGCATTCCACAGGATGCCCCAACGATGCCTGGGGACACACTGTGCGGATCTGAGCACATGGAACTGCAAAGGGCGAAGCTACTGAACATCAAAACTCATGAACACAAGTGCCTTGCAGCGATTAGGTGCCAGCTTTACGAGATCCACCTGGCATTGAAGGTCCCTAGAACTCTTGAACTGTTGAGCGCTGCAAAGCATCGCTTAAGTAGTGCCAGTTGTAGGCCTTCCGCAACGATCTCTATGGCAAGTTTGAGCTTGAGGCAGGGAGTGTGTTAAATTCGACTCTGCTTGTAGCCTTTGGTTCGGGTTGTGAGGGGGCTGTGCAGGCGTCTGCAGTGCAAAGCCTCCGGGCACACTACAAAAAGCAACGTGGTGGCAAGCCAGTGTCTCGGAGCGGCAGTTTGTTTCAACTCATCGCATGTGGTAGGAGACGCGTCTCCTCTTGCATGCTCTGATCCCAGGGTTAGAGATGTGAAATTGGACCGCTCGGTGGAGAAGGTCTGCAAGGTGAGGCTTCTTGATTATTGATTCCCTGCAGCTGAGCTCGCTGTCAGCAGCCCTTGTTGTGCGTGATTTGCTTACCGGGCTCAAGGAATCAAACACAACGTAGCGCCACCCGCCTTGTTGTTTTGCGCGGTTTGTGGCATCCGACTTTGCAGTATCGCACTAAGGAACAGCAGTTGCAAGAGCGTAACCAAACCTGTCTGGGGCCAGGGGCATTGGACGGAATGCGACTGCTGGTTTGTGCGCTCGGCGCCATCCTTGTTGGGGCGGAGCCAGACAGGGCGACGGCAGCAGATCGGGCCGTGGCACTCCTGGCGCTCGCATCGGCCCGGGAGGCCCAACTGGACGAAGCCGATCAGAGGTACCTGAAGAGGCTGCAGCATTGTGCAGAGGTTGGTGACTGCGCACAGGTCGTCGAAGCGTTCAAGGATTCCAAATCCTCTTTCCGAGCCCTTGAGGACCAAGCTCTCAATCAGGCCAAAGAGGCCTTGACAGCTCAGATTCCACCCGGTCCACCCGTACATCCACACCCTCTTCGTTCACACGTCTCGAAGCACTCCAAGGCTACAACGCAGTCGGCCCAGAGTTTGCACAGGCTGATATTCCTGGCTGTCGTTGTCAGCCTGGGGGCTGCAGCCTTTCTATCCGGACGGAGGCATGGCGATCATAGCCCTACTACTGTAGTGCTGCCCTAGTCGTTCCATAACAATTCCATGCAGTTCCAATGCAGACCTGAGGCTTTAGTTTTGACAATCTAAGGTGGTTACAGCAAGCCCGCCGGATCATGAAGCAGCAGTGCAGTGAGACCACTCCTATCCTGAGTGCCGCTGTGTAGGGTAGGTTTCGCATTGCCTGCTGCCACTGCGACCCTGCTTGCGGGATCTGACAAGGGATTTCCCAGCTGAGCAGGCTTCTCAAGCCGATGTTGGAGTGAAAGTCTCGTGCTCGCCAAACCAGCTGTGGTGCCTTGTGGCAGTTTCTTTTGCATTTCCGAGAGTGGGTCGCACTCCAATTGACTGGACATTCTGAGACGTGGTTTTTGTCAGGACATCGCCGATTCTTTGCAGAAGGTGGTCTCGCGCGGATCAGTCTCGCGACAACATCAGACCGAGCCTCCCCCTGAGACCCCCACTCCGCCCTCCGCCCTGAGCTGCTTGATCTGCTTCAGCTTCAGACCAGAAAGGCTTGGCATGGCCGTTGACATCGCCGTCTCCGCAAAGAGGGGCTCCAAACCCATCGTCTTTATCGAGGCTCCCTGCGGGTGCTTTCGCTTTCCAGCATCGGCGACTCGGATCCAACGAGGTCGATGGATCGCACTCGCTGATGAAAACGTTGCACTCCCAGATTGTGCACTGAATCCTCAGACACTGGACACCGTACTTCTAGCTGAGCATCCCAAGGCTGGACCTGACAGGGCCCACAACATCGCAGATCTCTCGAGTCCTGGGCTCTCTCTTCCTTCTTCCTGACGGAATGGTACACGGAAGAAGAGCTTCGCTGAGGTACGTGGACCTGTCTTGTTGAAGAGGTACCTGTTGCAGAAGTGCCTTGGCAGGAGACGGCACGACATGCGCAGGTGCAAGTAAACGTGTGGATGAACATGAACTCCGCAGACGTCTGCATCACTGTGTGTACGGCGTTGCTATGAGTTTCTTCGGGTTTTAAGCGGACGGCTTTCGGTATCGCTGCTGCTTTGATACGCTTTCATAGAAGCATCACTTCCGGCCGAAAAATGTTTCAAACTAGAATTGTGTCGGCGCGCTGTGTGCGAACTAGATGCTGTGACGGATTTGCTATCGTGCCTCTGCCTTCCTTCATTCTCAACAAGGTAGTGAGACAGATGCTTTGATGCACCGGACAATTTGTCCGTCAGAAGATGCTCGATTTGTCTCCTCCATGTGTCTTCATCTTTATATAATCAGGAAGCCGAAAGTGAACTGGGCGACGGGGCCTGCGCTGCAGTCACATCTTTGCATTTTTTGAGTTTAGCTGTGCAAACCGGCACATCTTTCGAGACTGCACGCTGGCACTGGGTCAGGCAGACTGCATAACAGTGGAAGGGCCAAGTTTTGGGCAGTTTAGAGCCTGCAAGATCTTCAGCTGCTTCATTCCATCGTTCGGCTATATTTCAAGAAAACCACCCTCCGTCGTCCAATCTAATGGCAATGCTCCGAGGGAATGATTATGAATGATTCCTTGCCCACAGCGTTCAGTGTACATTCCATAGGCCAGGCTGAATGGAATGCTTGTTCTTCTTGTTCTTTCAGGCCGAAAGAAACTCCGATAAACCGTCGCTCGGGGACTCGGTGTTCAGGATCGGAGGCAAATGGTGGGACGATGAGGCATGAGTCTGATGGTTTGTCGTGCAGATGAATCTGTTGATCCTTTGCCATAAAGTACTGTTCTGGCTGTATGTCCAGCATTTCAGCGTCTGGCTTTTGTGGCTTTGTGCACAGGCAGGCATCTGTAATTCGATAACGTTGCTTATCTCGTTCCAAAGGCGAAGTTGAGATGCGCAACGAAAGCTAAGGCATGGCTTCCGGATCGCTGTCCGGCACTTACCGATGTGTGCTGCAGTGCTGCGCCGCCTGGCGGGACAGAGGTCGTTCCGGAAGACTTCTGGCGGAGCTTACCAGACAGCAGAGAGAAGCGGGACACTATTTCGAGTGTTCTACGCGGTTTGCACACCGAAGCAATTGCATCACATCTCGAGTGCCATTCCCAGAACTGTGAGGACTTCTTGCGAGAGTTGCTGCGGAGCTCTGGCGTGCCGTCCAGACTGTTATAGCGAAAAAAGGAACTGCGCGAGACCTTTCGCATTGAAGATTTGCATGTTACAGAACCCCTGCAGCTGGCAGCTGTAGCTCAACGGCCAGGTTCCTTCGTATCATGGACATGTTGCAGCTGGGATTGCGGGAGAGCCACTTGCAAGTTCTTATGGAGGCCGGCATGGCGGAATCTCTCAGTGATATGAGGAAGCAAGCCGCTGAGTCATGACTGAGGCCTACTGCGATCCCAGTGGCAGAGAGTTCAGCTACCTGGACTTTTGCAACTCAGTTCGTCGTCGAGCTTCCGACGCTCGGCTGCATGGGACTCTGACTCTAACCAGCGCCGATACATGGATGTCGCTTGTTGTTGCTTGTTGGAAAGACGAGGAAGTGGTGAGCACTCCAAGGAGAGCGTCAGCCCGTCACGGAGTATTAGCCGTATTAGCCGTCGCCGAGCTTGTCGCAAGTACATCATGATGTGAGGTACGAAGGGTCGGAGCCTTCGAGGTACTTCACACGCCCGCCTGCCATGATATTCCATGCTCGGCATACTGCGTCACTTTAGCTAGCTTTGGCTTTATTTCTGGGGAGTCGGAGAAGCCGACCGCCAGGCAAGGGGAAGGTGATCCCGCTGGCGAGACAAGCGCCACTCTCCGCGAGGCCGGATGCCCAGATCTGCGGCACGGAAGGTAAGCACAGAAAGTTTTCCTGCTCGAGCTTTGACGAAGGCTGGTGCACAGGAGTGATCACCTTTGACCTTTTGAAGATGCTTTTTTTTTTTTTGTGTGTGTGTGTGTGTGTGTGTGGACCTCTGTTACCAAGAGGAACCGTTTTTGATACACGTTGGACAGTAGTGCTGAATTGCTGAAAATAGCAGGGGGGTACGGCTCTCTGATGCTACCGTACCCAACGAAGCTATGCATCAGAGAGGGAAACCAAGCCTGATCAGCTTGGTGTACCTGCAAGTGTTTCTGCAAGTGTCGTTGCAAGTGATATGGCTCGGGGCTAAGCCTAAAACCCCAATGGAATCGAATGTGCAGGTTTGGAGGAGTTTGCAAAGGCAGGGATACATTGTTTTGGGCCCGTCGTGGTCCTCACAGGTCCGACTGAATTTGCTGCTCCGATGGTGCAGACATCTGATTACTTCAGTCGTGATGTTTTCTCCGCTCCTGACTTAATGTCAGGTTTGATGCCAGGTTTCATTGCAGGTCCTGAATTTTGCAGATCCGATGGAACCAACGGCTTTTCTATCCGCAGACCACGATTTCAGCTCCGAGACACAAGCCTGTAGCAATCTCTTGCGATCATGTCGTGGACCCGTGAACAAGATTGGGCCAAGTCGTCCTGGGCTAGTTCGTCTTGGGAGAAGAAAGGATCGTCGGGTTGGAACAACCGTGACTGGCAAAAATCTCCTCAACAGTCTGTTCCCAGCACCAATGTTGCCATCCCATCGTCTTTTACCAGTGACTGGGAGTGTTACGACAAGAATGCTATTTCTGGCAAGAAGTTCTTTCGTAACATCCAATCCACGCCCTGGTCTACGAAAGCTGGACTGGCTGGAAAAGATGTCGCCGATCTTCGTGTCTCAGACCTGACGAGAAAAGGTCTTGATGACTTCAGTCTCCGCTGTTTGTCCAATGGAGAATTTCAGAGCCTAGTGTTCGTGAGGTCGATTTCAGAAGCAGTGTTTGTGACTAACCTGCTTCGTCACATTCGGCAAGACCGGATTGATCTTGATGCCGTGGCGGCAAATATGCACGGCCCAGCTCCGCCTGACAAGCACAGGGAGTCTGCGCGATTTATGCAACCATTGCTTGGCGAAATTGTTTCAACAATCAAAGCCAATTCGCCCCCTCCGGCGGATTCAAACCAGCAATCGCCTGAGAGTGAACAGCTTGCTCGTGCGAAGCGAAAGTTGAAGGAAGCTGGGATTGCTCTTACTCCAGAGAAGAAGCAGGCCAAAACTGGCCCAAAGCCCACCGCTTCACCATCACCGTCAGCTGAGCAGATTTTGAATGCGGAACTCCAGAATCCGCCGAACTCTGTTCCGAGTTCCAGCTCTCCTGATGTTGTTGAGAAATGGCTCAAGAAGCATCAGAGCCAGTTTCGTGGTCAAGCTGCAGCTTTTAAGAAACATGTGGCTGATGTTTGCTCTGTGCTGAAAGATTCAGCCACTGATCGGCAAAGCCTGGCAGATCTTGCTATCAAGTACGGCTTGAAGAAAAGCCATGCCAGCAAGATGTCATTCACCAATTTGTCTTCGTTCATTGGTGCATGTCAGTTTGAATCAGCTTGACTAGCTACCCAAGCAAAAACGGTGCAACACCAGCCGATTCAGGTCCGTAAGAGGCTTGCTTCAGCAGTGTGCACGCTTGGTACAGCAGCAGCCTTCATGTTGGAGTTTGGCGATGGAATACCCAAGGCTCCGCTGATTTGGGTGCATACATTGATGTCGTTGGTGTTGTTGTTTTACCTCAATGCACCCAGCCAGGATGATTCACACAGATTCAAGATTGTTCGGAGATTGCAGCAGTTCGGAGTGGATCCAGATACTCTGCATTATTCTCTGTTTGAGAAGCCGAACACTGTATATTGCATTTTTCAAGTTGATTTCGACATGGGTCGATTTCGTTCGGGCTACCGTCAGCCCTCATCACTTCTGTATGTGGGAAGCACTGCTGTCGGTGCAGCCAAGCGGCATTTGAACCGCATGGCAGTTTACAGAAGACTTCAAAGAACCGAATTTGTGGATGCAGAATTGTCCCTGAGATATTGGGCATCCCAACAGAACCTTTTCCAGTTTGTGCTTGTTCCGCTGGAATTTTGTGACAGCTACCAGCGAGCTTGGACTGTTGAGCACGAACTCATTGCTCAATGGCAGGCACCTTTGAATTATCCCAGAGCAATGTCTTTCATTAAGAAGACCGCTCTCGGTTTCCGGATTTCGTCCAAACGCAGAGGGTCATTGTATTGCACCTTTGGCCTCCGACTTTGGCGCAAACTGCGAAAGCGCATGTTTGGTCGCAGTTCGAAATTCTTCATTCATGACTCTCGGGAGTTAGCCTGGGGGCTTCTGTTTAAGCTGGCATCGAGAACCCGAGCATCCTTTGAAACAGCGAAGCTGCTCCGATCCAACAAGACGGCTGACGAGGAAGTGTATGCCCTCATCAAGCTCAGTCGCAATATCGAAAACCCTCATCGCAACAGGGTGCAAGGAATACTCAAAGGTGTAATCAAGTTTCGCAAGAAGATGCACTGGCCACGGACTTCCCGACCTTTGGGAGTCCTGCCAACTGCGTCTCCTTCGTTTTCCAAGGAGTGCGAGAAGTGGTTAAAAGACCTCATCCTCCGGTACAAGTATCTTTTTCCATCTTTTCATGTTCCAAAGAACAGCCTACGTGAAGTTCCGCACCAGAGTATCAAGAAATTTCTCCACAACTTCCGATCTTGGGAAGAAACGATGTGGGAGCACGACTTTGATTTGGAGTCGGTGCACTGTCCGTGTGAGCAGTTTGCAGGAAAACTTCCTGCTCATTGCTTCGTGTCTGGCCACGTAGCCACAGGTTTAGAGAACCTGACCAAGCTACTACCAGGCTGTTCGAGCATCTTATCGGCCAGTGCCGCGAGCACCTTTTTCCCAGGCCGCAATCACTGGATGGCCAAGTCCAGAGCTCTGTTTGATCAGTGGCTCAAGAGACACAAGCTACCAGCGACGTTGCATCCAATTTTTCAATCCTTTTGCGATCACCAGTGGCAGCAACACGTTGCAGCCCTGGAACAATCAGACAGACTACACTGGGCTTTGGTACAGAAGGTGAAGTCTGCCTTGCACTCGGATTTTGTTCTGTACAACGAAGATCATCATCCGAATCATGTCGTGTGCTATTGTCCTCGCTTCTTCCTTCGAGGAGTCAGCACCACATGGAACGATCCCTCTGTGTTTCGTACTCTTGATGGTACCCCTGAAGAATGGAGACAGCGCATTTTGAAGCGCGTTCCTCGAGATCTGTCCAGAAGATACGCCTGGGCCTTCAAAGAAGCAGCTCCGCTGCCCCAAGGCACTGTGTTCCTGAAACGGAAGAAACAGTTTGCCAAGGGACGGACCATCATTTCGTATTCCAATTCGTTGTGCAGCAAGCTATTGGAGCTGACTTCCATTGCGTTAACCTTAATGGTCAAGACGCTGTTTGCTGACAGCCCAGGCATGCAGAGCATGCCACAACTCTGGAAGTCTCTTCATGCTTATTGGGCGAAGCCCAGCCAAGAGGAAGACGTCGAATGGAACGACGATCTCGTGGGATTTTTCAACGCAGTTCCCCGAAAAGACATCATGCACGCAGTGCATTTGATTGTCCAGGAATACTGCCAAACTTCTGGCTGTTCGATCCTTTCGATCGATATGTTGTCAAAAACGGGACACCCGGGCAAACCTCGGGGGAGAACGAAATCAAACTTAAAGAGGTGTTGGGTTTCCGATGTTCCGCTGATTGTGGATCTATCCTTCGCCACGGGCGTTTTGACAGCTGCTGGAAAGTGCAGGCAGCAAGTGGAGGGGACGTGTGTAGGCAATCAAATAGCTCCGATCCTCTCCGGACTTCCTGTAATCCTGGCCGAGCGGCAGTTTTTGCAATCCTTGCCAACAGCCATCCAATCGTCTTTCTTGTTTCTCCGTTACGTCGATAACAGACTGATTCTGGGACCTCAGAAAATTCTACTATCGTCCCAACTCCGGAGATTCTGCGATCCCAACTTTTATGATGGGACTCAGTTGGAAACTGTGTCAGACCATCAATGGTTGGGCTTTACCATTTGTGCCAAGACTCGCTCAGCAACTTTTAATCTCCCGGAGCAACCGTGGCAGATCCGCTCGCCCAACAGTGCTGGATCGTGGCAGCTGGCAGCCTCGGGATACTTTTCTCGAGCATCTTTGATTCGCCAGTATTCCTGGCCCCCCGAGTCAAGACCGGGACAACTTCGCAGACTCAAGCAACTGTATGTACAGGCAGGTTTTCCTGTGAATGCGTTGCAATGAAGTCAACAAATAAGTCGTCATTCGATTGAGAGTTTCGCTGCCTCTTTGCAATGTTTTTTGTTCCTAATTGTGCACGTGAGCTACTGATTCAGCACCATAGCTGCATTGGTTTTCAGCTGGGTATCGGCCTGTTGAAGGAATATTTCAACCCCGAGCCATGGCCCAGCAATACCATTTTCACTTCTACGGAGGACCCCCTGGAGTGCAGACTTCAAGCGGACCACAACCTCCGGTTACAATTCTTTCGACTCCTCAGGAAGCTAGTAGAGCTCGGTCGGTTTCGGTACACCCACCACCTCGAGCTCCGCTTCCAATTCAACTCACACCGGGTGAGCCGGCCATGTCTACTCACCCCAGCCGTGAGCGTCATGATCGCAGTCGCTCGAGACGACGACGGCGTCGACATCATCGGCATGAACGTCACCCTGAGGGACCTCCCGCGGCCCCAGTTCGACCAGTTCTGCCTCCCCCTCAGCCTCCTACTCGACCACCAACAAGGTCGGTCAGTGCAGTTCCTCCGATGCGCCCACCTTTTCGTTCTGCCAGCTTAGAAAACATGCCACCCCGGCCTAGACCGAGATCTATTGAGCCGGCTTCTGTCCGTTCCCGGCCTCATGAAAACAAAGGGCCCAGCAACAGTCCACAGCGACCGCCGGGGCAATGGGTACCTAGTGTTCCTGCTGGGACTCTGAGCCAAAGGCCAGTAACACCCAGAGTTCGAGCTCCTGCTTCACATTCTCAAGCAGCCACTGATGCATTACATCGGGCTGCTCAAGCTTTTGGAGCTCCCGGCAATGCACAAAGCAAACCGGAGACAGGCCCGATTTTGAATAACAAGGAGCCTGTCGCGGCAGCTCCCTCGCCGGAGTTTCACAAGAACACGTCGCCCAAGACACCTCCCAAGAATCCGGCTCCAAAGAGCCCAGTTCCTCCTGCTCAATCCGGTTTGATTTCTGTTGATGAGGAACAGCTATTTCATGCTGCTCATCGCAGCAGCTATGAACAACTGCGAGAGCAATCACAGCTCGAGCCAAAGGCCGCAATGCTGTCGATTTCTATGAGGAGGGAATGAGTTCTCTCTTGGCGTATATGTTCTTTGTTTTGCATTATCATGAGAATTTTCTCACAACGGAAGGCTTGCATACGTGGCCTATTATCCCACATTCTCATATGCGAAGATTCACTGATCGCATCACTTTTACTCGGCAACGTTCATTGCCAGTTTCCAAAATCCTCAAAGAGGATGTTGAGGATGTGCTGAAATTTTTGTTGACCCGATTTGGCCAGGCAGACCGACCTTTTCTGCCTGTGATTCCTATTGGCCAACGGGAGATTGTCACTCTTGCCCGGTCCATTTTGGCCAGCAAGATACCATATAAGGCAATTTTTCAGCATGATGCCAAGGCGTATGCCATGCCCCAAGAAGCATTGCATGTTTGGGAGTTTCCAGTGGCACATATGCCAGGACCTGAAGAGCAGACCAACTGCTATTATCTTTGGGGACACGGGGCCACGGCCGAAGGCCTGGTCGGCATCCTCACGTTGGGCAGGGTCATTCGCTCTAGCGCCGAAGCTGTACATGTGGCGCCGCACGATCATGTGTGCTCCTTTTATGGCAAAGCCACACAAAACGTGTACTATGAAGAGAGCAAGTTAGACTTCGTGTCAAAACTGCACCACTCCACGAAGAATTCCGCAGGAGTGGTCGTGGGAGGATATCTTGGATCTGCGCATCACAAATCCAAATCCTCCAGTACTGTACATGAAGGACACTTGTGCAAGTTCCACCCGCTTGTACACTCCCCTTCAGGAGATAAGCGCTGGGCGGTACGTGAAGCCGCAGGACGCATTGACAAAATTTGGATTTTGTCAAGCACCCACTCCATTACGTTGCCGATGTCCACCCCCAACAATCCCCGGCCGATTACTTTTGAAACGGGGGAAGGACAGGATTGGGGAGTCAGCTGGCCTGGCTTGGAGTACTCTGTACGAAGCACCGAAGCTTTACCGGTCTCCGATGTACAGAGAGAGGCTTAAGATTCATGGAGTCCGTCATGCATGAAAAAAGACTGTTGCAATACAGAATGTATATGCAGAAGAGTCTTGCATGCAATGTGCCGCTTAGGTTTTTTAAATTGCTTTGTTCAGTTCCAGCGTTCGGCTTTCAGCGGTACACGCCATGTCGGATCGATCCCGATCGCGTTCTCCGACTGTTTCGTGGCGATTTTATTGGGTCAAAATTCAAGAACCCAGTGGCAATGAAACGTGGTGGAAATCTTGGTTTCCCGCCACTTCTCGCTGGATTTCGGATCGTTTGGCTGCTGACAATCAGTGGCACCAGGCTTCTCAGACCACTTCTTCGGTGGACTTGAACCTCCCTACTGAGAGCGCCAATTCTTTGTCGCCCCGAAAACGCAAGCGAGATGCATCACCGTGAGAGCTTTTGTCATGCTGGAACAGCAGACGACCTGTCTGCTTAATTCGTTTTCCCAATTGACATTTTTGGGACTTTCATCATTACTGGATTAGAGCGCCTGCACCACTAAAGTGGAACCGTCTTTGCGCATTGCAAAACAGCGCGTAGGAGCGTTACGCTCAGTTTTATGTCTTTTTCGCCCTTTCTCTCTCCCCTTTCTCTCTCTGTCTCTCGTTGAGCCGAAGGCGTTTTTTCCTTTTTTCCTTTTTTACTCATGTGGTGCCGCCAGCCGTTTCCGTCTTGATTTCTCGACACACCGGCATGGCTTCCCGTCAAGACAACGGGGTACCATATGATGAACTTCCTGATGATGCTAGTTCCTGGTCTTCGGCTTTCGATCCTCCCAAAGACTCGGCACCCACAGAGGTGGCGTCTTGGGTTAAGAAGTCCTCCAACAAGTGCAAGAAGACCAAGAAGTCCAAGAAGTCCAAAAGGCTGAAAAAGGACCGGTCACCAAATAAGTCTCAGAAGTCCATGAAGTCCAAGAAGGACAAACGTGAGCGTTCGCCTGTTCCCTCTGAAGCGAGTGATATCACGCTTGGGGATCCGATGCAGTTTCACCGAAATCCTGCAGCACGGTCGAAGGCTTGTGCAAAAATGCTGGTCAGAGCCAACCTCCGTTGTGCTTGCCATTTTTGGTATGTTGCACAGTGTCCCAACCGAAACGTTTGATTCTTATTTTGATTTGGACACCGGACGTGTACAGGATTACATGTCACTTGCTGGAAAAAACTACCAGTGATTCTTGGCATGACCTTGTGACCTGACTTACATTTTTCTGTCCTGCATACAGTGAGAGCACTCGCCTGTACAGTTTTCCTGCTCCCACGCATCAGCGACCCAGTGTACGTGTAGCTTTATCCGCCATGAAACGAGATGCAGCACAAGCGTCGCTTCCACCTGATGGCGGTAAAGATGATGATCCACTTATTCTCCCTCGGACACCGAAACATCTGCCTCCGCTGCGGATGACCCGAGGATTTTGGATTGAAAATTTGCCTTCTGATGGCCGCCATCATGGTGCCACCGTTGCATGTTTCGACATTCCGGCCGAAGGCATTATCGACGACCTTAAAGAGGCTATTAGTTTGGAGTGGAATCGCATCCCCAAGCGTACGTTTAAACTCACGCAAAGCGGGACTCATTTACCGTACTATGTCAAACTCAGTACTGTCAACAACACAGTACCATTGACCTTTCACTGGGCTGAGCCATATTCGGACGAAAACCGTCCTCGTTTGGAGTCCAGACCCTAGGTCGTTTCGCCTTAGTGGCTTACTGTGTGTGTGGACCTCTGTTACCAAGAGGAACCGTTTTTGATACACGTTGGACAGTAGTGCTGAATTGCTGAAAATGCAGGGGGGTACGGCTCTCTGATGCTACCGTACCCAACGAAGCTATGCATCAGAGAGGGAAACCAAGCCTGATCAGCTTGGTGTACCTGCAAGTGTTTCTGCAAGTGTCGTTGCAAGTGATATGGCTCGGGGCTAAGCCTAAAACCCCAATGGAATCGAATGTGCAGGTTTGGAGGAGTTTGCCTTGTACAGTGAATAAGTCAAAGATCAAGTGAAGATGAGCCTTGAGGCCAGATAGGTACCGGACCCCCTGGAAGCTTCATGCTTTCGAGATACATCAAGCTGTGCTTGATAATCAGATTGATTAGTGGCTGCGCGATGGATGTCTAAGTGTGTGTGTGTGCGAGTGCGAAAGTATTTGGACAGTGTCGGCATCTGGCAGGTGCAGGCCAAAGACTCGATGACGGTCTGGAGTCCTCTCGAGCCGATCGATAGCAAAGGGTACCGGGTACCACATCTGTGTCGATGTTGCAACTCTTTGCTGGCATGGGCTGGGTGGACTCACTTCAAATTCATGCACGAGTTCGGGAGGTTGAAGCGCTGCAGAGGCTAATAGCCGCTCAGCCCCAATGTCGTAAGGTTAGGCCTGTTTCACCGACATCTACCGGTAAGCTACCGACTACCTCAAGATTGTGCGGAAAGGGCTACTTCATGTTGGATCGGCGTTGAGCAGACTAGCTGGCCACACATTCGTGGTGAACGCGCAGGCGCCGGGCGCAGCAGCGGTGCTCTTCGTTTACCACATTTTCTTCGTCAACTTATTAGCGTCCTTTTACCAGTGCTTTGCCTACGGCCGCTGTGACCGAGTCATCTCCCGACATCCCTTGTGTTCCATGCTCAGGTGTGTCATGACCGATCCGGGCGTAGTGCCTCCAAACTGGGGCTTCTACATGGGTGATGAGACCAAGCGAAGAAGGCTCGCGACGATTGTCACATCCTGATTGACAGATTGAAGTACGCTGGGAACGGTCGTCCCGTTCTCTGTATATGAGTCCGCCTGCAAGCAGGTACTGCAAAATGTGCAATGCATTCTCCTCAAAGCGGGTGTTGCTTTCTTCGAGCTGAAGCGGATTCGGATGCATTTCTGAAAGGTCTGGAAGCCTGACCGGACACACCACTGCGGCTGAGCAGCATCTACCGGGAACTGCAAGCAATGCAACTTCATTGCGGTAATCGCAGCGTCCTGCAGTCGAACTCATGGCAAGCTGAGGTAGTATTTGCAACCGTTGCATCCTGAACATGGACCGAGTGGGGAATCGGCAAACCGACGAGTGACTGTGCAAGCCTCCATTGCTGCTCCGCCGGTGTGTCGGATTCAAGGAAAGAGAGAGCAAGATGACAAACAGACCATCTACATCAGCCGTGCCAGGTGACGATGTCTTGCCATACTGTGAGCGGCACACGGGTCCATCAGTCCATCCGTCCTATCGTCCATCCAGAATCACTGCATACATCCCTACATACAGACGGACATACTTGGTTCCTTGCCCCCTAAAATTTGATTCTGGCGGGGGCCGGTAGTTAGCTAGCTGGCGCGATATATGCCTAAAATCAACCTGAGTAACCCCGAGAACCCGAACGGATAAATCGCATTGAAGCTTACAGTCATGACCATCTTTATCCTTGGCCATGTTTAGGCCAGATTGCGTCGGCAACTCAGAGCTCTTGATGCTGTACATAAGGTCTTCATGAAGTGTCGAAGTGCCACAGCGTATGCGAGGACACAGCGCGAGAACGCTTTGGGGACCCGGCTCCGGCCTTCGCTGTGTCTCGGCAACAGCACGAGGCGCACCACTCATGTTCGCCCGGCACAATCAGCTTAGGCGGGCACAGCTCAGTCCAAGGAAGACCTTGTGCAACTGGCAGAGAGATGGTCGGGGCCTGACAATGCAAGATCATCAATGTGGCATGCGTGAAGCTTCCAGGTTAGATGCGCATCCCTGGGCACGGAAGGCTGCAGATCAGCGTCGGAAAGAGGCAGACACGCCTCAGCACAGCCTGTGGAATCCGTAAGACTTAGACCCGCCCAGCCCATCTCTCTCGGGAGGCCCGCGCACAGATGGCTGTGTGCTGCCTTCTTGCTTTGAACATGTTACAGCTTGCAGATCGGTGCCCGGGAGGGGCCCTAAGCATTTCCCAGTATAGCCTCGTGAAGGTGCAGACCTGTGTGCCAGGCAAACAACTACAGCACCTGACTGTAAGCTTGGTCGAAAGCTCAGAGTTTGAAAGGTCCACAGAGGCACCAGGCACCATGCAGCAGTTCTCCATCCCAGCTGAGGCCGATTCTCTGCGATGCTCGCTGGAAAGGTGCTGCTGTCTGCCAGTGTAGTTTCTACTTCGGCGGGACTGTTGCACTACAACCTTGCTGGCAGGTACCTGATGTTGCTGCTGATGCCAGGCATGTGCGCGTAGAGCTTGTGCGAACTCGTTGGAAGTCGTACTGACATACAATTGCTGGCAGGCAGTCTGTGAGACCTCCGTCAATGAATGAAAGCGGCAGACTCTCGAAAAGCAAGAAGATTAAGCCACATCAGCGCTCCGACAGTGTGAGTTGAGTGAGTCCCAATGCAGGCATGAAAGAGCCTGAAGAAATTGCCCTGCCGAGGCACAGCGCGTGTTGCAAATATCTCCAGCTTCGTGAGCCTCTCCTGATGTTGGGCTGTGTCTTTTCTCTTGTGGCAAACCGAAGGTTGATCTAGACCCCCTGCCCCTGTCCGATTACTACAGACACGAGTTGTTGATGTGCCACTACTGAAAAATCCCTAGAATGTGGCGTGTGTGCAAAATAATGCGCAAGGACATGCTATTGCGGTCGTAGGAGCGAGCGCACAAAGTCAAGCAATAGGCAGTCGCCTGCCTCGATTGGTCCGGAGATCGGAAGTTCTTCTTGCGGCCTTCGGCCAGAAGCGAAAACAGGGCGAGTAGAAGGCCCGACTTTTGATGGGCAGTGTGCAGGTCCAGGGTCCGGTCTCCTTCAGGACGGTCTAGGTTCTAGGTACGACACAGACAAGAAGCGAGAAAGAGTGTGAGGCTCAGGGCATCTCAGGGCAACGGTGCCAAGTGCAAGAATGGAGAGAAGGGGAGGCAGCTGGCCGCGGCACCGAGATCTCCCTCGTGCGGTCCACCGACTTGTACGGGGGCTGTTGCGACGGTGCCCGCTGAGCTTTCTCTGCGCTCCTGCCAGGGAAACACCCACGTTGCCAGGAGAGAACTCGAAGGGCGGAGAGGAACATTGATGGCTTCAGCTTGACCTAGAGCGGACATCTTGTAGTATGCGGATCTAAGATTGTCGCTGATCTTCGCTTTCACACTCTGATAACCATGACATGGTTCGATGGTGTTGCACTAGTCATGCCGAGTTGATAGCAGCATTTTTGCAGCCAGACAATATGTTCCACTCATTCTACGATTTATGCACCGCCACTACATGTGTGAACTCGATCCTTCATCGTGGTGCGTTGTTATTCTTCGAGCGCTCGTTGTTGCTCTTTTTGACATCCATTACCAGTGCAAGAAAGCTCGGATGACTGCACCCGTGTGTCTGTGTCTCAAACAGTCATGTCAAGACTAGATTCGAATATGCATAGTGAGTCTTTCCAGTGCCTGGGGACCGAACAGGAAAGGGTAGGATGCGCGTCTTGCTCTGGAGGCGTGGGGTGATGTAGCCTTGTCCAAATGGCTAAGCGACAGTCGGACGAAGTCCAGGGGCTGGGGCCGGGGGGCCTCTTCTTTTGGAGTGGTGGGCAGGGGTGCAGAGTGCAGAGGTTCGTCAGCAGCGGATGCGGTTTTGTCAGCATCGGGTTCTTCCTTTGTGCTTGGTTCGTTTATGGGGGCGCTGGGATTTCCTGACAGCGCGGTCAGTTCCAACTCCCGGATTTGCAGACTGATGTATATAGATTGTAGAGCAGCATGTAATGTAATCACCTTCGTATCGAGTGGAGCCCGATTTGGAGAGTATTCTACTATGTTTTGCGAACCAACTGGCGGCGTGACAGATCACCTGTGTGAATGTGGGGGGGGGCATTATCAATTTATCACCTTTGTCTTGTCAGTCCCTCTCTCTGTCTGTCGCTGTTTCCCCCCCTGTGTCTATCTCTCTGTATTCTCTCTTTGTCAGCCTGGCTCCGGCCACTCTGCTAGCACTCTTTTCGTTGTGACTTTGGTGACCCAGGTCTCAGCCAAAAAGACCTGCACCGGTGGTAAAGGCATGTGGCTTGCGCTATGTTTGAGAATCAGTTGAACTCATTCTGAAATAAATCGTGCAGGAAAGCGTGCGAGCGAAACTCCTTGCCATCGTGGTGGCTCCCCATATAGCAACACAGTCAGAGGCTCCAAGCTGTTAACCAGAACTTGTTTCAGAAGTCTGGGGTCTCGGAGTGTTCCTGGGACCTTCCAGGAAGTGAGCATGCCTTGGAGGTCAGGCAGCTGAACCAATGCTTGGAGTCCATAGTTGCCCAGTCAGTTCTACCCACAGCGCTGGGGGCCCAGGAGAGCAAGCAGGCATCTCCCAAACTTGCCAGAAACTTTAGATGCAAGTCAGGCTGTGGGTGTGTTGGCATGCAGAGAGCTTCAGCTTGAAGCTGGCTGTGTCCCACTCCATTGATGAGCTGATGCCCAGGCGCTTGGACTTCTTAGTTGCACAGGGCCATAACGTCGAAAAGCGCATGTCGAAATCATGCAGTATTCGCAGGTGCTGCCGGAAAGGCACGCCGCTGACGCAGCTGCAGCTCCAACCTTAGTCGTGACACTTGCAGCTCTCCTTATATCCGGCTCTCTGCGGTGAGGCTTGACGAAACGGCAGGACAATGGAGAAATATCGAAGCAGTCGTCGCCCCTGATTGATATATTCTAGCCTGTGCAGTCGTGTGGATGGTAGTGGGCAACTTTTGAATTGCTGCTTGTAGCGACCCCGCAGATGTCAGGTCCTAAAGGCGCGGCAACGTATGGGCGGGGACGTCCGCAACCCGGGAGCCCAGCACAGATGCGCGGGACCAGTCGACTGCCAATTGGAGGTGTGCGACATGTGGGTTGTTCTTACACAGCCAGACGAGATCCGAGCTTAGCATGCAAATAACAAGGCTCGTAGAGTCAGTCTCTCTTGGAATGCTTGGCGAGTGTGCCGACGTTGGCAGAGGCTTTGGCACCCACGGCGTTGTGAGCAGATTTGTCAAGAGGCGTGCTGCGTCATGCTGCATCGAGCACTTGTTTAGGACTGAAGAAATGCTGTAGTCTGGCGTTTGGAGGCAGCCAGAGCACCAGCAGAAATTTCCAGCCTCCTCCTGACGGAGGGATTCAAGTGCGAGCCTGACGTGGTGAGCGTTGCTCAGGCTCGATTGGATTGTGCCAGACCTGACAACAGCCAATCATTGATGTTGCAGAGCTGCTGCTGAGCATGTGTCAGCTTTTGACCCACCTGGAGGTGGAAGAGCACTTCGCATCGGGCAGTCTGGGACGCTTATCAGAAAACGATGTCAGAACCACTTGCTCGAGCATAGTCGTGCGCGTGCCTAGCCTGGCAAAGTTTTTGGCATCAATTCCCTCAGACATTCTGACGCACGAGTTTTGCGATCTAGCTTTTTGCAGCTATGCATGGAACGACCCTTGCGGGCGTGTCACCAAATTAGACCTCCCTTGGTCCGTCTGCTTGTGCTGCCATGATCTGGCAGCACGGCTCGCCGAGTTTGCACTTAGCAGTGTCGTGGATGGAGCTCAGGGTTACGATGCTTCCTTAGAAGAAAGAAAGAGTGCCCTCATGAAGCGAAGATCTGCCGGGGACTGGGCCTATGCCATCTCTGCTGCAGACTTCGTACGCTTCATTGCATGCTGCAGGTTGGGTGCGGAAGCTCTCTATTTGATGGGCATGTTTTATCCGGCCGATGATTCGATGTTGGTGGCGTTGAAGCTAGACCTGTGGCGAAGAGTTGCGCTCAAGTGGCAGCTGTGCCAGGATGGATGTAATTGGATTGAAGTGCAGACCGTCCGGTTTTTGCAGGATGCAGAAGCATCTTTGGGCAGGTTTGCAGAGGAGCCATCACAGGAGAGGCTATCGCAGCTCTTACGTGTTTCCAAGCCATCTGATTCGCGGACAGGAATGGAAAATGGCTGCTGCATTTTTCAAGCATGATCAGTAGCATTGTCGTAGCTTCCTGTCGGCGATCATTGTGTTGAGATCACCGTCATATCGGGGGCTGCCTCAGAAGACAGACGAACTTCCAGGATCACCACTGTCCGTGGATCAACAACTGCGTGGGCTTCTACAACAGGAAGTTCTTCATTCAGCTTCTTTCTTACGTGCAGACCTTGCGTCTTTACATCATGCTGTTGGTCTTGAATCTTAGGGTTGGAACTTCAAGTCCAGTCTCGACAGATGTGAATGGGCATGCCAGGTATCTCAGTCTTATCATAGTCGTGCTCTTCAGCATCCCCGAGATCTACACTCGATGCTGAGCGAAATTCATCGCGGGCAGGTCATAGCAAAGACCATGTAAGGTAGGGCATCGTGCATGGAGGGCTGCTTTGAAAGACGGACATGTGGCACTGGCGGATCCGAGAGGATCGCAGGCAAACATGCAGGTTGATGCTGGGTATCCCCTCCAGCATTTCTCAGGATCATGGGAATGCCGATCTCTCACAAGCTAGGCCGAAAATCTCATGCACCAAGCAACAGCCTTCTTGCTTCATGTTGGTCTCCGAACAGTGCCGTCGTTATGTTTCAGAGTGGACGTTTCGTGGATATTTTCTCGCGTCGAGCCACAGGGTCATCAGGGTAGCCATCGAAAGCGAGGCTAAGCTGGTCTTCCGATGTCTGCCCTCAGCCCTCCCCAGTGCCGGCTCCCACAGCAAAGCGAGAAGTCGATTGTTTGTAGTTCGCAGAATTGCATGTCCCCAAGGAAGTATGGAACTTACCCGGCGCTTGCCTCGGGTCCTTGGTGTGTTCAACAACATCTCAAGCTGCCTATGCTGGACAAGCGTGGCCAGGTCCCCGAACAGGTACGGCGAGTCCACTTACTTCTGTTTGGAGACGGTGTTCCTGACTCTTGCGTCGAGCCGTCGGATTGCCTCTGACACCTGCATGGGAGAGCGCGCTGCATGCACGCATCATGGTGTGAATGTACAGCATCTGGAATCAAGGCGCTCATCATGTGTGCAAAGCGAAGACTCGGTTCATGTGTTAGAATTGGCTTTCTGCCTCCTCTTAGTGACAGTCCGTGTTGCCACAAGGTTGAGAAGGATCAGGGGTGGACTTCCTGCCACATTCTGGCTTTCCAGTCGTGTTCGTGAGTTGAGTTTAAAGAATGCTGGACAAATAGCCGGGAGCCATGGCTCTTCTCGAGGTCTCCCTCTGGAGCGTCGGTGGTAGGACCCATGCGCAGAATCTTGCAGCCTGTGTAGTCTGTTGACAGCAACATATAGTCCCAGGACCCGACGCTAACTTTCAACTTGATGCAGTTCGGATGTGCGACTGAGTGCGATGCTCCCTTGACCCTAAACCTGTTTTTGCTCGTGACTTCCTATAACTCTTGAAGCCAGGTACACCCGAAATGCCAGAACCAACCCTCCGGACTGACTTAACTGATTCAGACCCTGAGCTACGTAGCCAAGATCTAACCTGCCCCCCCCACCACCAATCTGTGCCCTGCCTTAGTTCACAAGCGCGCTTTGCTCGTGCAATCGTAGGGAGCAAGGCGAAGTGGAGGGGTACGACGAGAGGAAGCTTATTGAACATCTTCCTTAAGCAGGATGTGAGATGGGGGAGCGTGAGTGATGAATTGTGTGAGGTCCTATGTTGTCTCCCTTGTGCGTTGACAAAAAATCCAGTGAAAAAGTAGGAGCAAAGTGGGCTTTAGTCGTGACTGCTCATCTCACCTGCGGAAGCGCGCGCTAGTGATTTCCTACAAGTCTGGAATGACTTTAAGCGCTTCGCATCGTCCGCCTCGGCCGTACTTGAAGCAGGTGGATTGTTTCGGAAAGCAGCAGTAGGTCACACAGGTGAGGTCTTGAGTGAATGAGTGCATTTGCTGCAGAAGGTTTTTCTAAGTCAGTGTTTGTTTTCATGCTGAGGCTCTGAGCAAGAATCCCACGCGAGAGGTGGCAGATTCCCTGCATGATCACATCGAAGTTACTAAACTGTCAAAATCGTATCGCACTTCTCACCGGTCTCGTATACAACCTCCCATACGTAGGCAGGGGAATCAAGCTTCGCGACGAAGTACAAGACACCGCCCAGAATTCCCATGCTTTGGGTGAAGGGATTCAGAGGTGGGGAAACAGTGATTCCATGTTTATCCTCTACCTGGCCGAGGTGAATAAGTTGTAGGCTTCCATTCTTGGCGGCTGGCGACAAGATGCATTAAAGAAGTGTGCCCAGTGCGAAATACTGGAAAACCATGAGGCCGCAGCTCTCCAGTTGCCCGCAACACATGGGAAAATGAGTTGAACGCAGTCAATCTCGTCTTCAGATGGTTGAGTCATGTTGAGTCTCAATTCCTGTTTTGTCTTCCAACAGGAGCTGCACAAATAGACAGCGAGTCTCACCGAACTTTTCTGGAGATGCTTCCTCGCTGGGTGCCTTTTTGCTGATCGCAGGAAGCTCGGTGAAGTTGAGCTCAGGCCTTCTGAAGCTTTCGATTTTGCATCCAATGCTCCGTGTGTTCCAGACTTATAGCTTGCAGGGAGGAGTCCACCGTGAAGGAGCCTGAGCTTGCCTACGCCCGCTAGCCGCTGTTGCAGAGCAGTGCCTTTGAAGCTGAGCTTCTGCTAGTGCGTGAGCTTGAAGGAGTTGAAATATGCCACAGCAGATCTGCTAGAGCTACCTCCGAAATGTCATCGACTACTTTGTGGTGGAGAGATCATGAGCAGTTCCGGTACTCAGAGACAAGGTCCGGGTCTTGCTGCCTATCGCATCCACGCCATCTTCAGGCAGCAAGCGCATGAAGGACTACAGCCAAAGCCAGACTGCCTTTGAGGCCTGTGTCAGAGTCCGTTGTGCAGGTTCGGGCTCTGCAGAGTTTTGGTTCGATTCGTAAAACCGGGGAGATTTTGGGCTCTCCCCATAGTCGTAGTACTGACTCGTGCGGCGCGATGGGTTGACAACCTTCACCATTGAAACTCATTGCCATCTGTTGGTTTCTGTGGCGAAGGTTGCATGTTGTCAGGCTTCGTCCATTAAACAGCCGATGCTTTCTTTCATGCAGAGAATGGAGACCTGTTGTCAGACTCCTGATGCGATGTGCACACCGCGCGGTAGTCGCCAACCCTGATGCTAACCCTGCTTAACCAACCTTGTCCTCCCTCGTGTCAAGGAGAGGCTGCAGGTCACCCAACGCCTCCAGGAACCCGAATAATCCACCTGAGCCCATGCTGCCATCTCAGCCCCTCCAAAGGTTAAAACAAAAACGCTGTCGCGACTGGCCATTTGGGATGGGAAGGGAAACTAGGGGGGAGGGCGAGGTGATGGGAGGTGGACGAGGGAGGGGGGACCAAGGCGTGAAGGAGGCGATTAATAACCACCTGAGATTTTTGAACATGTGACCGACTGCCATCGCCTAATGAGGAGGCGGGTTTAGCGCCGCCATCGCCCAGTATGAACTGTGAACATCGGGCATAAGAAATGCGATCAGCCGCCCTCCCGTGTTGCGGGGGGTGCATTTTTGTCATGGGATCAACTGCCCTCCGCTTGCTATGAAGAGCCTCATGCATCAAAAAGACGTGCTGCAACTAGTAGCTACTACCCATTGAGAATCTCGCCCCGTCGGACAGGTTGCTAGAGAATGCAAATGAATCCGATGCAAACGGAACATTCCAGCAAAGTGTTTGCAAATGGTGGGGCTGCCCAGAGCGCATCCAAAGCCACCCTTGTTTTTGACTTGACTCGCCAAGCAGCTTGTTATGAAGAACCTCCTGCAATGTTTAAATGAATTCCTTCCACTGGCTACTCGAGTCCCAACGCACCCATAATTTGTTTATCCTTCAAAAGTTTGCAACGAAGAGCCTCATGCCCACGCCGTCAACACAAGCTGCTGCGGTGCCCAAATGAATCCTCGGCAAATCGGCAAACTGCAATTCCACCGCATCCGCAGAGCGGATTCTTGAAACTATAGCTTGCCAACAGAAGGACATTGCAATGCGTAGTTCCCCCCAAGAGCTTGCTGCAGAACAGGACCATGCAAAATACAAGTACCGAATGCAGCAGCTTGCTGAAAATCAGATGCTGACGAGAACCCGCCCTCTCGTTCCGCTTCCCTCTCGCTCCCTCTCGCCTCCCTGCCTTGCCTTCCCCTGACAACCTGCCGCTCTCCTGGCTCGGTCGACTCGCCCTGGCTTCCCTTACCGTCTCTCTCCGTCTCTCTCTCTCTCTCTCTCTCACTCTCTGTCTATCTGTATCCCTCTCTCCTCTCTTTCTCTCGTGCGAACTCTCTCTTTCTCTCTGGTTCGCGCGCTACTTTCTCGATGTCTCAACCAGAGCTACGGAAGCACTGCGGCAGGTCACCGTGGTCATTTCCCATGAGCTCATTTACAAGCGAATGTGGGATCCGTGTGGCGAAGTGAGGTATGCCTGTGGCATTCGTCTCATTTCATGGTCTGAGTCGCGGGGCATCAGCATGAGGCAAGCTGCCCTCAACACACTTGGAAGGGCTGCAGAGCCTGGCTCCAAGGCGGCAGCATTGGCCATTGGAAAGACAACTCCCCATATCTGCTTTTGTGGAGGCAGCAATCGAGGCAGTATGCCAATGCCTTGAGAATTGCAGCGGTGAGGCTACTCAGCTATTGGACACGTTCGCTCTCATGTTGGCAAGACCTGTCAAGTCACCACCGGTTCTGAGCTGCAGCCAGCAACCTGTGGGCCGCAAAGTTGCAGGTATTTAGATACGGCGAATCAGGAAGATCTGAAGCTCCACACGAACTATTTGTCGACTTGTCCTCATTGCTTTTAGCCCAACTAGAAGACTGCCCTTCCCATATTGTGTGTGGCATGACATGTGAGAAATTTTGAATTCTGTGCAGGTTCGGCGAGTGGCCATCAAGACGTTGTCCTGCATTGCCGAAGATGGCAACCAGGAGGCGAAGAGCCGGCGCAGAGCAGAGTTCATACGCGAGTGGAGTTGTCCAGTGCTTCGCTCATATGCCTTTGTTCGCGAGGTCATTAGCCTTCTCTGTGACAACGTGGCCTGCAGTGATCTTTTCACAAAAGTCCCGCGGCCAGCAATAATCCGGAATGGCATTGCCGGCTGGAACGTGGCACGTCCTGGAGCTCTCAAGTCCAGGCCACTGCCATCAAAGGCTTGATGAAGGTTGCTGGTGCAGGCCTCCCTTCGCTGACGTTGGACATTCTTAGAAGTAGGAAGCCTATCCCGTCGGATTAAGGAGAGCCATTGCAGGCCCTTTTGATGGCGATTTTTGGGATTCACAGGTCACAAAAACCTTGTGGCCAGCGTGCTCGATCTGGTGGAGAACAGGCAAGCAGCATCCAGGCTCACAGATCAGACCGCCCATGTTTCTGTCAGTGCCTGGACTGCGTGACTGCACTTGCTCGTTGCGAGGCGGCTTGCAATGGAATCCTTGCCACAGGCAGAGAGCAGCTTGCAATCGGAAGTCTCTGCTGTTGGCAGTTGGATGGCACGGCCAGGTTACAGCACCCGGCGACACCAGATCCATCAAGGCAGCCTGCGCCGCGCTGCGAGATGAGGATGCCAAAGTCAGGCTCGGCCACTCGGTACCCCTAGTCCTGCGCATGAGCTTGTTCCTGCCAGAATTTGCCAGGCAACTGGCCGCGCAAGCCTTGGGACAATTGGCAACGAGAGGTGACAGCGAAGTGGTGGAGATGCTTTTGGAGAGGATACAGGCGCCCTGAGCATAGCCGCGAAAACATCAGCAAGCTGCTTTTGCCAGCCCTTCGACCGCGTATGCAGGACCGAGACAAAATGACTCGACGCCATGCGACGATGGCTTTGGGGCATGTCGCGGCGCAGGACTGGTGAAGTCGGGGCTGCTGCAAGTCTTGACTCGGAATGCATCGCAGCGCATGTGAGGACGATGGCAAGGCCTGCGCAAGTGTGGCACATTGTGCTCTCTCACGATCCTGAATCTGCATCGACATCGCAGGCCCTCGCAGTTCTGGATGCGCTTTCCAGGAACTCCTCCGACGCCGGTCTGAGGCACGGCAGATACTGTCGTTGGGAGCTTCCCTAAGCCGTGCAACAGAGCCCGCAAAGACATGCAAAGACTGCATGGCGGGGGTGTCCGTTTCAGAGGCGGGTGGCCTCTACAGCGCGGGAGGCGATTCTTTGCCCTTTCGACAGCGAGTGACTTCGAGCTTTAGCCGAGCTTGGCCGACTGCAGACTGCATGCTGCCTCGCGGCCTCGCGTTAAGTTGACGCTCCAACTCTGAGAGTCTTGGAGCTGAGACTTCCTTAGTGTTAGTTCCTGTCGCCTGCCACCCCAAACTGGCGGCCCGGCATCGACAGGTAGCCGCGATTCGTGCGATCGAGAAAAACTGAGGAAGAATCAGCAAGATAGCAAGCACTCGCCCAGTGCCACGCTGCGATTGACTCGTGGCAGGTTTTGCATGGCTACCCTCCTTATTTGCACGCTCACAAACTTCATAAAGTCCCTCGGCTGGTAGAAAGTCACCACTCGCAGATGGCTCCGTCGGGCTTTTGCTGTCCGTGTCACTCGGGGTTTTGCAGGTTTCACATGAAGTTAGTCTTGGAAAACTACACGACCATCGAGAATTTGGAGCGTGAGGCCATTGTGGACGGGGAATGGGAAAAAATGGGAAGCTTGGTGACATGTACCTGTCCGAAGAAGCCGCTTCGTGTGCTCGTGAGCCTAAGCGCTGGGCAGGAGGGTGCAAAGAGCAAGTTTGACATCGGCCGTCGCAGGACAGGTTGCTAAAGCAAGCACCCTGAAAAGGCAGCGAAGGTTTTGTGACTGAAGGAATTGGGAGCAGGTCTTCGGGCAAAACCCTTGGATGCAGGACCCCGAGACATGCAACACGAGAAAGCGCTTGCGTGCCAGTTGTTGGCGTCACATCCGAGGTGGTGGCTTCCACTGCACACGCAGGTGCAGCGAATATCGAAGGATTGTTTCAAGAACTTGCAACAAACATACCTTTTTTTGTCCAGGCTTCTCGGCCAATCGGCGATGGCGTCCGATGGCGGGTGCACTATACCAGAGTGATCGACGAGGCCAAGCTACAACAGTACACAAACTTTTGCACTTTACCTGTTTGTACAAATGAGACGACCTCATGCCAATCCAAGCCGATTCGAACAGGACGAAGAGTTGCCCGCAGACGAGGAGGGCATGTCGCAAGCAAGCCGATTACTAAACCAGGCGGACCCACAAGTCACCATTCATGCCGCAGACGATGCTGCTTTGGGAGCCCTTGGGCGAGTGTTGCGAGCACAGCGAGTGTGTTGCTTTGTTGCAGGGCAATGCCGGATCCGCAAATCGATCTACCGGAAGGTAGTAGTTGGCTGCGAGGCTTGCAGGGCTGCGAGTTCTGGAAATCATGTTCGGCTTCTCACTCTAGCGGTCTTGATTCTGTTTTGCTCACAGATCCTGGCGGCAACGCAGCCCTCTTTCATTGAAACTCTTACGGTATTGAAGATTTCTGAGTGCCCTGAGCCACCACATCCGTATTGAGCACAGACAGCGTGAGAAGAATCAAAGTTGTTGATCGAGTCAGCGAAAGGAGCTGGCCGGACGGCCTCGTCGAGGAGTGTAAATCCGCAAAGCGAGCGCTCGGCGGTGGATAAAGGGGTTTGGAAGCTGTCGTCGGAGCTGGGTGGTGGCCAGTTGTCCATTGGTGGGCCTTCTGTCCGTTATCAGGGCCAAGCTGGTGCAGAAAATCAAGAACAGCAAATTTGCCGCTGATCGGCGCAGCATGGCACGGCTTCGCGCACCGACAAGAGAAGGCGCAGGAAGCGCTCGTGAGGATCGGCCCGAGATCAAGCCAGCGAGCAGTCGGTTTTCTAAGAAAGCACAGGCCGAAGGACCAGGCTCCCACCCCCCTCTTCTGCCAAGAAGTCGGATGGCATTCATCAGATTCGGGTGCAAACGGCGGACATTTTTTGAAAGTTGCCCCATATTGCGCAGGTTCTTTCTCAGGCCGGCAATGTAGCATGGCAAAATCCTGACACTCAGCATTTGGATTCCAATATGCATTGGGACCCTCAAGCCTAAATCATGCCTCTCACGATGTACACAAGCAGTAGCGGGGTAAGAGCATGGCAAGAGCGCCTGCCCGCCGATCGATTTCATTGAAACTGGATCCACAGCAGATCAGAAAGGTGAATCTGTCATTGAGCAGGTTGATCGCGGAAGGGGCAGTGACCTGAATTTGTTGTGCTGGTAACAGACCAGCCGCTCAACAGGCACAGAAGTGGTATTGTGTAACTGTAACTGTGTTCGACGGCATATGAATCATTTTTTGTGTTGAGAGCTTACAGTGAGTTTCACGAATTCACCTTGCAGCATCCTTACCCTGCAGAAACCAGGGGATAGCATCGATTCCAGTCGGCTTCCTTGTACCGTTTTAGATAAGCTGCCTGCGCTGATTGTACGTGGTTTGCCGGCCGACTGGGTTTCTTGTACGCCAAACAAGGTTGACCGCATTAGATCGCAGGCCGCGCGGCAACAATGGGTAGCTTTGTACGGACAGGATGTGACAGGATTCGTCAAGTTTCATGAGTTGGCGAGGTGGCTGTTTAAGATCAGGGTTCAGAATCTGTGAAGGATTGTGCAAGCCCGCTAACGACCTATCAGACCAATCATTCTGCAGCCTCTCAAGCTTGGCATGAAGCTGCATGCCAGTATAGAGCAGTCCCAAGTTCCAAGCTTGGCAGTCGCAAGAAAAATTCGACACGTTCTTGGTGTTACCAGTACTGTTACGAGTCGCAGCACTCCCAACATCTCCCAACCACATGGATGCAGACCTCTCCAGAGAAGCTTTGCCATGGCCGCGCGGCAGGCGACGCGTCTAAGACTCGCGGGGCTATACGGCTGGACTCGGTGTGGCTGTGTTTCAACTTCTGCTGCAGTGCTGCTGCAGCGCCCTGTCGGAAGCACCCGCTCCGTGCAGGTCAACTGCTCAGACGGGCAGGCGGCGATTCGCAAGAAACAGCACGCAGCAGCTTGCATACGCCCGGGAGCCCGGGCATATTAGCGGAAATGCATACAGTTAGCCGGCTCGTGGCATGATCTTGTGGTGCAGGTACTCGTGCAAAACCGGCAGTGTCTCAGCCATCTGCACAGAATCAGAAGGCCAGCGGAAGCGACAGCGTCATAGCATAGCGGAAATTCAAGCGCAGGCACAACGTCGCCTTCACTCTTCGGCTTCGACATCTCCTCAAAGGCATCCCTGCATCGGGCCTCAGCAGCTGGAAGGTTTCCCTGCTGATGCTGGGAGGTCCTCCATGCTTCAGCCCTATCCAGACCAGTCCACGATGACTGTTCAATCTGGTGCACCACAGCCTCCAAGACAGGAGACCCGGCCAGTCTCAACTCGCTGTGATGCCCATGCATTTGTTATTGTGATGACGAGCTTCTTGCAAGTGTGCGCAAGGCAGGCGCGGCCACGGCCCGCAAAGGAGAGCAAGGGACCGCGGCTCCCTAAGTCTCAGCACAAAAAACTCTGAGCAACTCTGAGCCTCTTCTGACTCCAGGCATCTCCACGGAGCCGCTTGCGCGACTGGTTAACTGAGCGGATTCAGACCGTCCTTGCCTCAGCGAGAGAGAAGCGACCGACTCCGACTGCTTTACGAGACAGGTGCAGCTGGAGATCGCTCAATTTCAACATGCAAGGCTCATCGGGCAGTGTCCGATCTCCGCGAGCACCCTCTCGTCTTGTGGACGGTGTCGTTAGGCTCCAGCGGTCATCATCAGTGAAGCCATCCGACAAGAAGCCGAAGGCGTGCACGATCGTGCAAGGTGACGAGCCAGACCTTCAATGCAAACCTGCATCCTGTCACCCACAGGCTTACAGGACTGGCTCGTTTTCACCATCGAGAACCCAGCCCCGGTCGCGGTCTCAGGATCGCAGTCACGTCAAATGATTTTGCTTTTGTCTCAGGCCCGCTGCTCAGCCGCGAGGTGCCAGGCGGGACAAGTGCTTCATCCTGAGTGCGCCGCCCTGTGAAGCCGCTTCTGAAGGATCCCACTTGGAGCTGCGACGGCGTGCAAGGCATTGGCATCACTGCAGGTAGTCTTCTTCACAGTAGCCCGGCCGGCAGTCTTGTGTCCACAACTTCGATCAACTTCGGGCTGCAGGCCCGACAGAATGCAGCACATGCAAACTCTGCACTGCCTGCTGGTCTCTCAGTTTGAACCTCTGTGCCTGCCAATTTGAGCGCTGTTCGTGCTGTGCGACTTGTTTGCAAAGCGCATGCAATTTTTCAGGAAGCAGCCGTTCAGAAGTGCGGACCCCGTGAAAGTGACTGCGGCAAGTGATACTGGCAGTACGGCAAGGCTTGAGATGCATGCTCCTCATGAGTAATCCCTTCCCCCTAATATTGCGATGGAATCCCGCAGATGCCCAAGCTGTGATAGGGTTTCCCGGGCACCAGGAAACCATCAGGAGACGACCATACCAGGACGCCACGGCAAACTGCCGTTGCGGATGTACGGGTGGGAGTCACAGGCGCCACAACAATGACTGCCCCATACTGCCCCCCCTGAACTGGCAGGATTGGGGAGCGGCCAAACTGCTTCCCCCAGTAGTGATGGGATTCAGAAATTGTTGCAATGCACACCGGATGTGAATGGATATGGATTTCGTGGGACGTGGCCACAAGGATCCGGTGTACATAGTGGGATATGCACCGCACCTCAGTGGGAGGCGCGTCCGGGAAACCTCCCTTCGGAACCGCCTCGGCACCCGCTTCGCCCTGACCACTCCTCTTGACGCAGCGTAAGAACCACCCAGTGTGTGCCGCGCTGTTCGGGGAACAGACCTTGCAAATTCAATATCAAGGTGGTGCATTGGAAAGTTTATGGTATTGGTGCTGGATCGAGGCATACGAGCGCATCGTTTTGAAGGTGTGCATCACAGGTTCGCAGTTCCAGGAGCCAGCCTGCGAGAACTCGTAGAAAGAGATGATCTTGCACGGATCTTTGCGATACTGGAGGAGCACAGTGCGGAACAGTGTTTTTGTTTTGTGCTGTAGTTGCCTTTATGTTCTTTTTGTTCTCGTTGCGCGGACCCAGGAAGCCAGTGAGTGAGTGAACCCCGGTGCCAGCAACGACAGCAAAAGAAAACGCGCCCCCCCAGGGACGGCCAATAAAAACGCGCCCGCGCAACGACAGCAAAAATGAAAATGCGCCCCCGCAACGACAGCAAAAACAAACGCGCCCCGCAACCACAGCAAAAAAGCAACGACAGCAAACAAACGCCCCGAAACGACAGCAAAAAAGCAACGACAGCAACAAAAAAAAGAAACACTCTTACCAGCACAGTGCTGTCCCGGAGTTTGGTAGCTCAGCAGGGAAACTAGATCTCGGTAGCAAGCCGTAATGCCACATTAGCGATGAGTTACGAGTTTCGGCTGACGTTGCTCGTCCGGGATGCTACCATGGATGTCGGTTCACTTCGATGACTTTGATGAAATTCAGACAGAATTTGATGTGCCGGCTCGGTTGGCGGTTGTGCCACGGCAGAGAATTGGGTGGTCCGATGGACACGAGATGACGAGATCCGGACAGTCGTCAGTACGCAAGGCCCTGCAGCGAAATTAAGCGATGCAGTTCCCGAATCTACTACGAGTTCGTAACTTCTAAGCTTACTGTGGCCTTGGCCAAATTTCAGGAAGATTCCACAAACCGGCTAAGGACTGACGACCAATCCTGTGCTCCGAAATGGATGGATTTGCCGAAGCTGGATTCTTTGCACACCTAGGACCTAGTTCTTCGCCATGGTCCTGAGCTCACATGCATTCAGGTCTCCTGCAGTCCCGCGGACGTTGGAGGCACTTCAGCTGCAGGGGAGAGGAGACTGCTGCTGAGAGTGTAGGATCGCTTCAGGCTCCGCGGAAGTTTCTCGGCGAAAGGACAGCTGTCTTGGGTCCTCCGTGATCACGGCGTTGTCTTTCGCTCACCTTGCAGGCTGAGATGTGTCCACCATGCTGCCTGTCGCATCCAGCGTGCTTGGAGGCACTGCCATGTAGGAAAGGTGTCTAGTCGTTCACGAGTTTCGTTGTAGTCTTTAGTCTCATCGGGTGTAGGGTTCGGAGTTGAAAAAGATGCGAGGATATCTCAATGGCGTCGAAGCTTCGTTGATTTCTCCCGCCACCAGGCAGATGCGAGAACTCACCGCCCAGTAGTGTGATGCTCATTGTTTGCAGGTTGGATGGTTGGGTAGCCTGAGTTGGCTGCGGCGGTGGCGGACTGAGGAAAAGGATTTGGCATTGGCTTCCCTCATTTGGCGAAGATGCGTTTATGCAGCCTAGACGACCAAGGTACTACTGATCGGAATTCTGCTGCTTCCAAGCCTCACAAACATATATAACTGCACGAATGGTTACTTTGCTTTTCAAAAAGACATGCTCGGAAGTGAGATGCCGCACTTCAGAACTCGTCTGGAGTGATTCAACAGTACCTGCCGGACTCAGACATACCTCGTTACACCGATCCGTCGTAGGTTTTAAGGCAGACATGCCTTCCTGTCACCGTTGCCGTTTCGTACAAGGTATCATGAATCACTAGCTGTGCCCTCGTGCCCTGAACATCCCTGAATCAGATGCTTCTTTTTAGTCTAGCCAACGATCTCCGCTTCTTCACCCCGGCACGGGCAGCCTTCTCATCATGACGAGGCACCACTTCCTGTATGGCGCTGGTCTCAGATTCTCTTAGCTAAAGTACCGTTTACGCGTGCAATGATGCAACGCACGGCACTGTTTTCGGAGGCTTCGTGTGATTTCTCCATGTCTGAGGCAACGAGCTTGCAGACAGTGAAGACGTCAGGCACAGTCTTGCTCGACTCAACATGAGCTGACTTGTTAGGACTTAGGAGATGGTGGAGATGGTACTGCAAATCTAGCCACCTCGGAGGTGGTGGCTCAAGCAAAGACAGGATGCAGCCCTAGACTACCAGGCGAAGACGTTGTGTGCACAGCGCTGTGTCGTGTGTCCAAGCTGACAGGTGGATCCTTGGGGTTTCCGCAGGCTTCAAGAGCATTTGCAGGAAGCTCTTGACTCTCACCTCGCCCCTCGTCACGCCACTCATTCAAGACCGAGGTCGCACACTTGGAACCGGCCTATCCGCAAAAGTCCCAGGCCATCGTTCCGCTGTCATCCACTGTTCATGTTGACCATGCGCTTCTTTATTTGGCTGGATACACCTTCCGGAGCAGCTTACGAAAACAGCCCGTAGCATTTGCCCAAGATCCCCAAGAGACTTGGGAACAAAGGGTGGACAAACGGGGAGGGGAGTTTGCAAGGGAAAAGAGCCAGCATCTGCTCGATCGCTTTGGCCAGACGCTCTGGGGCGCTGTAATTCGCTGCAAATGGCTGAGAATCTGAGAAGGGCACACGCAGATATACGCAGATAAGCACAACCTCCAGCTCAGTACAACGAGCAGAAACTCAGCCACTTTGCATGAATGCACACACGTCGGCCCATGCGCCTGTGCCCGGATGCGTGCGCACGGAGTACGACGAGGAGGAAGGTTGACGCACTGACGGCCCCGCCGGAAGGTCCTCCAGATCCTGCAGTATCCACACTAGTCATGGAACCACGAAGCGAACAAGAATCTAAGAAGCCGCCGGCGATTGCAAGCTGGCGGCCGCGCTTGGGCCGTGCTTGGCCGCTGCCAGGTCCAGATCGACGGCGGCTGGAGGACCGGCACGGCCACGGTGTCGGCTGCCCGATCGCACCTGCACTCTGCCAGGCCCGGCCATGCTATGGGCCACAAAGTGACTTGTCTGCCCTAACAATAGCTGCTGATATTTCTGTCCCTGCCCGATGAAATATCACAACAGTGAATGCGGGTCTTTCTTGCTGGGTTTGGGACCGCAGGGCGACGAATCAGCTCCATTGAGATTGCACCATATGTTGGCCATGGCTTGTGCTTGGTTCTTTCGATTCTTTGAGTTTCTTTCCTTCAAGAACAGTGCGCGCAGATGCGGAAAATACTTACATATTAGATCATTTTAGCTAGTTTGCCCACGGCCAGCAACAGGGGCGCAGCGACAGCGAGGCCTTCGCAGGCATTGACATCCGTTGCCGATGCATGTGACTTTTGTGGATGGGGTGTATTCTCACATTTGGCAGAGGAGGGTTGTTTCGCTGCAGGTTCGCGACAGGGCTGGGAGCGCGTCCCTGCTGGCAGCCTACATTTTGCGATTTGCGATGCCACGTGATCCTGCGTGATCCGTGTTGCAAGGGGCGGCACATTTTTGGACCTCGACTCAGGATGCCCTTTTCACCTCTTCAAAGCTCTTCACAGGCCGGATCACTGAAACTTGCCCGAGTTTATGCGTAAGTGGGTGCAATGCAGGTTCTCCGACGTGAGGCCCGTGAGGTCGCGGCAGCATCATCCGCATCAGCTGGAAATCTGCAGGCGGCAGAGCCGTTGATGCGCTGAGTAGGGTTGGCAGTTGGCATGGCTGGATGGAAGCAAAGCAGCAAAGTGGTCTCGCGAAGGGCGGATCTGGCCCAGCCTTGAAAGCGAACAACTTGACCCGTGGGATGCTATGGTCCATGGTGTAGCATGCGATGGCATGCGTGGCACATCGTGGCACGTGCAAGTCCCGTCTCTGGGCTCAGGGCAAAGCCAGCTAAGCCTGTCGGACTCTCAGATCGAATGCGCTTGTTGTGCCAAAAGGTCAGAAGTTGCTGAATCCAGGAGCTCTGACCAGCAGTCGATGAGGAGGCCGAAGGCCGCGCCTGGGCGACTGAAAGCAGAAGATCAGCCCTGAGGTGTGGTTCTGGACCGACTGTGAGCCGCCCGCACGACAGGAGCTACCGGGTGTAAGGTGAACATCAGTTTTGAGGGGCTTTCGGCTGTGATGGATCAGGATAGCTTCGCATCTTCCCCGCTCTGGTTCCGGCCCCGTTTTCTACGAGCGCCGCGCCTGAGCAAGTCCGGCTGCGGTGTGCTCTGCTATGGTTTGGCTATCAGTGCCGAGGTTTCACTGACTTAAAGCAGAGTCCAAACGTGGTTTAGGCAGTTCGCCGGCTTGCATGGCTTGGCCGCCTGTCTCACAGATGATATGTATTCCCAAGGAGCGTCCAAAGAGTTTGACGCGTGAGTTGGCTTCTTTGCCTACCCTAACTTCATCAAGATGAAAAAAGGCTGGAAGATCCAATCGGTCAAAGCCCTTGTCGGCCTTGTCGCTGCAAAGTGCAACATTGTTCCGGTAAGTTAGTGCCAGCCGATGTTCACGCTGCAACTTAGCATGTCGAATTCCACCTCGTTCAACGCAAGGAGTCGGAGCCGAGCTGAGTGCCGGAAGACTTGCAACTGATGAGTTCTAAAATGAACATCCGCCTCATCGCAGCTATGTCGCGCAACCACGTGATCGGAAAGAGGGGGCGGCTACCATGGTCCATTCCCGAAGTGCGCAGCTTAGGACATCTTATGACTGATACCCCTCTTGTCTGTGATCGGACTCGTCATATGTTCAGCAAGGACTTTGCCTACTTCTTGGAAGCCGTGAGAGGCGACGTTTGCATCACTGGCCGGAAGTGCTACGCTGAGCTTGGCAGCGCCATTCCCGGCTCAGGCAAGACGTTCCCCAATGCAACAGTGCCAACATGTGCGGTGAAGTCGAAGCCTAAAGGCTTTCACATCCACCCGACTTCACCGGTTCAAGATACGAAGGCTGAACACTTTGTTGGCATGGGAATGGAATGGAAGTGCATGGAATGAACAGATGCCAGAACGTCTGCTTCCGCAGTCCAGGCAGTCTTCATGCCATGGTCAGGCCTTCACATCGTCCTGTCCACACAAGACCTCACCTATCCAGACGCTGTGGTGCGGCCTTCATTGGATGCAGCACTGCAAGCTCTGCCCCAAGTCCGTGTAGCATGTGCATGATGCACGCCAGTCGTCGGCCATGCATGTCACGGCACTCGCCGACCGAGGTGGCACGAGGCAGCGACGCAGCAAATGTTTGGATTTGCGGCGGTACATCCGTGTACCGCGAATCTTTCCCCATTGCACAGGAGTTTTGGGCAACTCTCGTCCATGCGGATCTTTGTTGCAAGATGGTGGATTGTACATGTCCTGGCAGATGGCAAGAGTCGCAGCTGTGCGTTTATCCATTGAGGATGTTGACGGTGATGTCTACTTCCCCCACAACTGGCAGCAACATTTTCCAGTGGAGGACTTCCGAACTGGTGTAGCAGAAAATTCAGAAACTGCCCGAAGAAGCATCGTGTCCGCTTGGCTTTGCAGAGGTGAGTCGGCGCAAAAGTTTCGATGAGAACTATCGCTATGACTTCGTG